CCTACACCGCATGGCCGAATGAATGATTTGAGCACACGGTCCGCCACACATGGACTGCTCGTTCACTTTTGCCCAAGTGGGATCGAGCTGTTGCACAGAGGGCGGGAGTTGTTCTCCTGTGATACCTCGCCTTCGCGTTCAGACCCTCGGCCTGGCTGAAGTCAAGGCTGGCTAGTCCGTCTTCCAATCTTCTGTTTCATGCTCTCGGCGGTCAACGTCGCCATCAGGACCGGCTAGCCTCGAGCACGCAACCTGAACAGTCTCGAATTGGCACCAGGCCAATGTCATCACGTCAGCCTTGGCCGAGAGAACACGACCCTGCCTGCCAGGAGCAAGCCACCGACCTAAATCGAGGTCAACGATCATGGTTCTCTTCGACCAGCCTCTGAATGTAAAGCCCAGCGCCCGTCCATCCTGCTCTCAGAGACGTTTTCAACTAGGCCAGATGGGGAGTACGGTAGTGGTGCACTGCTTCTCTTTGGCTTTACTGGTCTTCGCAATTTGGCACGCCTAGCATCTGCCGGCAAAGTCGGGCGTGGTTGAACAGCCATGGGTGACCAAGGCGAGTCTCAGCCCTTTGGAACCTGTTTGTCGGCACTGCACAGCCGTCCGCTTATCTTACTAACTATGTAGTAGTAGTCAACGTCTTCCCACAGGTCTTGTTTCCACTACAGCCAACCAGGGCCGTATCAGTTTGGCAACACCGTCCGGTCCGGATCCCAACCCTTCAATTAGTGAACAGACTTCGAGTTTCCACATCATCATGCCTTATGTATGTCCGCTCGAACTCGAGCTTCAGGTGCCAACCGCTGCCGTTTGTTCTTGCTGGTCGTCTCAATACTTACACAGATGACCAACATCGTATCGACCAATGAGCTGGAACCAGGCCAAGAGCTTCCTGTATTGGCCAACACTATGAAAATTTGAACAAGCGGAATGTGTGTTGAACCGGCTTCGTCATGACAGTATCGCCCTGGTGGGTGGGCAGACCTGAATGAGATAGCTCACCATGAGGTATTGACGGCTTCTCTCCCCGCATTCAGCACACCCTCCGCAGGATAGACTTTTGTCTTTGTTCCCTCATCTTGATGCTGAACCCCCCTCTCGACCTTGAAGATACAAGAAGCAATGGGTATTGAGCCATGCAAGCCACACGCCATGCCGGATTCGAGTGGTTGCTGAAGCTCGGAGCTACAACTATTACCTCACTGTGCCGCAGTTCAGCCATCCGACCACTAACACGGCTGAGTTTCACTTAGATTAAGTCGCCTTTTGTCTCCCTCTCATTTGTTGCTTGCGCGCATATTGGCAGGCTGTGGAGATGACCTGATCAGCCTCTATCCGATTGGACCAGTTTTCAGATGCGATGTGCCTAGAGCAGGCATTGCTGCCGCGAACTTATGTTGGATCTGTCGAGAGGCCCTTCCTTGTCATGTTCCTGCTTCATGCTGATACTATGGGCGACCACACTTGACTACCGCGCCCATGATCAGAGGCCGAACGAATGGTCGTATCGGATTCTGTTTTGGCATTAATGACCTTAGATTGCCGTTACACGCCTGATATGACGGCGCACCGCGTCAGAAGGATCTTTGTCGTTTCGTCTTGCCGGTGTCACCATGAGTTCCAGTTGGATCATTGGCAAATGCTTACGTCCTAGCAAGTCTGATGACACCCCAGTATGGCCGCGCATCTGAATCTATATGCGGATCCACTCGAAGCTGTCTTTTAGCTTTCGTTACCTGCAGCTTGAAAAGCTTCAACGTCGAACAGCACGAGAGTACGAAGCATTACGAGACCATGACCAGGCCAGACGGGACAGCATCTCAACGGCCACTGCCTAGACGGGAGACTAGTCACACTGGAGCTTTGGCCAGGGTTATCTTCAGCCGTCTGCTGCCCCCTGGCCCTACGACCTCAGCTGCAGATAACCGAGATACAATTGGTGCATCGCCGTAACTCCGTTTGGCTTTGTTGAAGAGATTCTTCAGTGATACCGGTGCGAGCATACGCCCGAACAAACTCGTCTTTCGGTCCTGCATGCTGAGGGGCCCGCCCAAGTCCTTGAGTTCTGCTTTGCCTTTGCTGGAACGTGCCGCCACTTGTGGTACAATGCTGATTATACCGTGACGGAAGGGGAAACCGGAGCTAATACCAGAAGCATCCTGCAGGGGACCCTCTGATGAGAGGATACTTGGCGCACCATGGGAGCCGGCTTATGGGCAGAGCATCCAGTGCCAATGCGGCATGGGATTGGATTTTCATCTGCCTTGCTGCAGTTCCGTCTCTGTCACGAGCTTGCTGGACGACTAGGCTCGTGGAACGGGCAGCCACCAAGACCCACGCAGCGGTTAAGGAAACAAACCGAAAAACGCAAGTCATCCAATATTGAATCCGTTTTAGCCATCTTTCCTGTTAGCAGAGAGTCGGTCGCAAGCCACAGAGGATCCGCGGTCCGTGGCCCTTCTCAATGGAGTAGGCCAGGTCGGAAATTCCCCGTACTGGACAGTTCACGCCAACGGACATATTGGATTTAGATTGGTGCAGAAGACTCTCGACACACATGCAGATAGAGACACGCCAGGCACATGTCTGATTGCGCTTCCTACAGAGTGCTTATATCACACAGTGGCGTCAAGTCATAAACCCCGTCGCCCTCACAAGCCGTTCCTGGCAATCATCAGCCGCACGGCGCAAGGTTTACACTTGCCGGCTCAGCTTACCAAGGTTCCTGACGCGGCTAAGCAGGTTGTGCTTCCTCTGGCCGGGAATCACACTGGTGATGAAAGCACAGCCGCAGTTGTGATGCCCCCGGATCAGAATATGTATGTATCACATCTCCCTCTCTAGTAGAGGTGAGCCCTGGCTGTACCTCCACCCCTCCCCAGTTGCTCAAAGGTCATGTTCGAAGGGAGGGAGAAAGCACAGAGCCAAGGGAGAGAGTTTGAAGAGAAGCCTCGCATATGCTGTTGGTTACGCACCACCACAACAACCTGAGGTAGCCGAGCTGCCGCTATCCTTGTCCTAGGCATGCGGTCACCAAAGATGCATTCTCCACGCCGCTTAGCACGCTTCTGCTGCCTCTCACACCACCCGCTCAGAATATCCCGACAAACTCTATACTATATTTGCATCTAGTTTTGCGCCCTCACGAGGCAGGGGGTGCGACTTCGTTCAGCTCGGAACAATGCCAAATGTCCTCCACTATCCGGCCATAATAAGCCGCATTCTATTCTATGAACACCATGGTTGCGAAGGGATTTAGCTGGGGTGCCCTCCTCCCTTGCAGTCCAAAGCCCCCCCCCCCCCCCCCCCTTCCTTCGTCACTGGAAGTACTAAATGCTGCGGGTTTCTGCTGGCCTCGGAGGTCCTCTCCTGAATGCAAACGACGAGAGTATGAAGTGCTTGAATTTTTGGTGCGCGCAGGAAGACGAAACTGGACCCCGGCAACTGCTGTAGTTCGCCGTTGCGAAGAAATGTCACAGCGCGGCTTGCGCCCTCTGCCTTCAGCCCACCACATGCGGATCATCCGATGCCTGGGCTGTGTTTTTTTCATGCCCGAAGCGCCGCTCATTGCGTGCGGACAAGTCGGCCGACAATAGGAGCGTCTTTTCCTTCATTATTTGACATGTTGAGGGAATGGGATTCAGTTGCGTGGTGAATGTTGGGGCACTAATGCAGGGCTTACTATTGCAATCTATGCATGCACCTTTTCAGGTCCCTTGGTACAGAGTGTGTGACTCTACGTAGGTACGTGGCTGTATGTATGGCTTCAGAACATCATATGGTCTGCTATCACGTACAGTCTGAATGGGTTATCCACCTTGTCTGTTGAAGCACCGGGCTCAGAGCAGCATTCCACGACCAATCAGTGAGCCCGCCTTATCTAACTCCGTCAACTTCTAGTTCCTTGGGTGTTGATTACTGATTGAGAAGTCAAGACGACCTTGATAGAGGAGAGGCTAGGTATAGAGGAATGTAAAAAGTCATAATGTTGTGTTCGTATATTCACGTGTCTATGCTCCTCCCTTCCACTAGGCTGTTCAATGTCTGCCTCTTCAGTAAGGAGAAGAAGGAAACAAAGAATAGAGTAAAAGAAGAGAGTAAAGTCGTTCCCCAGCAAAAGATATCCCCTTTCCCGGTTTTCTTGTTTTCCTTTTATATCTTTCAGTGGCAATGCTTCGTTTCGCTTAGTTCAAACTGACATCAACCCACATCAATCATCCCATCCGTAGAAAATAAGAGAGAGAGCGAGAGAGAGAGAGAGGGCAGGAAACAGAAGTCCAAAAAGCCGCTCTTGTCATTCAAAATGTCTCCGGGTTCCCATATTCATAGAGAGAGAAATATAAAGACGTGTTTCATATATATTCTTTCTTCTTTAATTCATCCATTCCATATCAATCTCTTTTTTCTCCAAATCTGCCGCGTGTCGTTATCAAAGCAAACATGTCATATGTTATTCTTCCTTCTCCCAACCCTCCTTGATCACGCTCAAGCCTTCTGGCAAATCCCGACTCCCGGCTTCATGTAGATCAACGCGGGCCAATGAAAGTTAAGAGAGGAAAAAAGAAAGGAAAACAGTAATAGTGCCTGACAAAATAAGGCGTTCAAAAAAGTTGGGGGAGCGTCTCAGAGATGGAAGCTAAACATGACATACAAGGTAAAAGAAATCTCATCCAGACGTCATTAAAGAAAGCCAGAACAGACGTCAACAGGTTCTTTCGTAAAATCCCCAGGCCATGAGTCATCTTAATCAATCTGCATTCGTCCCAGCCCCCCTGCGATGCCAATAAGAAGAGCAGGAAAAAAAAAGAAAGGAAAAACAAAAATGAATCCACAGCTAGGCCGTCACAAGGGAAACAGAGAAACGCCCATGAATTTGTCCGTCTATCCAAATCCGTAGCTAAACGTCGAGCATGTGATGATGAAAATAAGACATGGAATATAAAAGGTAGAAAACACAAAAAATGAAATGGGAACCAAAGAAGAAAGAATAGTTCCTAGGCCTCCCTGACGATCGACTGCTGCGACTCTTCCTCCCACTTCTCCTCCTGGGCGCCATTCTCCATCTCCGCCTCGGTGATGCTGTTCCCCCGGCTCTCGGCCAGTTTCCGAGGCGGCTGTCTCTGCTCTTGCGAGGTAGATCCTCTCCTCGCCCCAGAGTCGGAAAACTCCTGATCACTCGACGTCCTGCTTGTGGAGCGGCTCTTGGTGTCTGCTTGGCTGGCAACCGAATCATCCCCGAACGGAGTCTCGAGCTCCTCATCAAAAATCGGGCTTCCGGGGTGCTGCAAATCCTCGGAGTGATGAGGCCCATCGAAGAGTGACTCGTGCAGTGAACCGGACGCCGATCGAATAGGTACCGGTTTCCGTATCACCGGCTCGGAACTTGTGCTGGATGCGCTGCTGGGCAGGGGTTTCCTCGGAGGCGGCGGCAGCTTTTGGACGGACGTTACCGTTTCGCTGCTATAGCCGTTCGTCGTGTCTGCATATGGCGTCGCGTTTGCCGGTGAAGGGGTGGAGGGTGGTGGACCGGGCCTTGAATTGCTCATGTAGGCATCCAGCTTCCTCTTGAGTACTTCCGCGCGGACGGGCTTTGCGAGGTAATCATTCATACCGGCAGCCAGACACTTCTCCCTGTCGCCTTGAATGGCCGATGCCGTCATGGCTATCACCAAGATTTTTCGAACCTCATCGATTGGGTCGTTTCGAATGAGCTTGGTGGCTTCGTATCCGTCGAGGACCGGCATCTGCACATCCATGAGGACGATGTGGTAAGGGATGCCCTCCCGAGCCTTTTGCCGGAGGCCCTCGACCGCCTTCAGCCCGTTCTCGTAGGCACTCACGCTGGTGTATCCCAACCGTTGTACATACTGGATGGCAATCTTTTGGTTGATGGGATTGTCCTCTGCCACGCAGATGCGAATCTCCTCTTTGGGAACCCGGGTCAGATCGAGGTACGGGTTCGGCGACGCTGCTCGTTCCACGAACGAAGAGGTCCTGGCCGAATATCTATCGACCGGGGCCGACGTTTGCAACTGTGCATCTCCAGCGGCAACATCCGGCTTGGCCTTCTCAAAGGAAACTGTGAACCAGGCGGTTGTGCCGGAGTTCTCCTCGCTCTCGAGCTGGATCTTGCCCTGCATCATGATCTCGATGAGCGACTTGCAGATAGAAAGCCCGAGCCCACTCCCGCCGTACTTTCTAGCGGTACTGGCGTCCGCCTGGCTGAACGGTTGGAAGAGATTGGCCAGCTGCTCGGGCGGAATGCCAATACCTGTATCCCTGACCCAGAATGTCAACGTCGCCCTCTCCTGAGTCTCGTGATCCAGACGAGCGCCAATGGTGATGGAGCCGTCCTCGGTAAACTTGAGGCTGTTCCCAATGAGGTTTCCGAGAACCTGGTGAAGCCGGATTGGGTCGCCATAGATCAACATGGACGGTAGGTCGATGTCCTGGATGATCTTGACATTCTTCTTGGACGTCTTCTCCCTGTTGCTGTAGGAGACGGCCCGGACGACTTCCCTCACCATCTCCTCCGGATTAAAGGCAATGATATAGAGCTTCATCTTGTCAGCTTCCATCTTGGAGAAGTCCAGAATATCGTTGATGACAGTCAACAACAGGTCAGCCGAGACGCGGATGGAATCCGCCATTTCGAGCTGGTCCTTGTTCAAGTTGCTGTCGCGCAAGAGCTCCGAGTTTCCGATGACTCCGTTGAGCGGCGTCCGAAGCTCGTGAGAAACGTTGGCCAGGAAGATGGATTTAGCCTTGGCAGCCTCTTCGGCCAGCTTGACGTTTCGCTTCGCTTCTGCTTCTGCGTGCTTCGCCTTCGCCTCCGCCTCGATGGCCTTCTTCAGCGCACGCCTCTGCATTTCCACCATTGAGTGGTTCTCAGCCGAGATCTTCTCAATGTTCTTGATGGACAGGGCATTTGAGTAGCTGATGCCGATTTGATTGACCAAGAGTTGGAGGACGGTCACGTTGCGATCCGTAAATGACCCAGGGACGCCTTCGAGATACAGCACGCCCAGCAGTGGCTTGTTGGCATGCCGAATCGGAATGGCAATGATGGCCTTGCTCGTCGGATTCCGCTGGAGCCAGGACTCGCTGACGTTGCCAAATCTCTCGTCGGAAACGATATCCGGAATGAAGACACTCTCCATGAACCGCGTGCAGTACAGCACCACGTTCTCGGCTATCAAGGGGGTACTGGCAAGGGGCAAGGCTGGCTTGTGTGCCGAAGCTCCCTTCTCCGGGTCACCACTGGCAGCCACACACCAGCCGTCGGCATCCGCATCAACCACAATGGCGGCATTGGTCGCCGAGCCGCCGCAGGTTTGCAGAATCACATCGCACATGGTCTTGAGCAGCTCTTCCACCTGCAGCAGCGATGAGATGACTTGCGAAGACTTGAGGATCGCGTGCAGATCGATCATATCGAGAGCAGGGAGCCCGCCGCCGTCTTCCGCCTGCATATGCATCGAGTTTCTCCAGGCCCCAATCTGCTCCCCCTTGGACTCGGTGAGGGCATTGGAAGGAATCTGGGTGAGATCGTCGTCGTCGTCTCCATCCACGGGGCGATACTGAACAGAAGGCGCGTCTGTGACGAAATCGGTCTGGACGCCCATGTCGGCAACGCGATGGTTCCGTGTAGGCCCATGCAGAAGAAGCGAGTGCGCCTCTTCGATGGCATGGGCGACGCCGGTAGCCGCCATTTGTCTAAATAAGCTCAAGGCATCCAGGAGAGCAGCACGAGCCGAGCGTCGCGCTTTGCGTCGAATGAAGAAACCCGCCATGAGGTAGTTGCCCAGGGCTTCCTCGAGCACAAAGTCATGCTCGGTAGCATGGTCCAGCGCCTCTTCATAACTCTGGACGCTACCGCCATGGTCGCCCGACAGTTCTGCCATTTGTGCCTCCAGTAGCCTGGCCCACGCCAGGTAGTTGACGTTGGACACCACTGCCCAGTCGTTAATCATCTTCAAGAACACGTTGAGCTTTTGGATGAGCTGCACAATTTCTGCTGTGAAGTCGCCGGCCTGGCTGCGGGGATCCTCCATTTTTCCAAGCAAGCGTCCAGCGAGAGCCAGTCCGTAGAAGAAGACGATCATCCTCGTATTTCGTGCTGACCACAGATCGGCGAGGTGCTCGAAACATCTTTCTCCGACTTCAATGGCGCGATCATAGTGGCCGAAGAGGAAGAGGATGACTATTTCAAAGCTTTCGTAGAATAGCATCGGACGATTGCTGCCTTTGGTCCGTTCCACCATCCAGTTCTTGTACGATGCGCTGTTGTGCTCATCGTCCGTCATGACCTCGAGGGCGCTGTGGGTGCGCGTCTTGCCCTGCAACGCTCTGCAGGCCTGTCTGACGGCAATGAGCATGACTCCTCCCCTGCTGTCACAGTTCCATCGATAAATCTCCTCGCAAGCGAGCTCACAGAAGGCTTCGAGATCGTTGCAGTTTTCGCTCGCAAAGAACTTGATCTGAGCAGCCAATCCGTAGCTATGAATGGTCGACATCCTGTCACCGGCCACAGACGCCAGCTCAATCGCATCCTCCATCTGGGAAATGGCCAGCGTCATGGAGCAGTGTACGTGCCCGACAAAGCATTGGTGTAGCATTTCGCCTCGAGCCAGAGAATAGGCGTCGCGGGTCTGGAACAGCAGATCCTGGGAGAGCATGCTCATGTCGATGGCAAAGGGAACCATGTTGAAACGCGCCAGCGCTATGACGGACAGGTTGAGAAACACCATCCCAGACTGCGGAAAGGGGCCGCGAGAGTGCTGAATGTCAAACATGAGGAGGCTGAGATGGTAAAACTGCAATCGGTCGCTCCACCAGGCCGCATTGGTGGTCTCGGCAAAGACAGCGCCGATGGACGCTATTGAGGGATCGCTCGACTTCTTGTTACTGAGCAATGCTTGACGGTCCATGTCTTGGATCTGCGCCACAACCTTGTGGAACTTGTCGTCACACTTCTCGTACGTCGTCTCTTCGTCGAGCGAGATACCGAGCAGGCCCAGGGACTCCTTCAGGGAAACCAAAGCCGCCGGCGAGTCGCCGCTCTGGGCATAAATCCGCGACTGCAGGACGTATGCCGGCGCCTTGTCGACGGCGTTTCTGGCGTTTGCGAAGATTTGAGAGAGAAGCTCGCCGGCTGACGTCACCTGGCTCATGTAAAGATGGCACTCTGCCGACCGGAGGTAGAGCTGTATCGTTTCGTCGTAGGAGGCGTCTTCCACATCGTCAGACCACGGGTTGTCCTGCAAGAGCCGGACTGCCGCGCTGTAGTACTTGGCCGCCGTCGGTCGAGCACCATTCTCCGTCGCAGCTCGTGCGCACTCCATGAGCAGTTTGCGGAAATCCCTCCGGCAGCGCACGCGACGCCTGATGATGTCGACGGCTGTGCAGATGTGGGAAGCTGTGCTGTCCCGCTGCCTGGCTTCCACCGCGTAGTACTTCAATAAGGTCTGGGAGATGATGAAGTGCATCTTTCGCGCCTTGCACTCCTTGAGGGCCGAAGAAGCCTGCACGTACCGGTCATGGGCGAAGCGGAAGCGGTCGTCTGTCTCGGTCTGCACAATGATATAAGCTTGGATGGCTGCTTGTAAGCCCGCAATGGCCTCTCCCTCGGTGTAGGCACGCTGGGTGACGTAGTTCGGACAGGCCGTCGAGTCTTCTTCCTCTTCGTCGTCGTCGGGGTAGTCGAATTCTCCGCTCATGAGCCGACAAAGAAGCTCAAACGAAAAGGAGCCGCCAAGGAGGGCGGCCCAAGCAAGCACTGCTCGCGCAGCAGACGGCAGCTCACCCAGCCGGTGGGTGATGAAGGCGGTATCTAACACATCATAGTCTTTCTCACCCTGGAACTGCGCAAACAGTCTATCCATGTCGTAGTGCCATTGACTATCACGGTAGTCATACCAGATACACCTCTTCCTATGGCAGGCGCTGAGCATTTCTCGCATGTAGAACGGATTGCCGGCTGTCTTGGACTGGATTACTAGAGCAAGGGAAAGGATCTCGTCCCGGGGTCTACAGAGGGTGGCCGATACATAGTGAAGGATGTCGTCCTCGCTAAGGGGGTTCAGGACGATTCTGGTTACTTGTGTGCGTGCACTGCGAGGTTGTTCTGCCACAGTATCAGCATCGAGCAAGGCCGGACGAAAAGCACCATAATCACCGTCTGCGTCTAACGGCTGGACAACTGCTTGAAGTTTGGCCGGCGAAAGCTCCTCTGGCCTGTAGGTGACAATGACAACCATCTTCATGCGGGCGGCTATAATCTGCGAAATGAGCTCCAGGGACTCGTCGTCGGCGAAATGCAGGTCCTCGAGGCAGAAGCAGATAAACTTGTGGGTGGTGAAGACCCTGAGCACATCTAGAATGGTGTTAATTAGACGCATGCTTTTGGTAGACGTTCCGGCGCGCAGGTAGTCTTGAGAGGACTGAGTTCCGCTCCGCGGTAACGGTCCAGGAGACTCTCCGGGGGATGAGGTTCTACGCTTTAGTGGCGGTCGGGTGTCCTTGCGGGATCCCGAGCTCTGAGATGAGGAGATTGGCCGTGCCGTGTTCATGTCTGGCGAGCCGAGGAGAAATTCCGGTAGTCCTAGGATTCTGTGCAGCATCGGCCACACCGGACGAATGTATTGCTTCAAGCCCTGGTGGAAGGGCGTGTCAGTATTCCTCTCTCCCCACACTTGTTTGAAGAGCGATGACAGCAGCTTGAGCAGCGGTCCAAACGGCGTCCTCTTTGAGGTGTCGAACTTGGCCGTCGCGCAGTAGCCATTCCGCCGAGCGTCGGCCAGCACTGATTGCACGAAGAGACTCTTGCCGACGCCTCCGGCGCCCTCGACCGTGACGACCTCGCAGTGTCCATGACGGCGGAACTTGGACGAGCCAAGCTGCCTAGACAGACTGGACGAGCCCATGTCGAGCGGGCCACGGGACCCCTCTACGTTGAGGCTCTCAACCATACTGGAGGAGTCCATGGAGAGAGAGCCCAAGGAGATGGACTGGTTCCGCTCCCACCGCTCCCATGGTTTCGTAAATCTGGGAAACGCGGCGGCAGTGGATTGGGACGAAGAAGTGGTGTCGGTCGACAAGGTCATGGTCTCGGATATCATGGGCGGGAAGAAGCTATTCTTTGAAGGCTTCGTTTCTGACGAGATCGTCTGGGCGAAGGAGCCGCTCCTGCGGTTATTTCCGTCGACCGAGCTGGCGCCGCCTTCACTAGATATGTCGTCAAAGGCGGTCAGCTCGTGGAGGCTGGCTCCGTCTGAGAATCTGCTGACTGGACCCTTGCGCAGGGCAGCATGGCTCTTGGCGACCCGGTTGATGACCTTGAGCACGGTGGCCTTTTCCTCCTGCCTGCCAATCATGGAGGTCGGGAGCATGAAAAAGGACGAAACATCGCTTGTGCCAATCCTAAACTCCTTGAGGGCTTGTGAGTTTCCATCTTCGAGATACTCTTTGATGTTGATGAGATCGTGGCGTAGGCCGCTGGCCGAGTGATAGCGTTCCGCGACGTTCTTGGCGGTACATTTCTGGATAATCCTGCCGATGACGTCCGGTATGTCCATGCGTACGGTCGCGACGTTGGGGATCCTGCGGCCGAGCACTCCTTGGACAATGTCGAGGGCCGATTCGCCAGTGAAGACGGGCTGCTGGGTGAGGAGTGTCCAGAAGACGACGCCGAGCGAGTAGATGTCCGTCCGGGTGTCGGGTTCGGCAGGCATCCGGCCAGTCTGTTCCGGGCTGATGAAGAGCAGCTTGTTCCGGCCCCCCAGTTCCTTGGAGAGCATCGACCAGCCGGTGCTGGTGAGGCCGTGCTCAAAGGACCGGACGCCGGACCCGAAGGACATGACCCGGACCTTGTTCTCTTCGGCGTTGAAATGGAACGCATCGCCGCGAATCTCGCCATGGACCATGCCTCGGCTGTGGTGGAGGATCTCTAAACACTGGGTCGCACCTATCGCGAAATCAAGAAACAAGCGAAGGCTTATCGGGGGGTGAAGCTTTGGTCGGCAATAGTAGGCGCGATATGCGTCGCCGTCCTTGCGCGCGTGGTAAAAGGCGGGCCCCATGTCCATGAGATCGAGAAGCAAATTGGGGCCGGGATGCTGGTATATGGCCACGACGATGGCCCCGCGGTCGCCGACGACCGGGCTCAGTCGTATCAAATCAAGGGGCTTCACTATATGGTCGCCGTTGGGGTCGGCCGAGGTGACGCTCCTGGCGATCTGGAAAGCCCTCTCCTCACGGAGGGCATGGTGCGACACGCGCGCCACGACGGGCTCTTCAATGTAGTACGTTGTTGCATCGGCGGAGGGGGAGGCGAGAGGGTTCGTGTGAGGCGTATTATTTGTGTGAGGCGTAGGCAGCGGAGAGGCGGGGGATTCGCTGCCATAGCCAAAGCTGTAGCTGGAGAGCGGGCCGCCATGTTCGGAGGGAGTTGGTCGACCCGACTGGAGCTTGGATACCGAGCCCGGGCTGGAGGCGTTCTGCGACGAGGATGAGGTGGGCAGCGTGGGAGAGACATAGCGGGTGCCGAAGACGTGCCTAGAGGGAGGACGTTAGCCTCTCGATATAAGCCAGCGAGCCCGAGTGTTGGCAGTCGTGGTTGGGGGGAGGGGGGGTTGCTGTCATCAAGGGAGCTGCAAGACGACCCTGTTCCTCCGCGTCTTTGTCGTGCGTGGGTGACTGTGCGTTTGCTCTAGTGTATCATCATCTCTGTTGCTTATTTGGTCGGCTTGCGTCTCGAGTCCTTCCCCTCTCCTCTTCTTTCCCGCCCTCCCTCCCTTCCCATCATCCCTTGCTTATCCATATCACGTCGCGATGCCCGCAGATACAACGGCCAAGGGAAAGGAAAACAGGCGACTCACCAAAAGTCATATGTCGAGTGAAAGGGCGGCTCCGTCTCGTCCCAGCTATACCCGGCTATCTGGCGAAGGCGTTCGAACAGCCGCGGCGGCGGCGGAGGGAGCGGGTCGAGCACATCGTCGGGCACGAGGGCTGGACCGTCCATGTTGGCGCGCGGTCATAGGAAAGAGACAGAGAAGCCCCCCAAGCTGGTCTGCTCCGGCGGGAGGGGGCCAGGAGATGGGCAAGGAAAGGGCGGCTGGAGAGCAGAGAGAAACGAGATCGGCTCGGGTTCTCTCACTGGGTCGACGGTCCTCCAAGCCCGCCCGCAGCGCCCATCGTCGGCCCGGCTGGCTGTAGCGGCGAAGGGAAGGGGAGGGCAGACAGGTGCCGGCGGCGAGCAGGCCAGGCGCAGCGATCGGTGACGGGCAGGGCGGTCGGCAGCTGCTCTTTGGTGGGATTATTATGGACTCTGTGCTGGGTATTTTGGCGCCTGGGTTTTTCTGCGTCTGGCGGTGCGGGCTGCACAAGGTCGGGGTGGGTGTGAGTTGAGGTTTTGGAAAGAAACTGGGGGGGGCCCTGGCCGCGGGTGGTGGTTTGGCAGATGCACCAGGACAGACAGAGAGACCCGACAGCTGCAGTGCAGTATTAACTGGAACCTCCTAGGTAGGTAGTAGGTAGTACTACGGGCAGCCTCTGTAGGTGCAGTGCCTCCACTACCATACCTGAGGTGCCTACCCAGAGCCCTGCTGCAGTTTGTCGCCCGACTTCCAGTGGCCAGCGCAGTACCTTGAGGAAGGTATATCGCTAGCAGTACCTGATAGGAAGGGTCGGTACCTAGTGGCTGTCGCGATGTGGGTATGCAGATACCTTGACGTTGCCCGCTCTCCCTGACGACCTGCCGCGACGACGGAGCGCCAGGCTAGGTACCCCACTAGACCGTACAAGGTATCCCGCCTGCCACCCGTGGTACCGCCCGGGGCGCCAAGGTACCACCAATCTGCGTTCCCAGTCGTTGCGGTTTGGTGATTTCGATGCAAACCCAACAACGGCTTGATATCATACATGTAATTCGATATCAAACAAATTTGAGGAGAGCTGGCAACACCCAAGTGAAATCATTTACTTGATCCTCTTAGTCTTCTTGTTTTTCTCCTTCATCTTGATACGTATGCCCTCCCATCGACGAGGACGAAACACCAGCCAAAACACCGAAACAGCCATTCGCCAGAAGAGGGGGACGCACCACGACGGGTGATTTGCTCCAACACGCCGCGAGCCATCATCCATCTGCCGTCACGCAGCCATGTCATCAATTTTTGCTTGCCGCATATCTCCCTCGCCTCACAACAGGCACCGAAGAAGTATAACCACCTACCTACCTACCAACCTACCAACTAACATGCAATTACATACCTCATACAACTAGAAGGAGAAGAAGCAACAAGAGAAATGCTGGGAACAACGGCAACTCAAATAACAGACGTCGTGCACCCCCTCGCTGCAGCTGCTCAAGCACCTTGACGATCCAATCCGGCGGATAACACACCTGAACCTGAACCCAAGGGCGGAAGAGGCGCTAACAGACCGCCCCGAAAAAAAAAAAAAGAAAGAGGAAAACAAAAGGCCACTCGTGCATCTTATGTCACTCGATCATTCTTCCTGTGCCTCATTTCCTTGGGACTAATAACGGTTTTCTCAGGTACTCTACTGGTAAAACCCGTGCTAGGCAAACTGGGCTTGCTCCAGTCAGTCATCTCAAGAGAAAAAAAAAAGTTTGACGGAACAAGAAAAAAAAAAAAAAAAAAAAGGGTCTTATGTCAACAAAATCACTCTGAAACGAAACAAAAGGGAAAAAAGTAGAAGAAAAAGAAAAGGAAAAAAAAAAATGTTATAACAGGTCCAGTTAATGACCCCGCCAATCGCGGCCCCATGTCCTTTGAATCGTCGGGTGATCCGCTGGCTGGCCAAGAAGAGAAGAGAGAAAAGAAAAAAAGACTGGGAATTGTTGCCTTACGATATGAGACCTTGCCTTGAATGTCTCAGAAAAGAAAAAAAAAAAAAGAGGAAAAGGGATGCCTTCTGCCTAGTATTTGCTTGCCTTTGCTGCCTATATGTGCGCCTCTTCTCAGGCACAATGAAACAAATCTGCAGATGGAATCCAACAAATTGGCAGAGCAGACGTGATGCCCAAAACCCCAAAAACCACACTGCATCATTCCGTCATTGCCCTTTTTTTCCTGAGGGAAATTTCGCTTCCACAATCCTTTCTCTATTCTTTGTTTGGGCTTTTGGGCGGGTTCCCACCCCCTTGTCCGCTGATCTTCGATTTCGACGGAGTAATCAAAGGCGCCAAGCGCTCTTTTCGTTCTAGGCACGTACAGTACTCTCTATCAGAGAGGAATACTAGGTAACATGCGTTATTACGCACCCACTCAGCAACTCAGCTCTGTGTAGGTATGAAGTAGTAGTAGAATCAGCTGCTCTTTCGTTCTGAGGCTCGTCCACGAGGCACCATGCAATCCATTACGTAGATGTTCACAGCCGCAGCGTGATCTACCCGAGTTGACATGTAATTTCCCATCGCTCTGCAGCAACCAGCATTCCTGTCCTCCAGACTCCCCCAAAATAAGAGCACTGACCATCCAGTCCTCTCCTACCTACACTCTTACCGCATTACTAATATCAGGTGGACAACTGCCGTCAAACTCCCTTCAGCATACCCTAGAATCAAGCAACAAATACTTGAATACTGTGCTTGCAAGTCGTCTTACTCAAGCACAACGTTTCTTTCCATGTTGTTCACACTCATAGCCCTTTTTTTTTTTTTTTTTTTGGCCATACTATTGCACTTTTAAAGTAAAAAAGAAAAAAAGAAAAAACTCTTCAGTTGTCCTTTGTTCTTTTCCCTTTCTAGCGCCTTTGGCGTTTTCTGTGCCTGAATGGGCTCCATGAAATGATGTAAGTGGCCCCAAGACGGTCTTCTCTCCGATCCCACCAGTAAAGATCCCATCTATGCTTTGCACGCAGTTCGGACACAATTCTTTAGTGAACGGCATGTGTCAAAAGTTTTTTTTTTTTTTTTTTTTTCGAGTCATTCAGCCACGCGCAGGCCGACTTTCATGTGTGCTGCCTTCGTATCCCTCCTTCGGAAGGCCTCTCCCCAGTCAACATGTGCTTGCCCCAAAGACAGACCGACAGATCGTTGCATATCCCCCTTCACGAACTCTAGGCACAGCCATGCATTATTGTCTTTTCATTCATTGTCAAAAGGAGCAGATCCGCTCTCTCTATCTCTATCGTAACTCAAATCTCGCCATCACGTGGCAGAGAAAATCTATGCTATGCCCGACTGCCCGTTGGATTAACCCCAGGCGTTCGAATCCATCGAGCCGTTCATGAGTTTCCAGATTCATTCGTGACAACCCCGTCCTCAACCAAAGTCACTCCTCAAGCCAGGAGACAGCGCACACGTACATTGTGTACCCTAATTAATATTCATTTCTTTTCCAAATCAAAACGCTTAGTTCCTCTCGCGGGTGGGCAGAGGCTGGGCGCCGTAGCTGAAAGCCTGGGCCAGACGCCTCTCGGTGTTCTGGCGGCCGTTGACAAAGTCGGGGTAGTTGAGCGTCAGCTCAACAGCTCCGCTGGTGATGTGGTCGACGGCCTCGACACCCAGCATGAAGGAGTGGTCCTGGTTGCCGACCTCGTACCTCCAGCTGCCGAAGCGGCCACGGGAGTAGATGCCCATGTCCTGGAGCTTGGGCAGCAGCTCCTTCAGGACACCCTCACGCTCGAGAGAAGGAGTGGGGTATCCGTGGTCGAAGGCACGGTGGTAGGTCGAGACGATCTCGTCCTCGGGCTTGATCATCTCGGTGTTGATGAGGCCCTGGATGCTGTCCCGGAGGATGTTCTCGACATCCAGGGGCTTCATGGTGGATTGGGAAACCTCCAGCATGATGGACCAGTAGGGACCCTCCTTGGGCTCAGACGAAGCAGGCTTGCTGCCGTCGGCGTGATACAGGGTGGGCAGCTTGGTCTCCTTCTGAGGCTGGTTGTACTGGGAGTAGTTGGAGAAGATGGTGGCGCGGTAGAAGGGGCAGTTATCCTCGGGGAAGTACAGCTGCACGGAAGAAAACGGTTAGCGGCCGAAGCTCAGTGCGAACAACATATCATGCGTTCTTGTCAAGAAGCAACTTACCCAGCACTTGTCGCCAATGCGCTCGGGGCGCTCGCCGCGGATGCCAACACCGATGACGTGGGTGGTGGAGTAGTACAGGCCCTTGGACAGGGTGATGAGCTCCTGGTTGCCCATCTTCTCGACGAGGTGGTCGACGGCCATGGTGTTGATGAGCGAGCCGTAGCCAATCTTGGTGCCGTCGGCCATGTGGACAATCTTGTTCTCGGCATCGACCTTGGTGACCTCGCCCTGCTTGCCGAAGCGCTTCTTCTCCTTGGGCAGCGTGTCGGCGACGGCAATCCAGATACCACCGGTGCCGTCCCGGGTGGGGAAGCGGAAGGTGGCATTGGGGCCCCAGTTGCCGGCGACCTTGTTCAGGATGATGTTCCTGGTGACGGTCTTGACATCGGGGGCGGCCACTCGCTCACCGAGCCACTGGCATTGCATCTACCGCAAGATGCCACGTTAGCATTCGTGGAACCCTAAGAAAAAAAAAAAAAAACACGCTCAAATTCACTCAATTGCTCATGTTTCTTCTTACCTTGGTGGTGGGAACGGCCCAGACCTTGTAGTTGTAAGGGCGCATGAAGATGTCGGCGAGACCAGGGCCCTGCATTCTCAGAATCCACTCGTCAAAGTCTTTGGGCTTGGTGTTGGAGACGCGGTGCTCCAGAGCGGCGTCAATCAGGCCGTCCATGCATCGGACCTGGTCCTCCTTGGGCAGCATGGAGATGTTGTTCTGGAAGGGGTAGGGCACCCAGAGGCCCTTGTAGCGGACGTAGGAGACGCGCTCGTGGACGGACCAGTCGTCCTCCTTGGGGAGAGCCTCGTCCAGGCAGTCGTCGAAGTACTTGTAGTGGGAGAAGATGACATGGCCACCAACGTCGTACAGCTGGAGAAGGGCGGCAGTTGGTCAGCGCAATTAGTTCGAAGCGCGTGGTTTCTCAAGAGGCAGAGCGAGCACTTACGAAGCCCTCGGGGGTGACGTCGGTGCTGGCAAGACCACCAGCCTTGTCGGCCGCGTCAACGATCAGCCATGAAGGACCGCCCTGGCAAAAGAGTATCAGCATCGACACGAGCGTATCGCGGGGTACCAGAGACCTGGCGGTGAGAGGAGGGGGGAGAGCGCGCATACGATCTGGTTCAGACGCTTGGCGGCACCGAGACCAGTCGGGCCCATGCCAATGACGAGCACATCAACGTTACTGCAATTGGGTCAGTCAGCTCCTCGTCACACAAGATAGACGGCCGCAGAGGGGCAGCAGCATCGCGAGAGACGCGATATTTCGCGCTGGATAAGGGGGAGGGGACGGAGGAGGAGGAGGAGGGCAGCAACGCACATGTCGGCCATGGTGGGGGATATTTCGGTGGGATTTGGTCTTTTGGAGGGGGTGAAAAGAGAGACAATGAAGCTGGAGATGCAAGACGGAAGCCGCAAGAGCACCAAAAAGCAAACGGGCGAGGGCGAGGGTATTAGAAGATTGCCGTTGCAAGAAGAAGAAAGAGAGAGAAGATGTAGGAGGAGGAAGAGGAAGAAGAGGCAATGGCTCGCAAGAAGTACAAAGTAGCCGCGCGCCGCAAATTGCTTTTCAACACCTGGGGAAAGGAGTCGGTCGGGGCGGCGATGGAGGGGCTGGAGCGGCGCTGGGCTTTGGGCTGGACAGGGGCCGGCACCACGCCCAACCCGCCTTTATTTTCTTACCTTATGTATCCCTTACTATTCTAACTGTAGGTAGGTACATACCTTTGCGAGCACTACCTACAGTCCTGTACTGAATTACAGGTACTAATGTCACTATTTCCCTGCCACTCTCACCAGCAATCGCATCAACGACGACAACAACCTGCCAATCCTCCTCCTCCTGGCGACCTGGCCTCTTCCCTCCTTCGACGCCGCATACATACATACCACAGTACAGAAGACCCTGGCACGCCCTGATCCCCCACCCCTCCATCACCGCAGCGGTGCTACTAGCCCGCGTCCGGCCTTAGCATCGCCAGCCTCGACCAACGGCGGGTGGCCAAGCCGCCACTTGCAGGACCCAGGGGACAGTGGGTGAAATTGCCAGAGAGCACGAATAGAGCACGAGCAGCAGATAGTACGAGGTCTGGCAGACTTCGCGGTGGAGGCGGGGTTCCACCCGCCATGATGAGTGGCTGGGAGGAGAGAGAAGAATACGGCAAGTAGTAGTAGTAGGTAGTAGTAGTAGTAGGCAGAGCAGAGACAAGGTGATGACTAGATCCGGTTCCGTTACGAGTTTCAGATTGAGTACGAGGACGATGTAGCGGTACAAGGACTCGAAGATGCCGCCCAGCTGAGGGCACGGTGTTGATACCGTCCGTACCTTGATTCTTGTGAAGGATTGCAGCTATCGAACAGCCCGGAGCCCCGACTGCCGGTTTGCCTCAGGAACGGCAAAAACGTTGGACCCTGAACGCTAGTATCATCAAGTTTGTGGCTGATGTTCTCTCAGTATCACCAATTGTCGTCCCTTTGATAGGTGATAGGTACCTTACCTCTGTGCAGCGGGACACATGCGATCTCGAGGCGCCCTCGATCTCGCCATCATGGCACATTTCCTGTGCGAGGACTGCACCACTGTACTGTAGCATCCGTCTGCGCTAGTAGGTATTGTTATTACTGTTATCTGACCAAGATGGCACAGATGAGGACATCCGCCTGTATCCCGGCTCCGGCATCCACCAGCAGAGCCATCGCAATTTCTCACCAGATAGAGAGACCAATTGCCTGCAAATAAGCCGCGACATGTAATCAGCTGCAAAGCACCATGGCCCCATTGACTGCCTTTTGGTGACGAAGCAAGGCCAACTCGCAGCTCTGCTCCACCAGCTTATTTCGACAGGAGCTTGGCCCCGATTCGGCCGTTGATGCAGAATAAGACAGATGCAGCAACCTGACATGGCGGGCTGCGATAGGACAAGGGCAGATAACAGCACCTCCTCCATGTCGACGACGGTCTACATCTTCCATTACCTTGGCCGTTTGCGTTGCTGTGCCGGTTCACCGCAAACTAAGTACCTAAGGTATGTATGTACGAGGAACGGGAACAAGTCGTGAGAAGCCGTGCAACTAGCGGCCGTTTATCCATCGCCCTGCAAACCTCGAAAAACAACGAAAAAGGAGACACAATGAGCGGTTCTGTCGTACCAGGAAGCACTGCATCCCAGCTCTGCAGTCCTCGTCGTGATACCCCGAGAGGCTAGCTGCCGCTCTCCATGCCGTGTCTCGGTACTCTGGCACAAGCGAGCACCTATCAAAAACCGCCATCTATGTATTTCCCCCCCTCATGGCAAACAGGTTTCCAGTCTCTCACAAGCCCATCTGCCTAGAGGAATGATCTTCAGGGAGGGCGGCCAGGCCAGGAGGAAAAGGCGGCCGGGCGTTTGTGCCTGCGCCAGGAGACGGTGAGATCCAGTCAGATACTATGCAGATCCTCAGCCCATGGGCGTGAGGGCTTCTGGCCACAACAGCTCAGTGGGAAAAAGAAGAGAGAGAGAGAAAAAAAAAAGGGACAGAATGCGTCGTCACCCTTCTGGAGAACTTTCGACGTCATTTTGGATCCTTGCACGATCATCTGGCCCGCTCCTTGAACAAGGCTAGTAGGTGGTTTTCCTTTCCCACAGCTGGCTCCGGACGACATGGAACCTCCTTGACCTTGCCGCCTTGCCTTGCCTTGGTTGGCATGCGGCGCTCCGTTTATTGATCCTGAAACAATGGCAGATCAGAGATCGACCTGCTCCGTGCTCCATGACAACGCCCGAAATCTCTGTAGCCGTGCGTCCCTGTGTGTAGTGTTACTGTGCGACTTTTGCGACGCGATGATGGGTGCACCTAGCAAGATAGGGGACAGAGGGCAAAGGCAAACCGTCTGATGACTCGGCACTCTTGTGCCTGGCGGTAACACAATTGAGGTTTAGTAGTCCATTTGGCTCTGGCATTATGTGCGACGCCGTTGAAAGGCATTAATCGCGTGTCTTGTTTTGCCGCAGCCCCACTGCCGTGATGGATGCACAGCGAGCGAAGTACATAGAGAGAGAGAGTCGCCAGGCTGCTCTCTTTGCCACTGGAATATCTGTCTAAAGGGAGAAGTTGAGTAAGTGGCTTCGGAAGAGGTGTCATGAAGGTCGACTATCAAGGGATCTGGCAGGTGACATTTCTCCGTCGAACCAACTAGAGCAGTTCATGTGTGTACATACACAGACGACGGTTGTGCCCACGGCTTGCACATCCGGATAGGCACTTCTCCTGAATGCCGCCGACCTCCAGCTCCGGCCTCTATAATGGGATCGTCGGTACTTGCAATGCACGCGAAATAGCTTGGTCCTTTGCAGCACTTCCAATCCATCCTAGGTACCTGCTCGACAATGCATGCAGAGTTTTCTCCTTCAATACAAGCCAGGTCCACACTAACACAGTGGGAAGAAGAACAGTGTCAAGGCCATTGTCCTGCTGCATTGAGTGAGAAATCTACCTATTACACGTCTCGCAAGGGCACGGCATACATAGTCCGCCCTGCAAAGCAATCTCTGAGAGAGAAAAAGAAGACATCGTCAAAACCGCTAGAAGCTCTGTCGAACATCCTTCTTCTGCTAACAGATCCGGCAGAGTCAGGCAAGGTCCATTGAAGCTCAGCGCCAAGCTTTGTCCTAGCGCAGGCTCGCATCGTGGCCGACCAGGTTCTACGGCTTGTTCGCCAAGCTTGCCACGGAGAACGCGGAGACAACAACGCAAGTTGCCGCCTCCAACGGCATTACGCAGGGAAAGGCTATTGCGGATTGCGTTGTAGATAGAGTTGGTATCATAAAAGGGGATGCGTCACAGGCCGAGAACCGCTTGGCATCCCCGCGATCTTTCGAACCTACCTCGACCTTTCATTTTCGTCTTCTTCGGCCCCGCTGCTGGGATGATTCCGATACGAAGCTTTTGCACGAGCCGGTTGACGATGAGGCAACTGGATGTCTGATACTCATCAACGAGATCATTGCTGCGTCCGGGTTCAGTGTCAGCAACCGACTTCGGATGACGGCTGTGTGTGCAGTGGTTGTTTGCAGACGAGACTATCTGGTATGCAACGTTGTCTGTGAAGCACAGTGCATCAGACGAAACCGAAATGAAGAGATTTGGAAATATGGGGAGGCCCTCTTTTCCAATCTTCTCAGCTGCCACTTATTACTGCGTGGCTTGAAGTAATACTGTCTCTTTGAGTCAGGTCTCATCAGCGTCTGGGCAGTCTTATTCATTCAACAGGCACTCAGGGCTTTCATTGAAGACGCCACAGTTATACGGAGTACTCGACGCTGGTTGAAACTTACTCGCAATCGTTCCCTACTGTGCAATATCAAAATTCATATAACCATATGCCAACGTGTTATTATTACTCGACGAGCACGACGTCCAGCCCGACGCGTCCCAAGGCGTCCTTGTACCTGTACGCGGCTAGGGCTGTGGCGATGCAGATGGGCTCGGTGCGCTTTATTGGCACCCCCCCTGTTTGCTCCATACTGGGAGACGATCCAATCTTGTGGCTCCAGCTGCCCGTCTTATCGTGCCCTCAAACGTGGGTGGATTGATTCGCCAAGGGGGTGTGAGCGATAGTGGGCATCCCCCCCCCTGTAACTTGAAGGTATCCCGGAGCGCTCCCTGGACAAGAAACCCCTGAAAAGCAACGCAGCCAGGCACCACGGATGGCGAGTAGTACTGGATACCTGGAGTGCGACGAGGAGGGCGCGCTGACGTCGGGTACCCGCAACCCGTGGCGCGTGCTTGCGGGATCAACTCGGAGCGAGAAAGCTTCTTCACCTTTGTCAATCAGCACGCAGGAATCACGGGCCAATTTCCTCGGGGATGGACTTAATTGCCTCGATGTGATGTGATGCGCTCGTTCGTTGCGCCTCTCTCGGGTCTCTTCCAGGTAGCCTCTAGCCTCTGTCTTGTCTCTCCTAGGCCTCTCTCATCTGGTCCTCTAGCCTCTGTCGTAGTCCCCTATTTGACTTCCCCCCCTTCCCTCCCAACCGCCCATCACAAGAGAAAACTTGGTTTCCCTCTTCCTTTTCCCGCTTCTCCAAGCACACCATCGCTCACCTTTTTGTGCAGCTTGTATTTTTCTCTTGCAACTTCATTCCCTTACATCTTCTTCTTCTTCTTCGTCTTCACTTCCAGTCCTTGACCGCAAGCGCCTAAAACTCAATCTCACTCAACCCCCCCCTTGGCTGCTTGCGCAAGACCATTCTTCTTCCGGGCGGTCCCTGTTTTTCCCTCTTCGCCTTACTGTATACGAACACTCGCTTTATTGCATATCCCGACCGCCCCTCACTCTCACCCGACTCTCTTTTTCCTGCCGCCTCTCGTCCAGCCCGGCTTGCGCCCCCCTTGTCCCTTGTCGCCATTCTCGAGGCTACTACTACGTACCCTGCCTGCTAAAAAAAGGACTGCCTGTCTGTCCGTCCGCTCGTTCGCCTGCGCGTCTCCCCTAAAAGTCCAGAGCAAACCTGCGAAGCCGTTGCCGTCGAACCGGACTCTCCTCAACTTCCCTCTCCAAATCTCTTCTCCCGCACGCAACTCGCTGTGAGAATAGCTTCAGTTGCCGCCGCCATGTCTGCCGAAGAAAAGACTAGAGTGTCGGGCGACATTGCTCGCTCCGACAGCTCTCCTGTCCTGCCCACTGTCAACCCTCTGGCCGACAAGCCCGCGCCTGCAAAGGCCTCTTTCCATCCCGTCTTCTACGTTGTGTGAGTAGCAGCCTTGCGAAATGCGACCGACAAACCGAACATGATGGCTAATGACGCGCGGGCAGCACATGGATTGGCTTCAGCTCTTCCGTCATCCTGTTCAACAAATGGCTTCTGGACACGCTCAACTTCCGTACGTTTGGAACCCTCCCCTCCATGGCATTCGGTGCGGTTCAGGTGACGAGGTGCTAACGCTCTCCCGAATTCCAGGCTACCCCGTTATCCTCACGACCTACCACCTGACCTTTGCCACTGTCGTTACCCAGATCATGGCCCGCTGGACGACGATGCTCGATGGCCGAAAGACGGTTAAGATGACGGGCCGCGTGTACCTGCGAGCCGTTGTGCCCATTGGAGTCTTCTTCAGCTTGAGTTTGATCTGCGGCAACCTGACCTACCTCTACCTGTCCGTGGCCTTTATCCAGATGCTCAAGGCCACCACGCCCGTCGCCGTCTTGATTTCCGGCTGGGCCCTGGGCGTGTCGCAGCCGAACCTGAAGCAGTTCCTCAACGTCTCCGCCATTGTTGTCGGTGTCATCATTGCTTCGATGGGCGAAATCCACTTCGTCGTCATTGGTGTCATCTACCAGATCGCCGGCGTTATCTTCGAGGCCCTCCGACTCACCATGGTCCAGCGCCTGCTGAGCTCGGCCGACTTCAAGATGGACCCCCTGGTGTCCCTCTACTACTTTGCTCCCATCTGCGCCGTCATGAACGGAGTCGTTGCCCTGATCTGGGAGTTCCCCAAGGTCTCCATGGCTGAGGTTTACAACGTCGGCTTCTTCACCTTTTTCCTCAACGGTCTCTGCGCCTTTATGCTCAACGTCTCCGTCGTTTTCTTGGTATGTAATCTCCTACCTACTCATATGCTTGCAATTCCACACTTGCTAACCCGACTCTTCCAACAGATTGGCAAGACCTCTGCTGTTGTCCTCACCCTCTGCGGTGTTCTCAAGGACATCATGCTCGTCGTCGCCTCCATGATGATCTGGGGCACCCAGGTGACTGCTCTCCAGTTCTTCGGTTACTCCATCGCCCTCGGCGGCATGGTCTACTACAAGCTTGGTTTCGAGGCTCTCAAGGGCTACGCCGGCGAGGCTGGCCGCCAGTGGGCCGAGTTTGGTGCCCGCAAGCCCATTCTCCGCAAGCTGTCCATCATCGTCATGGCCGTCATGTTCATCTTCTGCGTCTTCGGCGGCCTGGCTCCCACCTACGCCCCCGAGTACGACCCCTCCAAGCTAGCCTCTGAAGTGAGCAGCCACTTCAAGGGCAACCCTGCCGCCGCCGCCGCTGCGCAGGGAGCAGAGTAACCTCCGTCATGAAACGAACCAAGTGGCTCCTTTTTCCTTTGCAAGAGCCAACTGTAAAACGAGGTATGAGTGCGTCAACGGCGTTGTCTGGTTGGAAGGACAGACAATCTAAAACGGTCCATCTTCTGTTTCTTGTGGACGACGGGGCCTTTGAGCGGTCCCAGCGTCACCTTGTTTCATTCCCGCCAACAGAAATTAACCAGCAAACACACAAAGAGAACAGATGGAAGAAGAAAGAAGAGGAAGAAAGAAAAAAAGAGGTCCCTCTGCATTGGAGACAGAGAGGGGGGGGCGCTTTTTAGGTACTATTCCTTGGCTGTTGAGAAGACCTGCTTTTATTCTCATTGTTATTGGTGTATAATTATAGAGCGTCGAGCGGCACTCCAGGTCGATGCCGCTCGGAATCAAGCTTGTATCGCGTCTTTCGGTCTAATTTGATGTACTTTAGACGGGCGCGTGAAGATGAGTTTATAGACATGAAATTTGTTCAAGACTTTGAACGCCTATTGCTGGATGAGTGACATCTTGTAGCAACTGCAATTCTATGTCTCTTCTTGACTTGTCCAATGCTACCGTGACTATAGTTTTCGCACTGCACGATGGAGCCGAAATGCGTCAGTTGGGTCGCAAAGAGTCAATCGGTGTACTTTGTCGCTACAAAACCAAACAATCCATCTTTTTCTCTTGTTTCCGTGCCAGTCCATGGAACAGCAGTGGCCGTCCCGACACCTGCATACCTTACCTATGCAGATAGGTAGGTAGGTAGATAGATTAGGTAGGAAAACTTGTGTGTATCCCGTCTCTCAAAGAGAGGTGCCATGAGTTGCTGCTCTTCTAGAAACTCCCAGGTCACATGGCAAACGAAATCCACTTCACATAGTGAACGAGAAAAGAAAAGTTGTATGTTTTTGGTTTGCAAAATTGATAATGAACTTCATATTTGAGCCCATAAACCGTGGTTCCTTAAAAGTACCAATCGATGCTCTTTACATCCCGCCAACTCCCAGACCGTGATGGAGAAAACGATTTTTAATTTAGAATCCTGTAGAAGGCGATCCGGTTAGTAACCTGTCGCTGTCTTCCATCGTCTGAGCATCTTTCATTGCAAGAATTTGCAACATGGAAGACGACGACCAGAGAGAGAGGAGAAAGTAAAAGGAGGAAGGGAGAAAACATACTCAGAGGGGTAAAGAACCATCGGTTCTTGCCGCTGGTGTATCGCTCCTCGAGCACCTTCTTGACCGTCTTCTTGGCGTCCTCCCGCTGGCTGACCTCCTTGAAGGTGTCTGCGGAGATGGTGCCCTTGATGCCCTCGAGCTCGAGGGTGTATCGCGTGGGCATCAGGTGGTTGTAGTTGATGACCTTGATGAAGGGCTTGACCTTGCTGCGCTTCTCCTGGCGGGTCTTGGACATGCGGCGGGTGATCTTTGAGGGGTAGCGCTCGATGCCGGCGACGATGGCGTGGCCGAAGGGGTGAGGCTTGTTGCCGCTGTCGACGGGCTGGATGATGACGACCTGGTTGGTTGAGGAGCAATGTCAGCACTTCTTTATAGATGCCGAAGACTCGTAAGAAGAAGAAAAAAAGAAAATCAATTCCACAGCGCTCGTTGTCGTATATCAATTCGATCGTCCCTCGTTTCCTCTGTATCTCCTCCCATTGCCCTCCCGCAACAATAATTCGACCGTCCGAGAGTAGGAGGAGACCATGGAGAATTTTTGATCGAGAGACCCGTCGAGATCGATATGACAAAACTGCGCTCGTTTTTTCCGTGGATAGATGGAAGCTCGTAATCATTTGAAAAATCGTACCTTCTTGCCGGCATATCGGCCTCGGGTGATGATGGCGACTCGGCCGACCTTGAGGAACTTCATTTTGTCCTGCCTTGGTGGTTTGGGAGGTTGGCTGGAAGGGGGAAAAAAAAGAAGGGGGAAATTTCGTCGGGTCGAGTGGCAGGGCCGTGATACGGGAATTTGGTGCAAATTTTGGGGTTTGTGGGCTGGCGGATTTGGGGCAAGCGATTCGCAGGTGCGCAGTCACGTGGTGATTGCGCTTGCTTATCGGGGGTGGTCCGTGCGCTGGGCTGGGTCGGGGGGGCTGTCGATGTGTGCGTCTACCTTATTCGCTCTTGGCGTGATTATCTTGGTATTACCGTCAAAGAGTGAATTGAACACAAGCGACAACTCTTGAAGAATACTGAAAATACAACCGATCTGGCCTCGAAAATGCCTGCTCCGACATACATCATCTCACGGGTCGCTGATCCCATCTTTGCCGTCGTCATTGGCGTGTCGGCCGCAGCAACGAGGATCAACCGTGAAGAAAAGGCCAAGGGAAAGACGACGAATGAGACAATTGAGGCCGGCCTACGGTATGAGACATGGGAGTCCGTTCACGCTTCAAGATGCTGATTTTCCCTGTATAGACGCATTGGGCTCTCCAAGAAGTAATTCTTGATATTCTTGCATCGCCATCTTGAAAACGCCACCAAACCATGCTATGAAGACACAAAGCGCCAAAGTTATCATGGCTGATCAAATGCCACAACCCATCCGTTTCTCATGGATATACAACAAGAAATCTCAATTATCTGCATCACAAGACAAAGCTTCACACCTCAAACGCGGGACCATATTCCTTCTTCATCGCCTCTCGGACAATCTGACCGCAGAGCTTCGCCGTGGGGTTGACACTGACGGCCAGCGCCTTGGCAATCTGGTTCCCATAACGGCCTCCAAGCGCCAAGTCTCTTGACGCGGCCTCCTCAAAGTCGATCCGGGTCCAGGTGGCTTCCTCGCGGCTTGCATCGACATCCAGCTGCCGATCCGACATGAGCTTGGCTGTTTTGAGATAGATTGCCGCTCGCTGCGTGTGCGCCATGGACAGCGTTCGCGCAGCCTGCGAAGACATGGGAGACGTTGGTGAGGACGGGGTGAGCAGCCGGATTGCAGTTTCCATGTCCTCCAATGTTTGCTTTGCCGCTGCCCTCCTCTCCTGCTGCTCCGGCTCGGGAAGCAGCGGCATGGGCATGGTCGCTGTGTAGCTGAGCAGCATGGCATCGCCATACAGGCGGCGCATGATCTGGGCGCGGTTGTTTCTCGCGCTAGCATAGAGAGGATAATCTGAAATGAGATGACTGAAATCCGACACGCAGCTCTTGTAGCTTTCAACGGCCTTGTCGCTGTCGTCCTCGCTCTGGAAGCTGCTGAGCTGCATCTCGATGGCCTGGAGCGTGCGGATGATGGTGCGTTCCCTCTCGACGACTCTCTCGTACACGCTGTGGTCGACAATCTGCGGATCGCGAGGCAGCGCAGGGTCAATGACGACGCCAGCAGCCGGGTTGGACTCGGGATCCTTGATCTTTTCCAGCACGTTGATGTCGTGCCTGCTGAGCGATACTGTCGTCATGTTGGCGGTTCTGTTGTTCCTGGGTTGAGAAGATGACAAGTGGTATTATCAGATGAAATTGTAATTGATGTTGTTCGCAGCAGAATTCGCGATTTGAGCAGATCAGAAACACATGCGACAGAGACAGCAAACAAGCGGTGGCTTCGATTGATATGAAACCCGGACAGGCTGATGCTACTATTGGGGTTGGGGCAATCCCTCGAGTAGCCGCGTCAAGTGACGGGTTTGTTGGTGCCCTTTCCGCAGTCATCTTGGCTCGACTAATACGCCCCAGAAGCCTTACGAACAGCTTCGGCACTCGGCGGAGCTTGGCTCCAGACGCATCACAGCGGAAACCATTTTCCCCCCTTCTCCCTTGTCAAACGATCGATCGACGCCCGTATAAGCTTTCATCCGCCAGCATCTCCAAAGAGCGCGAGCGCGAGGGCGAGAATGCCGTCATTCTCCTCAACTCGGTGACGGCGGAACATAAGCCGGGCGGTGGTGGGGCGGCCATTGTCGGCTTTCCTCGGCTGGCACCGCCGGAGCGGATACATTCCGCACGGCAGACAACAGCGACGACTCCCGGCGCTACGGCCTCGATGCTGCGAAAAGGAGGTTTCGAGGGGCGTCTGTTGGACGATCGCGGCATGGGCTGCAGCCACTCGGAGCCAGTCAGGATGCTTGGATTACCTCGAGACTGGGCGGGAGCAGCGGGCTGTTGTGATCGGAACTGCGGCTAGCGGGAGCCCTACCGAGCATGACTGCTGCTGCTGCTGCTGCTGCTGCTGCATGCACTATTACGGGAGCACAAGCAGGAGGCGGAGGAGGAGGATGTGCCGGAAGAACCAACGTAAGCCGCCTCTGAAACCTTGCTGTCAATGGAGAGCTTGCTTGGGCCGCTAGAATCCATCGCCCTCTCTCGCCTTTGCTCGGGGTGCGGGACAGTTCCGATGGATGCAGGAGTGAGGTTTCGGCGGAGAACATGATGAAGCCTTGAAGCTTCATAAGACAGGCGTGCCCTCTCATGGACCACAGAGGCTCGTTTGTATCTGATATCTGTTCTACATCACCACCAATACCAACACACCATCTCTCTCAACCATCATCAAAGACCTCTTGCGTCTGCATCTATCCCGTCTCTACCAACATACATCTACAGCCCAGACGCAAACAACCCCCCTCCCCTTATACCTTTCTGAGTGGCAATGTCCCCTTCTGCAATCAGCGACTCCCCCCAGCAGCGCCCTGCCGCCAACGACACCACCCCGGACAGCCTCGCCATCCAGCCGCCCGCCGACTTCACCGGCTATGACCACGTAACGTGGTGGGTGGGCAACGCCAAGCAGGCGGCGTCCTACTACACGACGCTGTTCGGGTTCGAGACGACGGCGTACCGCGGCCTCGAGACGGGCAGCCGGTATTTCGCGTCGTACGTCGTCTGCTGCAACGGCGTCCGCTTCGTCTTCACGTCGCCGCTGCGGTCCGAGGCGCACCTCCCCGAGGACGAGCCCATCTCGGACGCCGAGAGGAAGCTCCTGAGGGAGATGCACGCGCACCTCGAGCGGCACGGCGACGCCGTCAAGGACGTCGCCTTTGAGGTGGACAATGTCGAGGCCGTGTACAGCAAGGCCGTCGCCGAGGGCGCCGTCGCCGTGCAAGGCCCGACGGCGACAAAGGACGAGCACGGCTCCGTCACCACGGCCGTCATCTGCACGTACGGCGACACGACGCACACGCTCATCAACCGCCGCGGCTACGCGGGGCCCTTCCTGCCCGGCTTCCGCGCGGCCAGCAAGCGCGCCTCGTCCGTGGCCCTGCCCGACGTGCCGCTCGCCCGCATCGACCACTGCGTCGGCAACCAGTCGTGGAACGAGATGGTGTCCGCCTGCGCCTTTTACGAAAAGTGCCTGTCCTTCCACCGCTTCTGGTCCGTCGACGATTCCCAGATCTGCACCGAGTTCTCCGCCCTCAACTCCATCGTCATGTCCTCCCCCAACAACCTCGTCAAGATGCCCATCAACGAGCCCGCCCCGGGCAAGAAGAAGTCCCAGATCGAGGAGTACGTCATCTTCAACTCGGGCCCCGGCGTCCAGCACATTGCGCTCCTCACGCCCGACATCATCTCCTCCGTGTCCGCCCTGCGCGCCCGCGGCGTCGAGTTCATCAACGTCCCGTCCACCTACTACGACACCATGCGCCAGCGCCTCAAGACGGAGAAGCGCAACTGGCAGCTCAAGGAGGATCTTGATACGATTCAGCGGCTCAACATCCTCATTGACTATGATGAGGCTGGGTACCTGCTGCAGCTCTTTACCAAGCCGTTGATGGACCGGCCGACGGTGTTCATCGAGATTATCCAGAGGAACAATTTCGAGGGGTTCGGCGCGGGCAACTTTAAGAGCTTGTTTGAGGCTATTGAGCGGGAGCAGGCGGAGAGAGGGAACCTGTAAAAAGGACCTCATGATACCAATGGGCGGGGAAAAAAAGGGGGAGGCGAGTGATGGGAAGGAAAGCATTCTGTTCAGGAGTTTTGTTTGTTTATTTGTCGATCTTATGGGAGCATTATGCTTAGTTTGCAGCCATGATATGAATCACACGCTGAAATGAGATGTATTTTGATCAAGATGGAAAATTTCCCCCCTCATCTTCCAATTGTGATATGATGTTATACAAGCCCCCCCTTTTACCAATCTTGACTGAAGCTATCCCAAGAAAAAGGGTAGCTGGAAAGGCATCGCCCAAAAGTACCGACCGAGACTCCGTACATGCTCATCTAAAACGCCCAAGACAAACAAACTATAAATGTCTGTAAAAGATACCCAATACGCCCAAATAGACAGCTACTCCCCCTGCCACCCTGTGGCACTTTTTCTGCCCCGGGGTCAGTAATAAGCCCCCCGTCTACCCATCTATAGCCATCATCCCACCATTCGTCGTATGCCCATTCCCATTCGCCTCCACCCCATCAGTCAACGGCGCCGCGGCAGCAGCAGCCTGCTGCGACTGGCTCTGACACCCGGGACAGTTGTGTATCACCATGTGCGCAAAGACATCGCAGTCGATGCAAAAGTGGTGGTCGCACACCTGGCACTTGTACCGCCCGCTTTCGCTGACGCCCTTTGCCGGTGCTTTTGCGGGCGCCGCCTCGTCTTTGCCCTTTTCCTTGTTCGCCTTGGGAGGCTCGGGAAAGGGGCTTTGGCAGGAGAAGCAGGCTGTGGATCGTGCGGCTTCAGCCCAGGGCACTTCGACCCAGTTTCGCAGGGGGAACAGGTGGTGATATGAGCGAGCGAGATGTGTGGAGAGAATGAGCGTCAGTCCACAGGCGGGACACTCCGAAGGCAGCCTGCACACCTTGACACCGCAACGAGTGCACAGGTAGCCCTCCCGACAAGGCTGGCTATGACAAGCACAATAGCTGGACGTCCCGCCAGGGGCAAGCGTCCGCGACGGAAACCCCATCATCAGGAGACTTGCCGTGCTCTGCTCCTTTGTCCGATTCACCGGAGGCGTCGTCAGCGCCAGGAAGAGCTCCTTGAAGTGCGTCTCGTCCATGGCGACATTGTACTGAGAGTCGTCTCCCACGTTTGTCCGAGAGCACAGCTCCGCGCAAATAGCCACCTGGGCGGACAGCCCAACCACCGACACCCGTATTCGCTCAGCGACGAGATTGTTGATTGTGTCGTGGATGTCGCCGGGGTCGCTCGACAGCAGGGCGCCGTAGATGATGAGTACCTCTCGTGTGCCATGTGAAGGAGCGTGACTATGATCATACATGCAGCAATTAGCCCCTTGACACTCAATGAAAAAAACACAAAAATTCCCATGGTCGGCGATTACTCACAACAAGGCGCCCCGACACATCTCGAGCGCATTCTGCAAGCTCGGATTGCCCGACGGATCCTGCCCCTCGTACTCCCGCAGCCTCTCGAGGTGCTCCGCGGGATTACCCCCCATGTCGCTCACGCGCAGCGCCACGCCGTCCCTCATGCCCACAATCGCCAGCTGCGAGATGGGGTTCTGCTCAAAGTACTCGCGCACAAACGCCGCCGCGTAGCTCAGCGCCAGCCGGTACCGCGTCGGCAGCAGGTCCTTCTCCGCCATGGCAAACGACATGTCCAGCACCAGCACCAGGTGCCGGATGATGCCCCTCTGCAGCGGCGTCGTGTCGCGCAGCAGCCGCCGCCGCCGCTCCGCCTCGTAGCCCGCCAGGTTGAGCATCCCGTCGCTCTCCTCGGGCAGGTCCGTCTCCCACGTGCGCCGCGACTGCTCCCATGCCTTGGAGCCGCCGTTGCGGTCGCGTTTCCGCTTGGCCGGCTTGGAGCCCTTGGGACGTGCCGCGTTCGGGTCGCCGTCCGTCACGGTGTGGTCCATGATGTCGTCGTCGGACATGTCGTCGGCGACGAACTCGCCATCGGAGTCGGCCATGGTGGAATTGAGTGCTGCTGGAGAGCGTACAGTGAATGACTTATGTCCAAAGGGGTAGGATCAAGGCTTGAGGTCGAAAAAGACGGGGGAAAATAGAAGAAGAGAAAAGCGCGTGTGGTTCAAAGAAAGAGAGAGAGAGGAGGGAGAGAGAGAGAGAGAGATGACGTGCAGTTCGTTAGAGAGGTCAAGTCACGAATCGATAAGGCTGCTAAAGGACGGAAACTCACAGCCTTGTTACATAGTGCTCGAGGTTCCCCACCACAGCACCGGCCTATCAGAGTCCTGCTAAATGTGCCTAATCGGTATAGCTTGCTCTTGACCACAAGGAAGCCTTCATGTTTTTATTTGTACGAGTACTATTTGAGATAGACTCAACCTCCTGACACTGAATCCACTGCTTCATGTTCAATCAACTGCGAATATTACTCTCTTCCTTCGGGGTATACTAAAAGCCACATCTAAACCACTATACATGCTGTCGGGCCATGAGCCCGCCCAAGCGTGTAACCTAGAAACCAGGAACATAGTCGATGTTTTTCTCCCACATTCTTTTCTCCAACTCTCAGATGTCTCCAACCAAAGCGACACCAGTACGCAAAACATTATTACTAAAGAAGCCCAAACACCTCGCTCACGGAGGGCTGAACAAAGAAGAGAAGAAGAAGAAGAAAATAAAGAAGCAACTCTAGCTCCAACATGATGCGGCTGGTCGCTTCCTCCACTCGCCTCAAACAAGGGGATCCGTCACTGCTGGCTTATTGCATCCAGTTCCATATGTGCTGCGTGAGCGTGTCGCCCGACTCGTCGTAGAACTCGTCGAAAAAAGTGAGAAAGTATATATAAGAGAAGAGGTGAAACTGTAAATGCTGCCGCCTGAACGCCGAGTTTCGAACCCAAAAGAGAAAAAAAAAATGTCAAAAAAATATCTTAGTTGTATGGCTGAGAGTTGTACGGTTGGGTGTTGTATGATTGAGGAGTGTACGACTGGGAGGCGTAGCCTGGGCCGGCGTAGGCTTGGCTGGAGTATCCCGTGTTTGCATATCCCGCAGTCGCAGTGGAATAGCCTGGCGAGGTATAGGTCTCCGTAGCGGGCATGGGCCAGTCGTCCTCGGTGATGCTGGACCAAAAAACCCAGACCATGCCGACGGCCAGCAGGGTGAATAGCGTCTCGAAGAGGGCTCCGTCGATCTTGCCGTTGGTCCCATCGCAGATGTACTTGCTGACGACGTAGTTGAAAACCTGGCCGGCGGCAAAGAGCACGGCGGCAGCGGCCAAGTAGATCATGGGACGAAGCTCGCCCAGGATTCGAAGGACGAGAACCGTCTCGAGGACGAAGAAGGCGACGATGAAGATCAGGGGAACCAGCTGGTACAGCACATAGAGGGCAATGTTGCGGTTTGGGAGTTGATAGCTGCTATCCCAGAATCCGGTCCAGCTGAATCCAGTGTCGAGCGCAATGTAGCCAGTGCCAACAAAGAGGGCGCCTGCAGATATCAGAAGCAGCGCCAGGGACAAGGGGGTTCCGTCGTCGAGCAGCTGGTACCCAACAACGGCGTTGAGCATCAGGATCCAAGTAGACGCGATAATCATGCCAATGTGAATTGCGCTGAAAACCTGAAGGTGGAATGTCAGTCAACCGTCAACAAGCGCACGATGCTTGGATATCAAGGATGGCTCATAAACTCACTACTCGCACAGTCTTTCCAAGGGGGATTTCGCCGACCGAAAAGATCTCGCAGATGCTGACTAGGATATAGCTGAGTAGGAATAGTTGAATCTCACTGCCACGCCGTTAGCTCTGTCATCCCATGCGTGTGAAGCAATTGGCGGTAGCACATACCGACGGCCGACGGCGGCCTTTTTCTTGTCCGACTTGATAATGAGGAACGACGCCATGGCAATCCCGAGGCCACAAAGAATGATCGATCCAAGATTACCCAGATGTCGGCCGCCGCTGAGCGGGATTCCCGTGAGCGTACATCCTCCCCAAGGACCGGTCTGGTTCTTGAATTGTTGTGATAGCAACTGCAGCAGGCAAATGGTCAGCTTTGCAAACAATCCTCCTTTGGGCCCTGTTTCTCCGTCTCTTCCTCTCCTTGTCCTTCTTCTTTCCGATCTTGCACCTCAAGTCAGCAAGCACTCACGTTACAGATCGGCAAGGTTGAATCCTTGCAGAAGTCCTGTTTGCGAGCTTGGTCAGCAACACATCAACAAACAACAACAAACGCAGAGACGATGCGACATGAAGATCGGACGAGAGCGTACGTCAAAGTTGCCAAAGGCTGTGGACCCCATTGTGATTGCGGATGCTTTGAGCAGTTGGATCAGCACGCGAGCAGCATCCGGCGATGCAATCACAATCGGGAGTGGACGAATGGACGAGACGGCAGCAGAGCGAGCAGTCAGGACGATGGATGGTGTCGACAATTGACGATCGATCGGAGAGTGCAGCTGTTCGGCGTCTGCTTGCAGGTGGCGCTAAGGCAGCTGCAGAGGTTGGTCGGGGAGCGCGTGTCAGGGCCAAGATGCAACTTGGAAACGAAGCTTGAGCCCTTGCTGCTTCTCCTCGTCTCGCTTCGTTCGTTTCCTTGCTGTTTTTTTTTTTTTTTTCTTTCTTTCCTCTCTCGTCGCTACGGGAGGGTCCGTTCCAGTCGGATCGTACTTCGGGGGCGACGCGAGGCTGCGGGAGTCTTGCCGCTTATATCGACGTAATTCGTGCGCTGTCTGTGGCAGATCTGGCTGCGACAACAACGGATCGAAGTGTGAGTGCTCGACACGCAGCTCGGAGGGAACCAGGAGCCCGTTTGTCAGCTGTATGCGCGGTGTCGCGACCCGGCTGGCGGATGGATCGTCTCCAATGCGGCGCCCCGTCTGTGCCAGCGGTTTGGGCCGTGATTTGGGGCCAGGCCAGACGCTCCAATCTGATGACAGGCGAGGCCGAGTCTCGCTTCGACGGTGCGCTTTGCCGGTATAATTCGGGGCTGTGGAGGAGGATGAGTGCAGAGACAGGCAGAAAAGGTCGAGTCCTGAGAAGCAAGGGAGAGCAGAACCGCTGGCGGTCCGAAGGAGAAAAAACGGGGGTGTTCGACGCACCTGCAGCATGGAACTGAGGGAGCTTTTCGGCCGGGGGGCAGCGCCTGGCGATACCGATTCTGATACGTGTAGCAGTACTGGTGATGAAGGGAGTACCGCGGGCCAGCGCCGGCAATGCGTGGATTGCGCATGTACATGCCAGTGCCCGGTGACTCCCCTCAAGGTCGAGGTACTGCACAGTACCGTATCCTCGTAAAGGCAAGGTAAGGTACCTTTAATTCCAGCATTTGTACGTACGGCCTCAGCACCTACGAGTACGAGTACTAACGAGGGACCTTTTGGAGTCGCCAAGTCTGGCCCATGGCAGCATGCCCCCATCGCGAGTGGTTGGGCCGCGCCGCTAGACAACTGACCGAAGCAACCATCAGGACCCATGGCCGAGCTGCTCCAGGCCTGTTCCTCGCTGTTCCGCGCCCTAGCCACGCCCCGTCAAGCCCCCGTCAAGCCCCCCCGGGCCTGGCCACTGGGTTCCAGCACTCTCACAGCGGCCTGGCGCTGAGCTCTAGCACTCTCTAGCGGCAGCCTGGCGCGCCCGACCTCGACGTCGAGGACCCAACTGGGCAGCTAAAGCAGGAACGGGCTTGCTGAGTGGACGGGGTGGAGTCTCGGCTGATTCCACGCTAGTGCTATACGCAGCATTATTGGCTGACAATCCTTGCTTGGACAGGGGCACACCCTTGTGATTTCTCTCATAGCTGAGATGACTGAGACAATGGAAAGCAAAGACAAGAGGCCAGACGCAAACGGAGAAACAATTGCGAGTGCGACCTCATCTCACGTTATTCGCGGGTACAGCAGGTAGGCCGGGGTCACCAAGCCTCGGGCTGGAATATGAATGTCTGAGACCTTCTGGCAAGGCGCAGTCGATCATACCATCTCATCCGCTGTGTAGGTAATAATATCCCGATTGTCTTGATGGAGGCACAGTATGTACAGTCGGGAAAGCCTCATGCATCAATGGCAATTTGCCGTCCCGGCCACTAAAGACTCCAGTTCGTGACTACAATCTGCGCTAAAGACATCAATCCATCGACGATGGCCCTCTCAAATCCTCTCTTCCAGAACCAAAGCGCCATAGCATGGAATCGACACTTGTAAATGCTGCCACTGTTGATGAAAACCCAACGAGCTTCATGTTTTCTCGTATGGCAAATAACGCACACGCCAGCCAATCGAATGCTTCTAAAGACATCACATACATACTTTAGCCCAATAGATTGACCACCACACACACACACACAACACATGTGAGGTGGTTGATGTAAGGCTACGTGGCGCTGCATATCGACGTGTGGCTTCGTCAAAACGATCCCCCCCAACGTCTGGAGCTCCCAGCTGTGGCCGTCGCTTAAGCCGCCACGCATTGCATCTTGCAGGTGATCATCATGCAGCTTAACGCCCATTTGCTGCGTCTCTTTTCCTTTCTTTTCTTTTTTTTTTTCTTCTGTTCTTCTCTTTTCTTTCTTCTGCTTCTTCACGATACTGTACCATTACCACCACTTCTAAGCGAACCAATGAGCAACTTGCAAGCATCTCCATGCTGCAACTCGACAAATAGACAGAAGAGCAGAAAGGCTGGATCCGTGCGTGACAGTCCCGGCTTACTCCCCAGCATGACCCAAGCAAGCGAGCAAGGCCCAAAGCACGGGGCATGTTCATGCATGCACTCGTACGAGTTACGGAGACACGACCGGCCTTGGGCACTCAATCGCGCTCTCCACAGCACCTCCATGCGTCAGACACCCAACGCCGCAAATCGCGGCTCTGCAAAGCTGCGTCAGCGGTTCCAAAAATGGCATTTCCCATCCATTCTATCGGTCCTCGCTACTGATATTTTCAGGCTGTTGCTCCAATTCTAGTATTCATGTCTCCAAGCATGTCTCGTAGGAAGTGGTGAGCTTCAAATATCCGAGTCAGACGCTCAGTTCGTATTGGCATGACTGTCTTGGAGGACATTTGGTTTGATTACGTTGTCGCACACGCTCATACACCTCCCGCGGCTCAAACGACACTCCTCCTATGGGAGCCCGGCCACGGCCTGTTAGTGTGAAGCGGGTGTCACGTTTAAATTGCTTCTTCCGCAGTCCTTGCGGGTCTCTTCCCACGGTTGGACAGCCTTGTTTTGCATGTTTTTTTTTTCTCTTCTTTTTTTCTCGATTCGTTCTTCACTCTGGATTGCAGCTTTGCTTTCGTGCTGTGCTGCTCGGTAAAAGAAGGGCACGTAGGATCGTTGGGACAATAGCCTGCGATGTTTGTTCGCGTTGTCTCGTCCCATGTAAATTCGGGATAACCCGGCGTAGCGCTGCTGATGTGTCCCGCCGGACGGGGTGTTTTCAATGTCCGATCTTCTCGGCGATACAAGGTGAATACTGCCTCGCTCTAGACTTGCACGGTCAACCTTGCTTGACCGAGCATGAGCGCAAGAGGTATTTCGCCCATGCAAAAAGTGAATTGTAGGGCAAAAAATCTCTCCCGCCGGGAATTGAACCCGGGTCTCAAGCGTGACAAGCTTGCATACTGACCACTATACTACGGAAGATGTTCCAGGCGTTGGGCGCCTGTTGTAGCGGATCACGTGCTGGAAGCTGGTCCATTTTATCCTATGAGGCTATGCGTTCCGTTTCGTCAACCGCGGGCTTTTGTTTGGATAGTACCTACAACCACGGCCTGTCAACAGTCGTAGAGTTCAATTGTTGAAAAGACACGAGATAGATTCGTGTATAGGCATGTCAGCTGCTTGCGTCTAATAAATTCTCGCCATACCTTGGCCGGACCCACCATCCAACTAAGGTATATCATGTCGAAAGATTTCCAGCGGCCTCAGAACAAAATTCAATACCTTGCCGTTGCCTACCCGCTCCTTCAGGGTAGGCCGCATCAACATATCCTCACCAGCCTACATTAAAAGGTCGCAGCAAGTGACTTGTATTCCGAGCCTTGAATGGGCGCCTTTCAATGTACCCGGTAACGTGCAGCACTCTGGTTGGGTCGCCTGCAATCGATTGTGCATCCAACGAGGCAGGTATGGCCCAATCAGTAATTGCTCCGTGACACATGAACGCACAAAAGGCTGGAGCAAATCAGCTCCCAAGTCAGCCTCCCTGAGGCTCTATTACCTCTACGCATCCAATCGATATGTCGCAGGAGTCAACACCACCTCACCTACTCAACGGCCTATTGAGACTCTAGACCCGCATACCCATTTCTGTGCTTCAATAGAGAAGGCATTGAAGCGCAATGCCGCGACTCATCAACAAGCTGAAAGCAAAACTGTCGAGGACAGAATCGGGAAGAAACAGCCAAGTACACCCGTCTGCTCAGCCCAACTCCCCGACTGAGCCCAATGCAGTACCGGCCGTCCTCAAGCCTCCAACGGGCATTGTGCCGATTGTCGAACAAAAGCCCCTTCAGGGGAGGCTATGGAACGAAGCATACGAGTTGCTGAAATCGAGCAACGCCGAGCTCGTAGCGTCATACGAGAAGGTCCTCTCCCGGGAACTCCTTCGCGGTCAGCATGGCAATACTGAGTCTGCCTCTTCGGAGAATCGAATCGATGCCGAGTACGGCGAGAGATGGAGACAAATGTATACGGTTGCGGATGCGGCTCTGAGACGGCAGGAAGAAAAAGTAGCAAAGAAGCAAAAGATTGGTGCTGGCCTGGCCGCAGTGAGTACTGCCATGAGGCAAGCTCTTCGAACTGTTCCAGAGGCTGCAGTTGCATGGACTGGAGTCTGTCTTGCTTTTGAAGTGGGTTCATGAGCTCCATGTGCGGTCAATCATCTGCTAACGGCATCCGAGATGATATCAAATTCCATCCAGGAAGCAAAGGCGAATCAAAAAGGTATGGTGTATGTTATATCAAGGATGGACTGGTATTGGCATCTTCCCGACATACTCCTGGAAGGCGACCAAAGCGAACCAGCACCAAGCGCACTGCGCGACCGGACCGAGAAACATATAGTCGACCTGTACCATAAGCTTCTCCTCTACCAAATGAAGAGCGTATGCCGTTATTATCGCCAACACGGATCAGTACTTTGGAGAGATGCGATCAAGACTGATGACTGGACTGGCCAGCTGGACGATATCCGCCATGCCGAGGCAATTGTTCAAGAAGAAACCAGAGCATTCAACGGCCTGGAAATTCACAGGCGACTTGCCGAGATCGACCGAAGCAGTCGAATACTTCAATCTGACATACAAGGCTTCTGGCCGAAGCTTCAGGAGCGTATCCTCAGTCAGGACGAGGAGCGTTGTCTGAAAGACTTGCGCGTCACCGATCCACGCGATGACAAGTCCCGAATTGAACTGACAAATGGTGGCCTTTTGCAAGGCGTCTATGGCTGGGCTATTAAGCATGATGACTTCGTTGCTTGGCGAGATGGCAAGGAAAAGCATCTGCTGTGGATCAAAGGTGATCCCGGCAAGGGGAAGACGATGCTTGTGTGCGGTATCATCGACGAACTGCAAATTTTAGATATAAGGCCGTGTTATTTCTTCTGCCAGGCAACTGATCCGCGACTAAACACTGCCACGGCTGTTCTACGCGGCCTCATTTACTTGTTGGTGGATACGAATCGACAACTCCTCCCACACATCCAGGAAAAGTATGACCAAGCCGGCACAGCCCTATTCCAAGACGCCAATTCGTGGGTCGTGTTATCTCAAATGTTCACCAAACTGTTAGAGGATCCCAGCTTGGACGGGCAGGTATTTATAATCGACGCACTTGACGAATGCCAGACAGACTTGGAGCGGCTCCTTGATCTGATAGTTGGAAAATCCGCAAACCCTCATGCGAAATGGATCGTGTCAAGCAGGAATTGGACCACGATCGAGGCAAAGCTGGGCGCAGCATCACAAAAGATTCGTTTCTCCCTCGAACTGAATGAGCAGTCAGTGGCTGAGGCTATTTGCGTTTTCGTATCCCAAAAAGCGGCTCAATTGAGAGTTGCGAAAGGGCTGGACGAGGAGATGGAACGAAAGGTTCAAAGCTACTTGACCGACAACGCGAGAGGGACATTTCTCTGGGTGGCTTTAGTTTGCAAAGAATTGTCAAGAATGGGAGTGCGCAAAAGACATGTTATGAAGAAGATGGCCGAATTCCCGCCTGACCTTGGACCGCTTTACGAAAGAATGATGCAGCAGATCCGCGAATCAGAAGACTCTGACTTGTGTGAGAAGATTCTACTACTGGCTGCCATCGTATACAGACCTGTTACGTTGGCGGAACTGGCGTCTCTCTTGGACATTGAGGATGATTTCAGCGATGAAGACCTCGAGGAAATAGTTGCCTCGTGCGGATCCTTCCTGGTTGTCAGAGACAGCGTGGTGCGGTTTGTTCATCAATCTGCGCAAGACTTCTTGCTAAAGGACAAGACGTTTGCCCCCCGACTTGGAAGCCAACACTATGCCGTTTTTCTGAGGTCTATGGAAATCCTGTCAGCGACTCTGCGGCGCGACATGTATAACCTCCGCTATCCTGGCGTCCTCATTGAGGAGCAAATGCCGAATCAACAAGAAGATGTCCTGAGACATGCGAGATACTCTTGTGTCTGTTGGGCAGATCATCTCAAAGCCGTCAACGACCTGGAGAAGGAGAAATGTGTGCTAAGTCTACAGAAAGACGGCATCATCCACCGTTTTCTCAACAATAAGCTGTTGAACTGGCTGGAAGCCTGCAGCTTAATCGGGGGAATGACGGACGCCACAAGAATGGTTGGGACCTTAAGAGGCTTGGTAAGTGAGCCCCTTCAATGATGACGATGGCTAACCAAGAACTACCTCATGATAGACGACATCCAATACCTGCGAATTCCAGGACCTCATAGAAGATGCATACCGCTTTGTTCTGTCCCATAGAATCGGAATCGGGCTTGCGCCTTCGCAGATCTATAGTTCGGCCCTGATCTTTTCTCCAACATGCAGCTTGGTAAGGCAGCGATACGAAGAGACGGAAGGCCCAGAGTGGATCGTAAAGCTACCATTTATGCCCTCAGAGTGGACAGCACGCCTACAGTGTCTTGAAGGCCACAAGGACATTGTCACTGCATTGGCGTTTTCGCGCGATGGAACACAGCTGGCATCTGGCTCAGTTGATCATGAAGCCAAGGTCTGGGACATAGAGACAGGCGTGTGTCTGCATACATTCAGCTGTCACGACGCCGTCCGTAGCACAGCATTTTCACCCGGCGGTGAATACCTCGCTACTGGTTCCAATGGAGCAGTTGAAGTCTGGAATCTTACAACAGCAACGATCTCATCCATGTTTCGGGTCCCAGCGTGTACTGACTGGTGGGACCTGAAGGATATGCACTTGACTTTTTCGACTGATGGCACACGGCTGGCTGCAAGCTGCAACGGTTGGGGTATTCTCAGTTTCATTCGCTCTTGGGATGTTGGCACAGGAATGGAACTGAAGAGTCACTCTCTCGGCCACAACATGAGATGCCATACTGCCTTTGCACCCGATGGAACCCAGCTCGCCGGCGTGGTGGACAAACAAAACAAGCAAATACACATCTGGAACTTGAGCACCGACGTGCATCTCTCTCCGCGTACTTTCGACGTCGATGAGTTTGAAGAGCAGCGCTTTTCGTGGGCTGCGGATTTCTCGTTGGACGCTTCACGACTGGCGATGGCACCGTCACGATGCATCCACATACTTGATGCTTCAACGGGAAATTGCCTCCAGGAATTCGGCAAGCAATCCGAAGTCTTCGATGCGCTGAAGTTCTTGACTGACCCCAAGAGCTTGATGTCAGCCTCGGGAGGTGGATGTTATAGAATCTGGGACATCACTACTGGTGCATGTCTGCGGCAACTCAATTGTGATAGTCTATCCGCGTGCAACTTGGCAGTACCTTCACCGGATGGCACGTTGATCGCAGACCTATCAGGGGCTGCGGGTAGCAATTATCAGATCGAACTATGGGACATGGCCATGAGTGTTTCCACGAAGGCAAGCAAGAAACTCACCGATGTTCTTTGGAAACTCCTCTTCTCCCCAGACGGCAAACATCTTGCATTGGCATTCTTCTCTGAAGAAGTACACAGTAGTACTATCGAACTCTGGGATTCAACTAACGGCGCATGTTTAATGAAGTTCGAAACCTCAGGACAGCTAATTACTTCCTTGGCATTCTTTCCGGATGGCCAGCGGCTGGCGTCAGGGGGGGCGCAAAGTATCGATATTTGGGATGTCTTCTCGGGTGTGCGCCTACAGTCCATCAATGTCGAGTCTGTAATAAGCACTGGCCCTGGTATTGGATCGATCGCGCTCTCATCGGATGGAAGTCTATTGGCAGCCGCATCCATGGGTCCTCCAGTGTTTGGAATATGGGATACGAATTCAGCTGGCAGCCTACAATGGTCCAACGATGGGACAAAATCTATTGGGAATGAGATTGTAGCTGTTGCATTTTCGCCAGACGATGCACGGATAGAACTGGCGTCAAGATCTGGCAGCGTTCATATTTACGATGTTAGCACGGGCACGGCTCTTCAGACTTTTGACAGCTTCTTCGAACCACTGCATGGCGATCTGACTTGTGCCCTGCAGCTTCAGCCTGTGCCCCGACTTCCCAATGGCCGAACTGATGTCGTGGATGCCTCGCTGGAGCAATTCCTGCCCCAGACACTTGGGGTATCAGGACTCAAATTCTGCCCCAGATCAGACTGGATTTACAAAGGAGAGCAGCGGGTGCTGTGGCTTCCTCCAGAATACCGGCCGTACACAATGGCAACGCATGATGAAGGGTTCGTCGGCATTGTCTTTGAAGCCCATCAGATGCTCTTGCTGCAATTCTCGATGGACGAGCTGGAAAAGGTACTGGCTTGACGTAGTATCAACTATAACAACACGCTATGAGAACCGAATCACTCGAATTGTGTCACTTTTCCTACCTATCAGGACAATCTCTGAGCCTCCTACACAAGTGGGATGCGATTTGTGTGTACGGAGTCAACTCAAGGTTGCTTCATTGCTGGCTGCACGTCTTGGACATCAAGCAGTTTGAAGCGTGTTATTGAAGCTTGTCTGGACTACGGAGGAACTGGAGTTTATGTTGTCGATCGTATCACTGCCGACCGGTGTCGCACATCCTGAATTAACCATGGATACTATCTATCTATTAGCACATAAGTTTCCGTTACCCGACACTCGTAGAGATTCTCGTACAGCCAGGGGGAGGGTTGGACAAAGCATCTGCACACGACCTTTGCTAATGAGCATGTCGTCTGACATTGGGCGGTGTTCCACAGCTGAGAATGAGTGGAGGATCCCACGTGAGGGGACGGGCTGGAAGGGGGACTTGGCGTTGTGCTGATCACTTGGGGTATTTGCGTTACACGTGTGGGAGAACTGAGGAGATTCATGTGGGTGGTGGTGTGGTGACTTGTATGTGACTGACTATTTGACATACTTGTGAAAGGTAGGTCAAGGGAAACAATTGCCAGGTTCGAAAGTCTCTCATTAGAAATCATAACTGGACTCACGAAGCAGCACTCAAGTATCGAAGCCGCTTTCCCCGGTTCCATGATCTGAACGGCGGTGTTTCTGTCCTGCGGAGGGCATTCAATCACTGGCGTCATCCGGCAATATATAAGAGTCATCACACGACAAGCATCTGAACACGCCGGTGATCTAGCCCTGGGCCGATATAGGGAATTTGCTGAGGCTCATTCGACACTATTGGTGAAGTAGATGTGGCCGTTGTTGATATAACTCTGTAAGGTGGACATGGGGGGTTGACACACAACTGTATCATGCGACATCAGCCGCTCTTGCGCTGAGATTGACAGTAGATAAACCGCTATAGAACGTTGCAGCTGGAGATGCTGGAGATATAAAAGCCATCAAATTACCAGTGAAGAATAATGCAATGCCGAAGCCTGGCCACACAGCTTCTTGCCTATCCTTCTGAAAGATGAATTAATGGGAGGTCTTTTCACTTTATATAGCCATTGAATTCGGAACTAGAGTTTTGAACATTCAGGTAAAGGGCCGATATGCAAGTGAAAGTGGCGTACTGAAGCTATAACCAGCCAAAGCTCTCATTTGGTACGCAATGGCGACGATTCCTTTCCTACCTACTCGATGCACTGCAGGGTCTCTTTGACACCCTGTGATATTGCCATGTTTCGGCGTGCTGATTAGATTACATGTAAGTCGTCCACAATACCAAATATGCGTCTGAAGCCTCGAATATAAGATTGGTATTTCCAGTGAAACTCAGCTCACCTGTACCTATGCAAAGGTACGGACGGAGTCATGAAGTACAAGCGCTGCTTATCGCTTATCAACAAATTCCATCCAAAATGGCAAAAGTTGAGGTCAAGCATCTAATAGGTACGTAGAGGTATGTAGGTAGTAGGTAGGTAGGTAAGGTAGTAGGTATTAAGGTAAGGTATTACCTAGCGCCAAGCTCTTCGCAAGATCGAGTCGGAAATGGCCTCTATAGGAAGACATGGGCTTGACAGTCTCAATGGTGTTTTTGGGACATGGCCAAGGCTGGCCCAACTAGCTCCTCATTGCCAATGGATGGATGGACAGAGCAGCTCGACTAGTAGAGATTCCGTAATTACATCCATCGATGCGTCCATATACCAGGCGAGAGCCACGGCGCCTCTCTGCTGCCTCATGGCGGCAACGTATGTGAGCGGTTGTTGATGCGTCGTCTGCGTACGTCAGTGGGGAGATTTATGGGAATAGCGGAGCTTTGCTGGGGTTTTTGGGCTTGGAGATGCTTGGTATGTTTATCCAACTTGCCAACTTTCTGTATGTATGCCAATCATCTGTAGGAAGTAAAGCTGGCGAGCTGGGCCTGCAGTAGTACATAGTAGAAACTGAGGTATAAAGTGAGGTTCGAGATGGTGTGTTAATTTAGGTGCATGTGGTGATCCTTCACGGGCAATTGAGGGCAGGCGGTGTGCTACCCAGCACCCGACCGTTTATGATGGGTATCACAGTTGAATTCGAGAATTTCGGGGCATCAATCTCTAATAAAAACTCATAATGAATGCTACCAAACGGCATGACCTGCCCTTCAATCTGGATTCTGCCGGTTTCAGCTGGGCTTATGGGCAGACCGAGGGCTTCGGATCCTTACCATCGAATAATATGAGGCGCGGGCATTGATTGATCCATGGATTGCAGGTGATTGATTGATCCCCTGAGAGGCGCGTTATCAGGGCGGATCTGGCGGGCGAGAGCGCTGTAGATTAGGGGACTCGGACGCCTATCGTCATCTCCCGGAGCGCGCAACGTGGAATCCATCCATTGAACTGCCCTCCACTTCTTCTGTTCCAAATTCCTGCTTCAACTTTATTCAAACCTCCATCTTTTCTCTCTTCTTGCAACGGCCGCCAAGCAGTCGACATCCTATTAATCCGATTCCTCATTCAATTGGACGCTTTCCATCTTCGTTTCCGTCGTGTTATCATTATTCCTCCTCACGTCTCAAACCCCCTATTCGGCGGGCGAGAATCAGGATCAGCGCGCCACACCACAGCCGCCACTTGGCAGTTTTTTGCATCCGGTCTTATTCCTCCCAAGTTCCTCCTCCTCAAATCTGAATCATCTCCACCTTTCCGCTGCCTTCGTCCTTGTCTCGTCTCTGCGTCTCTCCATCTTTGTGTCTCTCCTCCTCCCGCTTCTCCAGCATCTCAACCGCCTATCTCGGCACAAGGAAAAGCGAAAAAAAGAAGCCTTCCAAGGAAACAATCAGCTGTACCCCAGCTTCTCCCCCCCCGTTCCCCAATCAAGGCATCCGATCTCATCCCCCTCCCCCCTCAAAAGGCGCCTCCATCGTGCATCTGTCGCCGACACTCCACCCGCACTATCACCCTCAACCACTCTAACCACTGCAGCCGCCCTAAAAACGGCCCGCCGGTGACGTATCGTGAGGCTCGTGGCCCTCGCGCTTCTGGGATTCCGGGTCATCTGCAAGTCCAGCCTCGAGGCCATCGCCGCGCTGCCGGCCCCGAGCGGTACATGCACGGGACATTGCCGCGCCTCGTGTTTATGCGCCCGTCATCGCCCGCCATCCGCCTGTTTCTGCGTGTTTCTGCCCGTCCTTGACAGTCCTTGACAGCCCTTGACAGTGGCTTCCACGGTGCCCCAGCTCGTACCCAGCGTGTACCTCCGCCGGCCGCCAAGGCTGTCTCACGCCGCTTGACCACAGGCATCAAACCGCCGTCCGTCCGTCGCTGATTGACGCCAATCCGCCCTCTCTTTGTCACCCGACCCCAGCGACAGGTATCGAGTACGGAGCAGCTGCGCTGACACGAACAACGGGAACCTCGCTCTTTTATTGCTTCTGTCTCTCCCTCTCCTCTTTGTCTCGTCTCTCTCTCTCTCTCTCTGCCTTAGAGCCTGCAGACGGGTGCTGCTGCTGATCAGCCCCCAAAACCACCCAACATTCCTCCTCCAACCTCGACCCGGCTCCCTTCCAACATCCCCCTTCGCACCCTCCCTTCGCGCGCCGACGGCGACAGGGACCGAGACGCCTTTGACTCGCAGTCGGCATCCCTCCTCTCCGCCAGGGGATACGGCGCCCCTCACCACCGCCCGTCGTCCGAGTCCGAGACATCGTCCTGGACCGACACTGGCGACATTGGCGACCAGTACGCCGACGACAACGACCCGGTCCGCATCCAGCTGCCCGCCGACATTGAGGACGAGCTGCTCGCCAGCGTCCACCGCCGCCAGTCGAAGCCGCTGTACAAGCAGCACAAGAAGGTCCGCATCCACGACCCGTCGCCGCACCGCCGCTCCCATTCGTTCTCGCCGTCGCCGTTTGTCGACAAAGAGGCGATAGATATTCCCGACGCTCGTCCTCGACCACCGACTCGAGCGGAACGCTGCATCGGCTCCATCATGGCGGGCTCTTCGGGCTCCATCCACGGCCTTACGGGCAAGGCCTTGCTGTACGATACCTACGTCTCCAGTTTCAATTGCTTCAGTCGTGTTCGGCTGTTTAGGGATACCTCGACAATCATGCTAACGAGTTTGCAATAGGTATTTTACAAGCATATTCGTTTCTTTGGGAGTTTTCCTCTTCGGATATGACCAAGGCGTCATGTCGGGCATCATCACGTAGGCTTCTGTTTCCCCCCCAATCCCGTAGTAGCAGGCAAATCGAAACTGACGATATCCATTTCCTCCCAGGGGCCCGTACTTCATTGACTACTTCAACCACCCGTCGAAGGCCGAGGTCGGGACAATGGTTGCCATTCTCGAAATCGGTGCCTTCATCTCGTCTCTCATTGTTGGCCGCGTTGGCGACATCATCGGCCGTCGACGTACAATCCTGTACGGCTCTTGCATCTTCTTTGTGGGAGGAGCATTGCAGACGCTGGCAACGTCGATGGCGATGATGATGCTCGGGCGAATCATTGCCGGCTTCGGCGTCGGCATGCTTTCCACCATTGTGCCTGTCTACCAGTCCGAAATCTCCCCTCCTCACAACCGTGGCAAGCTTGCCTGCATCGAGTTCTCCGGCAATATCATCGGCTATACGACGTCCGTCTGGGTCGACTATGGCTGCGGCTACATCGAGAGCAATCTGTCATGGCGCATTCCGCTTATGATGCAATGTATCATGGGCGCCCTTTTAGCGTTGGGAAGCTTGATCATTGTGGAGTCGCCCAGGTAAGAAATGACTGCCTTGCTATGTCTGGCTATAATGCTAATTGCTTGCTCCAGATGGCTCCTGGACAATGACCACGACGAGGAGGGCATGGTTGTCATTGCCAATCTCTACGGTGCCGGGGATATCCACAACGCCAAGGCCCGCGATGAGTACCGCGAGATCAAGATGGGCGTTCTCCTCCAGCGCCAGGAGGGCGAACGGTCGTACTCTGAAATGTTCCGACGATACCGCACACGAGTCTTCATCGCAATGTCTGCCCAGGCCCTTGCGCAGCTCAATGGCATCAACGTCATCTCCTACTACGCCCCCTATGTATTCGAATCGGCTGGCTGGGTCGGCCATGATGCTGTCCTCATGACTGGTTTGAACGGCATCACGTACTTCCTCTCCACCATTCCGCCGTGGTATCTCGTTGATCGATGGGGTCGGCGAATGATTCTCCTCACCGGAGCCATCTTCATGGCCGTCTCCCTGTCTCTCATTTCCTACTTCCTCTACCTTGACGTCAAGTGGACGCCTAGGATGGTGGTTCTCTTCGTCATGATTTACAATGCCGCCTTTGGCTACTCATGGGGGCCTATTCCCTGGCTCTACCCTCCTGAAATCCTGCCTCTCAGCATCCGCTCCAAGGGTGCCAGCTTGTCGACCGCCACGAATTGGGCTTTCAACTGGCTCGTGGGTGAAATGACGCCGATTCTGCAGGAGTGGATTAAGTGGCGCCTGTATCTCGTCCACGCATTCTTCTGCGTTGCCAGTTTTGTTATTGGTAAGTTGTGGCGCTATCACCGACTCTCCCTTTCAACCCGTCTCGAGACATTGCTGACTGGCCCTCTCAGTTTACTTCATTTACCCAGAGACTTGCGGAGTCCGCCTCGAGGACATGGACTCCATCTTTGGCGATGCCAGCACAGTAGCCACCCCGTCCATTCATGCCGAAACCGGGTCACTTATCCGGGGTGGGTCGCCCATTGGATCCGGGCGTACGCCGTTCCGCTCAACGACGCCCATCCCTAGCCTCACACTTGACCCCCCTGATGGCAGTGATAACAAGGCTGCCCAGGGTGGTGGTGACGACCGAAGCATCAGCGGATGGCTGTCTAGGGTTGTCAACCGTGGCGGCTCGGGCAGTCCGAGCAGTGGACAAGGGCGATACACTCCACTCGGCCAGGATGACGAGGGTCGCAATGACAGCTGAACAAGGCTGTCATGTTCATTTTCTGGAGTACCCATATAGATTTGCTCTTTTCGTTTGTTTTCCTTTCTTTTCCAGAGCGCTTAGACTGCGGAGCGATGCAAAATTGGCTTGCTCTCGCTCCATTGGGTACACAATCGACCTAGACTGGTTTTCCAGCATCGGAGATGGATCTTGGTATATATGGGGGGTTGGAACTGCCCCGGGTTGCATCAGCCAGAAGGACGGGTGTCAATAGCAGTCACGGGTATAAAGGGGGACATAGGAGGCACCCAGTTGGGCCGAGGAGGACCTGTAAAGTGTTTCGATGAGATAGGTAGCCGCTTGAACAGCTTATGGTGCGACGATGTACAGACTGATGCATGGTGAAAGATGGTGGCAAGCAATGGGTGAAGCTTCCAGTAGCGCTAGTTCTGAATAGTAGTAGTTATCAGTAGCGATATGCCAGTCGCTGGTCAATCAGTTGATGCTCATATATGGTGATAGTTGCTCGTCCATCGAGGTCTGCTCCGTGCGCAGCGTACTATAACCGCACGTTGTAAAAGCTGGTAAAGAACCGTGTTTGCCATCTACGCCACAAGGTCTACATGCTTCTCTATACACACTCTCACAACCCTTTACACCGAAAACGGACTCCAAGAATTAGAGTCCATGAAGATTTGCTCTTAGATTTCTCAAAGAATCTCACAACAACAACACACATCATGACACCAGCAGCAACGACAGCAACAGCAGCAGCAGCAGCAAAAGCAGCAAAAGCAGCAGCCACCAACCTCGAAGTCACGCACGCCTACCGGCGCCTCTACCGCAGCCTCCTCCAAGCGGTGCGATACTCTGCGCCCGCGCGATACGTCGTACGGGACCAGCTGCGGGCGGCTTTTCGGGAGCGCTCGGGGGCAGGGGCGGCGGCGGAGCTGGACGGCGAGGGCGTGAAGAGGACGGTGTGGTTCCTGGAGGCGGCGGCGAGGGAGAGAGGGCTGGAGCATAAGATTTTGAAGAACTTGGTGAGGGTGAGGTTGGAGTCGGGTTGGGGATGGAGGAGTTGGCGGAAGGCGTTGAATGAGTCGAAGCAGAAGTGAGTTTTTTTTTTGTTTTGTTTGTTTGTTGTCTTTTGCCCATCAATTTTGCTTGATTCTGAGGGTTGGATTTGGAGGAGAGATGCTAATGATGTTGCAAGGCCTGATGTGAAGCAGTTGCAGCAGGAGGGGATGAGGCATTATAACATGACGGTTGCGATGCTGAATAAGAGCATGGGGCTTTGTCTACGGTGAGATGGGTTGAGATGGATGAGGCTGGGAAGATGAAGTTGTCTGGGGGGAGAGTTGTGATACCAGGGCAGTGCAAGATGAAGTCACAATGGATGGCTTGAAAGAAGCGGAAACAGAAGTGCAGGAATCTGATAAAGGTCTGGGCCTTGTTGTCATATATTTGTTTTCATTTTAAGATGATGTTACAGAGCGGAATAGATCACGCGTGCCACTTTGCTGGCTAAACTTCTATCAAACACACTTTCTCTTCCTACAAGAAGAGCCTTAGCCAGGCAGTACAAACTCCATTGCCAAATGCACATGCCCAGCGCTCGCCCACTCTCTCTCTCCTCTGGCGATTAAGAAGTTTCTTTTTTTACAGCTCCAATTCAATCTCCTTGTGTATAAGCTCGTCCAGGCTCGAGTTGTCGCGCGTGTATATCCAGGTCCCCAGTGCCGTGCCCTCCTTGTCGCCCTGCCCCTCGCTCGCGACGCAAAAGTCATACCGCTTGGGCCCGGACAGGGGAGACGAGAGCCAGATCTGCTTGTTCGGGGGCTGCTTGTTGATGACGTATGTGCCCTTGCCGGCGACAGTGACGGTCATGACGCCGGACTGTTTTTTTTTGTTGCAAGAAGATGGGGGTCAGCTTTAGCATTTAGGCAATTGCAGCATGGGATTGATTGGGCAAGGGGAAGGAAACAGGGAGGAGAAGGAGGAGGAGGAGACAAGGAAACGAACCGAATATTCCACGTCAATCGGCGCGCCATTGTCCTGGAGCGTCTCAAACTTCTCGAGCAAATCATTCAAATACTCGTTTGCTAGGTCGTTGTACTCTGCGTCGGAGAGCTCGGCCACGGCGAACTTGGTCTCGGTCTTGGTGGGAGGCTTGTCTGGGTTGGAGGTGTCGGGCATGATACCCTTGCGCAGGCTCGCGTGCGCCGAGAACTGGCGTCGCTGGGGGAGCGCCACTGAGGGAGGGATTGCGCGGGTGATGCTGGGGAGGAGGAGGAGGCGGCGGGTGCTGGCGGGAGAGGGTCTGGATGTGCGGAGGGTTCGGCTGAGGAGGTTGAGGGTGCGGTTGGATGCCATGGTTGCTTGACTCTGCTATGCTTTGCTTTGGTGGGGTCGAGGAGGATGCTTTTCGTTGGAGAGAGGGGTGGTTGATGATGTTAAATGAATTGAGTGGCTGCGTAAGCGAGGGTTGAGAACCGTCGATGAGATGGGGAGATGTATGTTTGTTGCAGAAGATCAATTGCCGGCTGGTGAGGTGGAGGACGGACGGGAGGAGAAACGAAGACGAAGCTGAAGAAAGCTGTGAGCTCTAGAAACGGCACGACCCCGGTTGGAAGAAGCCGAAAAGAGTTCGTCATGGCATGTACCCCATACAAGGTGCCCGGCATGTGGCTTGTGACCGGGGACCTCGAGGGACCTTGATGGCTTATCGATTTCGGCGCAGTCGCAAGTACAGGGAGGTCCTCTGCGCTTAGTCATGCCGCCTTGGCAACGTCACCGGGAGCTGCCAGACTCGCCTTTATCGGCCCCAACCAGCGCCAGAGCAGCAACCTGAGTCTCTTCCATCACCAACATCCCGCCAAACAGAGTCTCTGGGGATGACGAGGCTCGTTTCGCGGCCATGATCAACGCATTCTTGGTCTTCAATGGCCAGGGCCAGCCTCGGCTGACCAAGTTCTACACCCAGCTGGTGAGTTTGCGACGATTGCGAGTCGACTCTTCCATTGTGGAATACCTACACAGCGCCCTTACTCACAATCATCACCCGTCGAAAAAACAGGACACGAGCATCCAGCAGCGCCTGATATCCGAGATTTTCACCCTCGTGTCCAACCGCCCGGCAGGTTCCTGCAACTTCCTGCCTCTGCCCCCGCTGCTCGCCGCGTCCAGCACGTCGCACACCTCGACGGAAGAGCAGAGCGACGTGCCCTCGCTGGTGACGTACCGCCATTATGCGACGCTCTACTTCATCATCATCTCGACGACGACGGAATCGCCGCTTGCGCTGATCGACCTGATCCAAGTATACGTCGAGGCGCTGGATAAGCTGTTTGAGAATGTCTGCGAGCTGGATCTCATTTTCAACTTTGAGACTTTACATGCGACGCTATCGGAAATGATTATTGGAGGCGTTGTCATCGAGACGAGCCTTGATCGTATTGTTGCTGGCGTCAGGGCTCAGGGTACCGTTGCGAAACGGCCGGTGAATGAGGGGCGGAGCACGATTGGGTCGGGAATGGGCATTGGAGGCAACTTTGCCTGGACAGGGCGGGTATAATGATGACATTGGAAAAAGAGACGGGTTCGGATAAAGCCATGGCCGGCATATGCATACAATTTCTTCTGTCTTTCCTGCGACCCTGCCAGGGGTAATCACGCCAAACGCCGTATATACAGAGGAGCTATAATACAAGGTGGAGAGCTGTTCATCTCAAGTGGCCTTATTTCGACTCGGGGGTTCGCGGCGACGGATTCACTTCTGGGGCGTCCTTGCGGCGTTCGTATCGCTTCTCCGGGTCGAGCACGCCAAAGAGATTCTGGGCGTGTTTTCGCAACTACAGCTTCATGTGAGCGCATTGAACTTGGGCTCTGTGCAATCCAGTTTGTGACGAACCTCTTCCGATGGCTTATACTGCCGTCCCCACCACTCAAACTCGGAGTAAAAGAGAAGCCACACAAGCGCAGCTATCCGTAGAGTCAGCCTCGACGCATCATTGCACACATGCCACCATGCCAGGGCTCAAGACTGACCTGCAATTGTGAGGAGCTGCGCATACTTGACGCCCTTGTCCCACCTCGGCGAGTAGTTTGCGAGGGCGATGCGACGCTTGTACTTCTTCTCGAACCGGAGCTGCTGCTGGTGAGTCAACTCTTTGAAGTCGGGCGGCCACACTTTTCGAGCCTTGTAGGGGTTGTTTGCGACGGTCAAGGGAGCGCTTTTGGAGAGCTGCTCCTTTGCCGTCTGGGCTAATCGTCTGGCGAGTGTCGGTCTGAGCATTGTGTGAGGTGAGTGGCCTTATGGAGAGGCTTTGGAGACTTTATGTATGTAGGCAAATATCGTATCAAACGTGAAGGCGAAGATGGACGGATATCATCAGGGCAGGTAACTACAAGAGTCGAGAGACGGATGACGCTGTTGGCGCTAAGCAAAGTTCAATTGCACTACCTACTAATAGGTAGTAATACCGGTAGTAAGGTACAGATGCCATGTGTCAGCCACGCTGCACCGCCACACTGCCCCGCGATGTACCTCGTACTTTTTCACCCCTCCTCGTGCGCTTTTCGGCGCTGGAATTTTAAACCCCCGCCAAACTTCATCTGCTTGCCGTGAGTCAAACCAGAGAAGAGACTCGAGACGGTCTTTCTTCCCTCTGTGCAAGTGAGTCAAAAGGGAGCAGAGCTGTGGAAAGGGCGCACCAAGAGAGCCAATCCGTTTGGGCTTTTTCCTTGTTTCTGACCGCCAACAAGTTACTCCTCGGTCTCGCTTCCTATTCTCTTCTTATTGTCACCAACCGCGCGTTCGCAAACATGGCGACGACTTCGGTGCCAAAGGCCATGGAGGCCCTGACCCTCTCCAAGACCAAGGAGTTGAAAGGAGTACGTTTGACTCGGTTTCCGTTCTAATTGCATCTGCTGACTCTCCCGCCAGACCGAGAAGCGCGACTCCCTGATCGCCGTCGAGAAGAAGTACCAGAAGAAATGGCAGGAAGACGGCGTCTTCGAGACAAATGCCCCGACAACGGCCGAGGTTCCCTTCCACTCCATCTCGCCCGCCGAGCTGCGCGAGAAGCAGCCCAAGTTCTTCGGAACCATGGCCTACCCCTACATGAACGGCACCCTGCACGCCGGCCACACCTTCTCGGCCACAAAGGTCGAGTTCGCCGCCGGCACGGCCAGGATGCAGGGCAAGCGCGCGCTGTTCCCCATGGGCTTCCACTGCACCGGCATGCCCATCAAGGCCTGCGCCGACAAGCTGGTCAACGAGATCAAGATGTTTGGCGAGGACTTTTCCGGCTACAAGGAGGAGGAGTCCGTCATCGAGGAGCAGCCCAAGCCTGCCGCTAAGCAGACCAAGGAGGACCCCACCAAGTTCAGCACCAACAAGAGCAAGGCCAACGCGAAGACGGTCAAGATGAAGTACCAGTTCCAGATCATGCAGGCCATTGGCATCCCGACTGAGGAGATCCACAAGTTTGCCGATTCCCAGTACTGGCTGCAGTACTTCCCTCCCCTGGCCATCAGGGATCTGACGAGCTTCGGCGCGAGAATCGACTGGCGACGATCGTTTGTCACGACCGACGCCAACCCCTACTACGATGCATTTGTGCGCTGGCAGATGAACCGACTGAAGGAGCTGAACAAGATCAAGTTTGGCAAGCGATATACCATCTACTCCATCAAGGATGGCCAGCCCTGTATGGACCACGACCGTGCCGAGGGAGAGGCGGTTGGCCCTCAGGAGTACACTGCGCTGAAGCTCAAGGTTCTGGAGTGGTCGCCCAAGGCTGCGGAAGCCATCAAGGGCAAGATCCCCGATGGTGCCAACGTCTTCCTGGTCCCCGCCACTCTGAGGCCGGAGACCATGTACGGACAGACCTGCTGTTTTGTCGGCCCCAAGTTGACATACGGCCTGTTCAAGGTTGATGACAACAACTACTTTGTCATCACCGAGCGGGCTGCCCGCAACATGGCTTACCAGGGCATCTTCGCCAAGGAGGGCCACATCGAGAAGGCTGCCGATGTCCAGGGCTCCGACCTCGTCGGAACTCTGGTCAATGCCCCTCTGTCGCTGCACAAGGAGGGTGTCAGGGTCCTGCCCATGGAGACCGTCCTGCCCACCAAGGGCACTGGTGTCGTCACGTCTGTGCCTTCAGACAGCCCCGATGACTTCGCCACCGTGACTGAGCTGGCCAAGAAGGCTGATTACTACGGAATCCAGAAGGAGTGGGCCGAGCTGGAGATTTACCCCATCATCGAAACCCCGTCCTACGGCGACCTGTGCGCACCTTTCCTGGTCAAGAAGCTCAAGATTGCCTCACCCAAGGACACCAAGCAGCTGGAGGAGGCCAAGGAGCTGGCTTACAAGGAAGGATTCTACCAAGGTATCCTCAAGGTCGGCGACTTCAAGGGCGAAAAGGTCGAGACGGCCAAGCCCAAGGTCAGGAGTCAGCTGATCGAGGCTGGCGAGGCCTTTGCCTACTCAGAACCCGAGCGCAAGGTTGTCAGCCGATCTGGCGACGAGTGCATCGTCTCCCTGATGGACCAGTGGTACCTGGACTACGGTGAGCAGTCCTGGAAGGAGACGGCCCTGAAATGGGTCGAAAACGCCGACGGAAAGGGCCTCGAGACGTGGGCTCCCGAGACCAAGAACGGCTTCGAGGGCGTGCTCAACTGGCTGAACCAGTGGGCCTGCGCTCGATCATTCGGTCTGGGATCAAAACTGCCCTGGGACCCTCAGTTCCTGGTGGAGAGTTTGAGTGACTCGACCATCTACATGGCTTACTACACCGTCGCCCACTACCTGCACAAGGACCTGTTTGGTCGCACCAAGGGCCTCGGCAACGTTGGCCCCGAGCAGATGACTGACGAAGTCTGGGACGCCATCTTCTGCCGCCGCGATCTGTCGGACGACGTCGTCGCCAGCTCCGGCATCCCCCGCGCGACTCTGGAGAGCATGCGACGAGAGTTTGAGTACTTTTACCCCCTGGACCTGCGAAGCTCGGGCAAGGACCTGATCCCCAACCACCTCACATTCTTCCTGTACATCCACCTGGCCATCTTCCCGCCCGAGTACTGGCCTCGCGGCGTCCGAGCCAACGGCCACCTGATGCTGAACGGTGAAAAGATGGCCAAGAGCACGGGCAACTTCATGACCCTCAAGGACATGGTTGAGAAGTACGGAGCCGACGCTTCCCGAATTGCCCTGGCCGATGCCGGTGATGGTGTCAGCGATGCCAACTTTGAGGAAGACGTTGCCGACAACAACATTCTGCGCCTATTCACCCTGCGCGAGTGGTGCGAGGAGATGGTCAAGGAGCAGAACGAGCTGCGCACCGGCGAGATCAACAACTTCCAGGACGGCCTGTTCAACAACGAGATGAACGCCTGCGCCAGGGAGGCCATTGAGCAGTACACCCTGACCAACTACAAGCTGGCGCTCAAGGCGGCGCTGTACGAGCTGACAAGCGCCCGCGACTTTTACCGCGAGGCCTGCGCGGCTGGCGGCATCAAGATGCACAAGGACCTGGTGTTCCGGTACATTGAGCTGCAGGCCCTGCTGATGGCCGTCATCGCCCCCCACTGGGCCGAGCACATCTGGCTCGAGGTGCTGAAGAAGGAGTCGACGATCCACAACGCCCGGTTCCCCGAGGTGCCGGCCGTGGACGCGGCGCTGTCGGCCAAGCGCGAGTACGTCCGCAGCACGGCCTCCAACATCAACTCGGCCGAGGGCCAGCAGCTCAAGAAGAAGGCCAAGGGCAAGGAGGTCTCGTTCGACCCCAAGCGGCCCAAGAAGCTGACCATTTACATGGCGGCCAAGTTCCCCGCGTGGCAGGCCAAGTACATTGACCTGCTCAAGGAGCTGTGGGACCCGGCGACCAAGAGCGTCGACGACAAGGCGCTCAACGGGCGCATCGCCAAGATGGGCGAGATGAAGAAGGCCATGCCGTTCGTGCAGGGCCTCAAGAAGCGCCTGCAGGCGGGCGAGCCCGCGGGCGTCGTGCTCGAGCAGAAGCTGGCGTTTGACGAGAAGGAGACGCTGGTGCAGATGCTGCCCGGCCTGAAGCGCACGTCGGGCCTGTCCGTCTGCGAGGTGCTCGTCGTCGAGGAGGGCGGCAAGAAGGGCGTCAGGCTGGAGGACGGCCAGGAGGTGGACATTGGGGTGCCCGTTGCCGAGAACGCGGTGCCTGGCCAGCCTACGTTTTTCTTTGAGAATGTCGAGGCTTGATTTCTACTAGAGGGATTCTTTTTTGCCAGCTATAAGGAATGGGAAAGAATAAAAAAGAAGAAAAGATTCGAAAGCACAGTAAAATGTTAGAAACTGAAAAGGCAAAAGATTGCGAGAGAGACAGTTTAGAAAGATAATATATTGTTTCATGGCTTCTTGTGTCATGCCTAGAGATCAAGTGCGTATTACATGAGAAGAATCTATCTCGCGCGTTGAGCTGTTCTTCATGAGGCTCTGTTGCCTTGCTGCTTGTTTGTCTCTTATCCGTCTTGGTAGCACTCCATACTCGGTATAACAGTCCAGCATCAAGCTCAAATGGACCGCGTTTCAGCATCAGCCTTTATTCGACACCAGCCGCATCTTGGACTTGCTGAATCACTTGGCATCTAACACCCAAACACGCACTTCGTAGGTAATTCGCACTCTGAACGAAACCCTCCGTCTCCCCCGTGAAATACAGACCAATCAGCGACTCTCCGTTTCTCAACCGCCTTGCCAAAACCAAAACGGTAAAAAGGGTCCAAATACATACACTCCTACAGTAGTAGTAGCTCTACAGCACTAGTATTCGCATCAAGCCATAGGTATTCAACCAACCCGGCGCACCGTCTTGCAAACGCCGTTTCTCGGCCGCCTTCCGCAAACTGTGGACTCCCCAGTAGTAGTATCGATTTTTTTTTTTTTTCTTCTCTCTTTTTTTGCCTCTTCTTGTCACTGCCGTTCAGGAGGCGCGGCTCTAGCGACGCCCCCTTTCCTCCCCCCTACCTCTTTTTTGCCCCTAGTCGAAAAAAGCTTGTGTGTGCAAAATTCTCGATCAACATTACTCTAAATTGTGACCCCCATGCTGCCACTGGGCACGGGTAATCGCAAGCCTGTACTCATAGGTAGTTCTCAGCGTCAGATTTCGAACAGAGGTACCTGGCTGTACCTGACGGTCGGTGAGCCTCACAAGATCCATGTGGGAGCATGGCTGGAAATGCCCACAAATCCCTCCCCCCCCCCGTTGCTTACTTGTATGGTTTGTCTTCTTCTCCCGTTCTTCTTCCCTTCCAACAGCGCAGCCCTGTCAAAAACGTGTTCTGTTCCCGTCTTATTTTCCCAACAAGGTCTCAAGAGAGAGTCGTCCCTCAGACTTGGTTGTGGCCCCGGGACCAGCCGATGGACAAATCAACCACTGTCCAGACCCTTGGTACTGTCTGACGCGTACAGTACTGTACTCTCCGTGCCACCGCAGCCGATAAGGTCAGAGACCTGTACTGTACAAGCAATTGTCATCCCGACCAACGTTGAGGGCAGTCGCTTGAGTCGTCGAGATCCATTCCGGGTGATACTGCAAGTACAGTGAAGCCCCACAGCCGCGCAAGTCGTGGTACCGTAGCCAGCGCAGCGACTTCTGCTGTGATTCTCCTGCAAACTGAACTGTGTGTGAACCGACCAGCCCGAAGGATGCGGAGCCATGACCGGCCTAAGCCCTCCTCAGCATCCCTGGCGCTCGGTGATGCGCCTGTTTTGGAGCGCAAGGGGGACAGGCAGGCGAGGCTAGAGGGAAACAGAAGAAACATCTTCATGGGCTAGCATCTCTGCATTGACTCCAGCTGGGCCGCCGCGCGCTGAGGAAAATTTCGCCGCCCGGCCTTGCCCTCGCAAGCGAAGTGGTCGCAATTCCAAGGCCCGCCGCGCACACAGAGAGAGGCTGGTTCCTTTTGCCGGCCTCAGGGGCTTGCCTAACCCAAGCGCCTCCAGATGTGGATCGCATGTAGATAACAGTTGGGGGGGCTCTTCGCTCTGTTGTCCTCTGGGTATCCGTTCCCCTTTGGTGAGATCCGCATGGGGCTCGGAGAGATTCGTCCTCATACCGCCTCTTGGTATATACTTTGTAGTACTCACGATACCTACTTGAAGGTGGCATGAAGTGGTGGGAAAATCTGGCGTCGGTTCGTGAGGACTATTGCTTCCACAACCGCCTGGAGCAGAACTCTGGCGCTGCCCTCGTCTGGCTCGCTCGGCAATCCACCACCTCACCGACTCAGCGGCTTCGCGCGGCGATAACATCCTGCGGTTTGGAGGCTGTAATAGTATGTATTGTCGAGTCGGGGTCTTCCTGCAACACCATTTCGGCACTAGTAATGCTGAGAGTCGATCTTTTGCTCTCTCCATCGGCAATATGACGCAACAAAATGAGATGCGGCACATCCTTTGATACTGCAATATCTCGCAGCCTTGAACCGTCTCCAGCCTCTCATGACAAGGCCTCGAACTCTATTCGTCCGCGCTGCTTCTGGATGGATCGACAATGGGCCACCGTCCCAGCAGCGACTAGCATGAAGCCATCCCTGCCCCCTGCGACATTAAAGCAGCCCGACCAAGCCTCTTTGGGGGACGGACTGGAGCCTTGCTGGGTCGCAATTCGCGGGTCTGATGGCAGTAGTAATTAGTCGGAGCTCCCTGTCGCAATGGCTTGTACATGCTTGTACACACCGTGGTGGTAGTATGTATACGTCGCCTTGGTCCGCAACGTACGTAGACAGGAAGCCGTTGTTCTCTCTCCACGATGCGCGAACCCTCGTCCCGTTCAAGACCCGTTGCTTTAAAAAGAGCCTGAGCAGCAGCCGTCGGTTGTTCACCGTCCCTCAGTTCCAGCAATCGCCTCGTCCCCGCGATAAATCGGTATATGGCTCTGTTGGCGTTATAGTCCTCGCTTCACCTTTTTCTCCTTGCCTTCAGCCTGGCGCTGTCCTTTCGCAAACTCGAATCTACCACCAGTCGTATTCTCCGCAATAATCCTGTACATCTCCCGCCAACTTTCGGCTTCCAGCTCCCGAGAGATCAACAACCATGCGTTCAGCCCAGTTGGTCGTCCTTGCCATTGCTGCAGCAACTGCGGCGGCAAACGTCCTCACCGACAGCGTCACAATTGTCACCGACGCTTCGACAGCACAGCACATCTCCATCGGCACCGAGAGTGTCCCCGTTGTCTCGCCATCCGCAACGCAATCACCAAGCTTGACGGACTCAGAATCCCGGACAAATGTCGATGCTTTATCGACAGAGAGCGGCGTCGCCTCTTCCACTGGTGTCACCCGGCCTGCGAGCTTCCCTAATGCGACGAGTAAGTCACCGTCAATTGACTCCCAGGCTGAATTCCCTCCCCGCTGACATTGTTGAAGCGACGCTGGCTAGCAGTGTAGTTCCCACAAAGTCACAAAACACCACGACGCCCACCAGTCACGTCACTGGTGGTGCCATCCCACAGCAGATGCAGAGCTCCATGGCTGGGCTAATAGGATTCTGCATCATGGGCTTGATCATGCTATAGACGTGGATGGAAGAAGGGTTATGAATAATGACGCTGGACGATATGCGCGCCAAGTATTAGATTGTGTCCCAGGCAGGACACGGGCGTTTTAGAAAACCAACGAGATACCACGGGACCTTGGAGTTCCACCCCCTCCTGACTGAACAGGAGCGTACCGATAATAGAGTAATTGTAATCAACAATTTCACACACGATGATGCACGCCGGGCCCGGCAGTGATTTCCCGGAAGGTTCGACCTGTCGATGTTTGAATGGTTGACATATGAGAGAATATGTGGCAAAATAAAAATATGTTGAAATGTATTGTTGTGCGTATCCATTAGGAAGTGTGTGAACACTGTATTCACCCTTGATATCTCAGGCTATCAGGTTGACAGCATTTGGCTCAATGTCCCACGCCTGGTATAGCCATTTGTTGTCCCGCAAGGCTCGCCTAATGCGTGTCGAGGAGTTCACTTGCATGAGCATATCGCCCCGTCGGTCACGGCTGGCCTCGGCATGCTGGGCTTGGCATGCTGGTCTCGGCATGCTATCCAAGACACGGTGAGGCTTGCGCCAGGAGACTGGACGCTCCAAGGAAGCGACACTTTCGGTTCGGGATCGTAGATCGGAAGTCCTGCAGGTGTCTGTAACACTCAACTTTGGTCGATCAACCCGAGGAGCCGCTTTCTGGCGATCCTTTCGGTACCATGGGTGCTATACGCCTTGGCCATACACCCTGTGAGGCATGTCGCTGTCTTGGCGGAGGAATAAAGCCTCAACTTTGAAAAAGTCTATGTCAGGCGGCTTAAGCGGCGACGGGAATCTGGCTGCCAGAGTTGCCGGTAGGAGGAGGCTTGGGCAAATCGTCCTGCTGCTGCGTTAGCCAGCCGCTCGTCATCAGCGATGGTCATTTGGGATGCCCAACAAGATCAAAGATGACTCGAATCATCAAGCTGCAGCTGGGACACACGGCAATGTCCTGCTCGTCGCGCAGGTCGTCGAGGGCGATCTGGAAGCGATCGCCGCAAGGGCACGGATAGTGATAGATCTGGAGAGCTTCGTCAAATGTCATGTCTTCGATCTCGATCTCGTCGTAGATTGAGAGCCCGTCGTCCGCCATCTTGCAAGGTATATGCGAGTCGCAGGTCAGCACGCGGGACAGTTACTGTGCAGCAGTCGAGCTTGTACACGGAGTATAAAGAGATGATGACAAGTGTAGATTGTTGCGATGCGATGCGATGCGATGACTTGCCACCCCGCGATAGAAGCGCAAAAAAATTGATGGAGAGGAACTTATCGACACCCCACGAGTGTGGCTGGTGCTTCCGTCTGTTCCTTCCCTGTGGCTTGTGGCTGAGCACGGCAATCACAATCACATGCCGGGGCTCCTTCCCTGACGGCTCTGTGGCGCTGGAGTCTGGGGAAGCCGCGCCGCACCTGCTCTTGCCCAGGCCGAGGCCAGTGGACGGATCTCCACTCTCAGGTGCTATCGCTACAGCACTTTCCGTTCTGTTGTCGATTCCGCATGATTTGATGTCATCACCACCAAGCATCATCATCACCAGCGAATGCTTTGGTGGCTGAAGAAGCGACAACGGCGACACGGAGGCCAGCTACGGCAGCTGTAAGAAAAAGCCGCAAAGACAGCAACAACAGGAACAACAACAACTACAACAACTACAACTACAGCAGCAACAGCAGCAGCAGCAGCTTCCACTCGTCACAACCTCTGTTGCCCGTGTTAGCCGAGTCCACCCGTGACGATTCGAGCCGACCAATGCGTTGCGCCATCGACGATACGTGACACGCAGGGCACGATACTCTCCCTGGCCGGGAGCCAACGACGACCTCAGGCAGGGACGGAGACAGCGCCTGAAGCCGCGCCTTCGCAGCCGCCATGGCCTGGCAGTCGAAACTCGTCCTGCCCAAGGACCGCAGCCTCCGCGGCATCATCTCCAGCCTCACACGGCTGTACGTCAAGCATCGGACGCGCATCTCGCGCGCCATCTGGATCTCCCTCTTCGTCGCTCTCGCGAATCGCATCCGCCATGCCGTCCTGGAGCAAAAGGCCGCCTCTGCGCGCGAGGCCGCTCAGCGGGCTCTCCGCCAGAGCACCGTCACTGCCGGCTCCGAGGAAACGCCCAGGAAAAAGGTCGCTCTGAATCGCGAGTTCTTCAGGTCGCTGATGCGCTTGACGAAGATTGTGGTGCCCGGCTGGCGGAGCAAGGAGGCCCGGATGCTTGCGAGCCACAGCTTCTTCTTGGTTCTCAGGACCTTGATCAGCGTTCGCGTGGCCGAGATGGACGGTGCTATTGTCAAGGCCTTGGTCAAGGGAAATGGCAAGGAGTTCTTGAAGCGCATCGTCTGGTGGATGCTGATTGCCGTGCCCGCCACCTTTACAAACTCCATGGTAATGAACCGTCTCACTATCTGCTGGAGCAGCTTACGGAGCACATGCTAACTCGACCTGCCGCGCAGTTGTCCTATCACCAAGCCGAGCTGTCCCTGCAGTATCGGACGAGGTTGACACAGCATATCCATGACAAATACCTTTCCAAGCTGACCTTTTACGGCATCTCAGCGCTTGACGATCGCATAAAAAACCCAGACCAGCTCATTGCTGTCGATGTATCAAAATTCTCCAACAGTCTGGCGGAGCTGTACAGCAATCTGGCCAAGCCGGCGCTTGATATGGTTCGTCATCGTGTGACCAAACTGCAGTGAAACATCAACTGACCAATATGTTCCAGACCATATACACATATGCGCTATCCAAAAGCGTCGGAAGTGAAGGCGTCATCTTCATGTCGCTACTGGTCCAGCTCTCGGCAAACCTGATGCGTGTCTTGACGCCGCCGTTTGGCAAGTACGTCGCCGACGAGGCTCGTCTCGAGGGCGAGTTCCGCTTCCAGCACTCTCGCTTGATCGATTACAGCGAAGAAGTCGCCCTCTACGGCGGCCACATTGCGGAAAAGGATACCTTGGACAAGGGCTACTTCACACTCATCAAGCACGTCAACTACATCCTTCGGCGACGCTTCTACCATGGCTTCATGGAGGACTTTGTCATCAAGTACTTCTGGGGCGCTTTGGGCCTGCTCCTCTGCAGTGTCCCCGTCTTTGTCAAGCTTCCCGGACAGCTGGTCATGAATATGGGCGACAGGACCGAGGCGTTTGTGACGAACCGCCGAATGCTGCTTTCCGCATCCGACGCCTTTGGCAGAATCATGTTTTCGTACAGAGAGATCATGGAGCTGGCGGGATACACCTCTCGAGTTTCCACCCTGCTCAACGTCATGGATGACATCCAGATGGGCCACTTTGAGAAGAAGCTCGTCTCTTCCTCTGGCACGGAGAACAACGAGGCAGTTCTCAAGGGCCGCGGCACTGTCCACGAAAGCAAAGACTACATCAAGTTTGAGGATGTGTAAGTTGAGCCCACATAAAAAACCGCTTCAGGGACCTCGATGCTAACACCAAAACTCCAGGCCCATCATTTCACCCAACGGCGATGTTCTCGTCAAGGCTCTGTCCTTCTCCCTCTCCCACGGCGACCATCTCCTCGTCGTCGGCCCCAACGGCTGCGGCAAATCATCCTTGTTCCGCATCCTCGGCGGCCTGTGGCCTGTCTACGGCGGCACCGTGTACAAGCCCCCCTTCACGTCCATCTTCTACCTGCCCCAACGGCCGTACCTCTCCCGCGGCTCCCTCCGCCAGCAAATCATCTACCCCGACTCCCTCCGCCAGATGCGCTCCAAGGGCGTCAACGACTCCGACCTCCTCTCCATCCTCACCACCCTCGGCCTGGAACATCTCGTCGAGCTCTACCCCGAGGGCTGGGACGCGGAAGCAGAATGGCGCGACGTCCTCTCCGGCGGCCTCCAGCAGCGCGTTGCCATGGCGCGCCTCTTTTACCACCGCCCGCAGTATGCGATTCTCGACGAGTGCACAAGCAGCGTCACGCTCGATACCGAAAAGGTCATGTACGAGAATGCCAAATCGCTCGGCATCACGCTGTTGACCGTCAGTCACCGTCGGAGCCTGTGGAAGTACCATACGCATATCCTGCAGTTTGACGGGCAGGGTAATTACGTCTTTACAAAGCTTGACGCGGAGAGGCGTCTGAGGCTAGAGGACGAGAAGGAGGAGCTGGAGATGAAGCTGCGGCAGGTTCCTGAGCTTGAGAGGAGACTGGAGGAGTTGACTTCTTTTTAAGGGGTGTTGGGGGGGCGAATACCATGGTTTATGTGGAGGGAGGGGGAGTACCAGCCATCTTCTTGTTACGTGAATTGCTTTTGTATGATTACAGGATTGTTGGGAGCGGACCTCGAGGCATATATGATTCAGCCTATATGTTCAGTATCTAGTAGATCTGGTCGATCAAGTCATTCCATCGTTATTATACTCGTCGTAAGTCATCTTGGGGTTGGTGAAGGGAATAATATCTTCTCATCCCATCTCGCGTTCTTGAGATGTAAGACTCATGTGATGGATGTCGCATACAAAGCATTGTGTATAAATAACAAGTATATTTCGTCCTTATATCCAGTTTAGGATGACCTAATGCTCTCGTGAATGCGCATCACCTCATCAGCGCCAAACCAAAAGTCGTCAAATCCATCCTCTTCGTCGCTGTAATCGAGGTATCCATCATATTCATCATCATTCTCGTCCTCAACCTCAACCTCAACCTCAACCTCAACCTCAACCTCATCCTCATCCTCAGCCTGCTCGCCTTCTTCCTCATCCTCTTCTTCGTCTGGATAGTTACCCCAAAATTCAAACTCCGCATATTCATCAAAGACATCATGCTCCTCCTCTTCCTCCTCCTCTTCCTCCCTTTCCTCATCTGCATCAGCATCATACGCATCCTCCATCTCCTCCACACCCGACTCCTCCAGCTGGCTCGGATGAAATCTGCAAGTCTCTAGGTGGACGGTATTATCATTTTCCAGAATCTGCCGGTGATCCGCGCCACACTCGTAACAAAACTGGTGCTTGCATTTGACGCCTAGCATGGAAAGAAAGGGAATCGTCAGTCAAACCGTGTAGCTCGTGTATCTCTATCCCTGGCAGTAGATGCTGTGGACATCGGTCCAGATCTGGCCACAGCCCCAGCAGAACTGAAAGCGGCACTTGATACCTGTTGTATCCCTTCATTTAGTAATTCTCCTGCCAGCTTGTAGGTTAAGGAGAGAGAGATGTGACATGGAGCAGAGCGTGTATATCGCAAGTACGCACCATATAAAGGGTATAACAGCAAACAGAGGAAAGAAGATGATTAAATGAGAAGCAGGTGAAGAAGCAAAAGGGCCACTTACAAGTCATGTGCGAGCTATGCGAGCCTTGTCAGCAATCTTATCCTTTTGATCACCACCAAACAGGGCAAACATGGTAGGGTAGAGTCGGCGAAAACGTACCATCCGTCATTCTTTTCGATAGCCCATCCACACCCCGGACATGGCTTGGTCGTCCTCCCCACGGTTATCCTGCTCATCTCTTCCTCTACCTTCCTCCTCGCTGCGATCTGCCTCGCCAGTTCTATTGCTTTCCTTGTCCTCTCCCTTTCCTCGCGCTCTCTCCGATGCCTCATCTCCGCGGCTCTTCTTTCTTCTTCCAGCAAGCCCTGGGCCATGGCTCTGTCTGCGTTGAGCTGTGCTTGCTGCGACGCCGCCCACTCATCGTTGTCGATTTCTAGCCTGGAGCGGAAGTTATCTGGATTGGCAAGCAGCTGATCGTACTCATCACACGTCAAGCCCTGATGCCACGCGACATTGTGGCGGAAACAGGATCGGTGGCTGCAGTGTAGGCATATCACAATGGGCAGCTCATGGCCGCTTTCATGTATCTGACCAGAGCCACAGCCTGAGGTACACCAGAAGAAATTCTCGGCCTCGGCCATGGCAGCTCGGAGAGCAAGCGTCTCATATCTGGCCATGCGTTAGCTCTATAAGTGCTTGGTTACAAAAGGGGTTGGCCTCTGGTGCACAAACCTCCTGAATGTCTCCTCGTCGGCATAGCGCTGAATGTCTGTATAGTCTAGCAATCCACGGCACTCGGGGCATCTGATGTCCGTCCAGATTTTGCTGTTGAGATCAGACCGTATGGACCTTTCTAGACACTCGAGGCATGCCGTGGGAGGATGCTCGCAGGACGCGGTTGGCGAGAATCGGGGAAAGAGTACGGGTTCCTTGGTGTCAGCACAGATTGAGCAATCTCGATCTCCGGCCATATGATCTGACGGCACACGCTGGTGTGTAACGAAGACCGCCAATGTTTCTGGGTCCTTTTGATATCGTTGCCCGAAGCTAAACAGCATTTCTCATTAAGCAAAATGGCCACAAATATAAATCTCTGAATACTGCTCAACGCCGCAAGCATAAGCCTGCATTCTAGGAAGGGGTAAGGGGGATGAGGGTCATGGGAGAATCCAAAAGACAGCCAGAAAACAAAATACAAAACTAATTACATGGCGCTCAGGAGAGCAAGGTAGCCGTCATCTATCCCATCTATCTTCAAAAGCAAAAGGAACCGGGTATGCTGGGATTCGGAAGGGGGAGGGTTTCGGGGAACCTACCTGAAATCATCAGCTTCATCGTCTCCACGTCTTCCGGACAGGTCCAGACGGCGCTGATACGCCACCGTCATAGCAGAGTCTTGCTGCTCAAGGAGATCGACGTACGGATTGCTTGTAGCCGGAGTAGAGGAGCCGTTGGATGCACCAATTTCGTCTCGGGCCCCATTAGGGAGGCGAAATTCGCTTTTGACGCTCAAACTCTCCAACGAATTGGTGCCAGAGGACCGTGGACGCAGACTAGGGGCCCTCCCCACACTCACAGATGTGGGAGTCGTCTCTTCTTCCCGTGAGCTTGCAAACTCGTCGTCATCAAACAGGGCATAGTTGATGCGATATCTGAATCCAGTCTGCTGGCCAGCCATCGAAGCTGCTTCAGGCAGGATTGGCACCGTAGGAGGTTGATTTGTCGATAGTCGAGCGACATCCGGCTCGTCTTCCCCCATTTCTTCCCTTTCCTCTCCTTCACGCTCATCGTCTTCCCCTTCCCTCAGTTCTTGCCCTTCTCTCTTGACTGTAGGTCCCTCTTCCGCCTCCTCATCATCGACAAGCCATATCGACTCATCATCGTCTCCAAAGCCACTCATTATGGCAGGATTCACCATGCCATAATGCGACGTAGCCGCATGAACAAACATGTTGTTCCTCATCGCCGAAGACTCCACAAACGGAACGTACTTTGTGGTATACAAGTCTTCTTGTCTCAGCTCGTCTTCCGCGCCCTCGCCCTCCGCAGCATCAACCCCCTCCTCAGGGAAAGGCTCTTCCAAGTAAGAAAGGTCAAGCGACGAACTCTCACCACCGCTCGTATCGTGGCTCCCCTCAAAGCTGGCCTGAAAACGAGGCTCAACAGGAGTCGACTGCTCTGAACCGGCGCCGTACGTGACGGTATCGGTGTTAGCCGCCGCAGCCGAGGGCGTGGTGGAGGGCGGATATGAGTAGTCGTTCTGGAAGGGCCAGTTGACGTCGGCGGGAAGAGTGCCTTGGGTGACGGTGGAGGGGATGGACTTGTTGGTCTTTCGTCTGCGAAAAGCAGCCTCGGTTTTTTTCTTGAGGGACCGGAACATGCCTGGCCCAGCTGTTATACGGCGGACATAAGGTAGCAGAATGAAGCAGGGAAGGGTAACGATGTGACTCGGCCGGCGATGGCGCAGATTCGGACTGGGGCGAGAATGATGTTAAGTATGCATATATGAATGATGATAGAGATGCTTAGACTAGGTAAATCATGACGGTGGAGAAGCTGAGATTGAAGGAGGGAGAGAAGAAACTGAAAGCTGAAGCGAATGAATCGAATTCACATGGAGGAGGAAAAGGAAGGGAAGGAGACTGAAGCAACATGAAGGAAGGCAGGGCAGGCTGTGAGCCAAGCGCAGCTGCCTTCAAAGTAGGTACATGTAGCGATGGGAAGCAGCTGGAGAAGGTGCTGACCACATCAATTCGCTGTAAGTGGATGGACGGCACCTGCAAACATGAACAGCCCGTTGAGTCGACCGAGGAGGAAGGAGGACGCCTCGCGATCGATAGCGGGCTCGGTCTAGCTGCTGTCATGGGCGCTTCAGCAGGCTGTCAGCGGCGGGCATGTATTCAGCCTAGGTAGGTACCTGTACTCAATGTACAGTGCATGTAGCTCTACACGAGGTAGGAAGGTAGGTAGACAGAGCATCAGTACCTAAGTATGACCGCTGTGAGTAACCGCTAAACGTGCCTGCAGAGGGATCACATCGGTAAGATAAACAGAGTTTCGGCTGTGATGTCAGGTAGAGGCAGAAGTAGAGGTACTTGTTTGCCTGCTTGTTTGCCTGCCTGCTTGCTCGCTCGCTGTGAATGGAATCGTTGCTGCGGACTGGAGGTGAATGGCTGGAGGCATAAGAGTGCGCCTTACAGGGGTCCGAGGCGTGTGCATTAGACGCTGAAGCCAACAACAAGAACATATACTACTAGTAGTCTCACACCCCCCTGATAAAGCAAGGCGAGGCGAGGCGAGGCATTGATGCCGAGGGGAACAAAGGCAAAAGGCAATCGCAGGGCCATCGGCATCCCATATGATATGCGCCAGAGGAAGAGACTATTGTAACGCCATTCAACGTGACATTGCTGGTACAGGTACGAGATGCCGGAGTGCACCAATGACAGCAGCTGGAGTTGAAGCAACCTGAAGGGGGTCCGTGACGATGATCTACCTAGTTACCTACCCTTATGTGAGGCGCACTTATAGATCGAATACGTGGCAATGCTGCTGTCCTATCGTTACCAGCCAGAAAACAAAGTTGCATGCAGTAACAGGCAATAATATATAGATAGCCTAGTAGTATACCTTAGACGGGCCAAACATGCACAAAGGGACTGAAAGAAAGTCCTGGTCTGATCCCCAAGCCTCTGTAAACGCCCACATGCCTTCCCCCCGTGCATGAGGCGTGGTTTCACATCATGCATGTGCCTCTCGTTGCTCCAATCCCACAAACCACAAATCCCTACCATAGTACTGTAATAATAATAGTAATAGTCACAGCATCCAAAGGGAGTGGCTGGCCATCCATCTGCCTGCGTCCTCCTACCTACATACTAGCATTCGCCCGTCTTACTCGTCGCATCTGCCGCCCAGTAGAGACTCAGGTAGTAGGCGGTGCAATCCGCCAGTCAGCCCAGCCATCCGTCTCCCCTCTTCCGCGATTTGGGGAACCACAGGTGCGACACGAGCGACGGGTCGCCCTCCTCGGTGAACTTGTCCCTCTTCTCCTCCGGGCCCCAGGCCACCAGCATCTGCTGCTTGCGCACCACCGCCGGCGCCTTGATGGCGTCGCGCTGCCCAATCTGGCGGATGTACAGCGCCGGCACCACGGTGCACACGTTGAGCAGGTTCACGTACAGGTCCTTCTTCGTAGGCTGCGGGTCCAGCTTGGCCATGTTGAAGGCCTTTCTGTTCTGCAGGATGTTGCGGCAGTCGAGCTTGTCGATGCTCTCGACGAACTCGGGCGACAGCGACAGCCGCGAGCCGCTCCACGAGATGTACGGCTGGATGTCGAGATAGAAGTGGTGCGTCGACACCTGGATCTTCTCGTACAGCGCCATGGCCGGCTTGACGCAGTTGTCCTCCATGTTCTGGCAGAACCAGGTGAACTTGTCCTTCTTGCAGAAGATGCGTAGTATGTCTGCGAGATCCAGCGTCATGTCCTTGCTGCGGCGCGCGCGTACACTCTTGAACTGCGGCGCGCTCATCAGGGCGTTGTAGCTCTCTGCCGTCCATGTGCGAACTGCGAACAGGTCTGTTGGATAGCCGCAATCTGTTAGTCTCCTCGCTGCTGCCGCTGCTGCTACTGCATGCATCTTCTTTATTTCATGGGCAAACGTACCTCGCTTGGGCTCGACCGCAGTCTGCATCTGTGTCTCGATGAAGCTCACCATCTCGGTGTACTGCTGCCCCGACCCGTAGAGGACCTTTTGAAAGATGTGGTCGTTCAGATATCGCATGATGATGGCGACGATGATGTCCTCGTCCGTCTCGGGGAACATGCAGCCGTGGACCAGATCGGGATACTTTTGCAGAGTCCTCCTGAACTTGGCGGCTTCTCCGGACTGCTTGCGAGCGCCGGTGACGAGAGCCTCGACGCCGGCCTCGTAGTCGTCCAACCAGGGGTCCATGAACTTTTGAACCCAGTCCTGGACCTGCTCAACGAGGTCGTCGAATTGCTACAGGGGCGAGCGTCAGCAAAAGGCGCAGAAATTTGAAATCAGCTGAAGACGACTGATATAGTTTGACAAAGACTTGCGAGCACTCACCCGTCCTACTTCCTCTGGCGTGAGGTCTTTCCGATACGGCTGGAGACTGAAAATGTGCGACTGCGCATCGTTCAGCTCCTCCCGCAAGAGGTGATTCTCGTCCTTAAGCCGGTTGATCTCCTGGCCGAGCGAATCCGCGTCCTTGGCAATCTCCTCCATGTCCGAGTTGAGCAGATGCTTCAGCTCCTGAAGCTGCTGCATCGCCCTGGCGGCCTCCCTCTCGGCGCTCTCCTTCTCGACCGTGAGCCTGATGACGGTGTCGCGGAGCTGCTTGAGCTGCGCCTGGTCTCGAGTCGCCGCCTCGTCGCGCGGCCCGCCGCCGTTGGAGAGGCGTCGCCGCGGCGTGAAGCTCTCGCTCTCCATGCTGTCGAAGCTCTCTGCCGATGCGTAGATGGAGCCGGGGATCTGTGTCATGTCAAACTCGTCGTCGTCGGAGCTGGGGCCCTCGAGGAACGGCACGGGCACGTTGAGGTTGTATCTCCGTGGTGGGACGAGGTCTGGGGCGACGGACTCGGTGACTTCGACGGCGTCGAAATCGAGGAGGTCGACTTCACGGCCACCGGGAGCGTCGTCCCTGTGCTCCTGGTCCTCCGGCGGCTTGTCGTCGCTTTTGCCCGTTTCTTTTTCCTTCTCCTTTCTGCTGTCCTTTGTTGTTCGCTCTCGAGGCTCCTCGTCTCGGTCTTTGTCCTTGTCTTTGCTTTTGTCCTTGTCCTGTTCCCTGTCGCCTGACTTGGTCGATTTCCTCTCCTTCCGCAGCACCGCATGGCCATTTGACGGCCGGCTTCGCATGTCGTCGAGAGGAATGGTCCCTTGGCCTTTATCGGGAGGCATGGCAGTCAATATCTTGGTATGTGGTCTGTGCAGCGCGCAGAAAGATTGGACAAAACGCTCGACTGGCACCTTGAAGCTGTCCGATATAAGGCAGCAATCGATTGCGACCAAGTTTGGGAAAGAAGCGGCACAGGACGAAGGGATACGGTGTTTTTGCACAAACAAGGACAAAAGACAGCTATTGATAGAATCAGAAGATGGAAATGGCACAGGGCTCGCAATCCAAGCCCGGATCTGCGCTGCTCTGCTTTGTGATGCGCAGTCCTGCTGTTACATGTACGCTGCCTGTGATGGTGGCGCTTGCAGTTCAACCTCGTTGTGGTTCAGGTTCACACAGCCCGGGGCTGAAGCACATACAAACATGCCTACCCATGAAGCCATGGGCAGTCCGCCTGTCAGTTGTCTGGTTTTCTCTCCTCATGGCGGCATGGTCCCAAGTACGAGTAGGTAGATACGGAACCGCATAGAGAGCGAGTACCTGTACAGCAGCGAGCAAATCGCCGTCACCACTGCACGTCAAAGCTGCACGCCCCCTCCTTTGTGGGATCCATGATCCTACCTAGAGATGCAGGGCGATACGTGACTAGTAGTAGTAGTAGTGGTAGTGGAATTCAGCCTCACAGGCGAGTCGCTTGCCGTCAGCGGAAGAGGGGAAACGGAGAGCCTGTCCGCGGCCCATTTCTGTGACGCGGGAGGCCGATGTCGATGCCGCAAATCAGTTGATGGCATTGCCTGCCGCTTCGTGTGTTGGAGGATGCGCGGGCTGATCTCGTGTCGATGTACATATGTATCGAATGCTGATCAACGTCATTTTCAACAATCCGGGCCGTTGAGAAACCTTGAAGTTGAGCCGTTTGCCCAGTCAGTAGAATTGAGTTTCGAGGTAAAATAGACTTGTACCATAGGTAGGTGATATGGAATTTTCATGTGAAAAGGCACTGCTGATATTCGATGGAGTGTGTGAAATTGTAGTAAGGTAGGTACTACCTTACTGTACGCGAGATCAAGGCCTGTGGCTGGTACAGTGCGCAAATACCTACCAACTGTGCACCGTCTAAGTACCCAAGGTACACAAGCCTTCCAACTTGCTTAGTAGAGATATTACAGAATCTGTATCAAGTCCATTCTCAGCTTCGACCAACCACAACACCATATCGAACCAGCCCCATGACAGCTCCCGCAAGAATGGCCGCAGGCGCCGAAACTCCATAATACCTGCCCCCGACATACGCCGTGGCTGTGACGACAACCCACCACGGATCGTCCCCCAGGCTTCGCCCAGACTGAAACCCTTCATCCAGATAGCCAACCTGCCAGATCCGATAGACGGCTGTGTAAATCAGCCCGACGGCCCCGGCATTGACGCCCCTCAGCCCAGACTTGACCCAGCGTCTGTTCCGCAGCGAGCCCCAGACGCCCATGGTCCCGTGGACGAGGGCGATGCCCGGGAAGAAGATGCCCACAAAGGCGATGATGGCTCCGGCAACTGGCGGGCTGCCGCTGTTGGAGGCGGCGAGCGTGCCCAGGAAGACGGCAAAGTTGAAGTTGGGGCCTGGGAACGCTTGAGCAATCGCGAGCCCAATCAAAAAGTCTCGCGGGCTGACCCATCCTTCGGCGACAATGTATTCTCGAAGCAGCGGGATGACGACGGGTCCACCGCCGAAGATGATGGTGCCTGCAAGGTAGAGGTTGGCAAAGAGGCGGTACAGGAGAGGCGGATCGGGCAAGGCGCTGCGCAGGACCATGACCGCGATGAAGGTGGCGAAGAAGCCTGCGATGATGGCTGTTCCGACTTTCCAGGAAAAGTTCAAGCGGTATTCCCGCGGAATCACCCTGGGCTCTGATTCGGCTCCGGCTCCAAGGGGCCTTTCCTCGCTCTCCGAGTTGTCAGGATCCAGGACGGCAGCCCTCGATGGCCCGGCGAAGGACGAGCGCTGCACTTCCTGCACAGGCTCTTTGCCCATGAAGGCTCTGAGTTGCACGTCTGTTCCTGCATTCACAGCCTCCTCTTCAACAGCAGTTGTCACCTTCTTTCTCCAGTTGAGCAGAGCCACTATCGCCTTGATCGGTCTATGTAGCCAGCGGTAATCATGCACAACTGCCGCAACACCGCAGAGGAACATCAGCAGGGGAAAGTACCAGAGGGCATTGTACAGCATTCCGGCAGCGCCGCTCAGAAACACCAATGTCCTGGTGAGCTTGTCCGTCACGGCTGCATTGGAGAGCTGCACCGCTGCCAGGGCAATGATGCCAACAGTGGCCGCGTTGAGGCCCGACAAGAGGGCATAGACGGCGCGAGGGAGGGCCGATCCGATGCTGGAAACGCCCACGGCAAGGCCAAACATGCCGAGTGCTCCGGGGAGGCTATCATGGTGAGAATCATGAACAGATGCTGGCCTGCTTACTGCGCAAAGGGTCTTTCTGGTGCCTTTCTTACCTCCATATGAGGAATCCAATGACGGCACCAAAGAATCCATCGTGAATCAAGTTGATGCAATATAGCATCTTGGTGCTGGCCGGGCCACATAGAGCCTGGGCAACTCCGAAGAGCTCTTGGTACTACATACCATTGAACAATCGGGTGAGCCTGATATCTTTCAAGAATAGCGGCCGGAGTAGCAGGAAGGGGTGACAGACCAGTTGATCATCGACCCATTTCAACTTGTCAACGAATTTGTCGTGAAACTATCTCCGTGTCAGAAGGGCTCGTCTTCACGTTGATCTGTTTCGACTTGGCTTACAATTTTGAAGTGAACCGGCGGCCCGCCAAATGCTGTGAAACCAAGATGCCATTCCGCTGTCAGGACTTCGGCCGCGCGTTGGCCATATCGGTTCAATGTGTATTCCCAGCTTGACACACCCATTGAGAGGCTGCTATTCTGTCCTGATAATTTTCCCTTTCCTCGACCTTTTTTCTATTTTCTCTCTGTTGAAGAGTTGAAGCCGTGGTCTGTCCCAATCACAATTGGCTAATCGAGTACTAACTGCCTAATGTCTCTAGTAGCTGAACAGTGGCTGCTCGTCTCGACCACTTGACTCACACTTGTACACCACGTGCTCGCCGGTCGAAATCACGAAATCAGCCAGGGTCTGCATTATATAAGCTCATTCAAAGCATCCACTATCATTGGAAGAAAACTATGAATGCCGTTACGAGGGACGAGTAGCCGTGAAACGAATACCTGTGCCAGTCGTGACTACACTGTGCAGCCACATTGCGCCACAGGACGTTGATGGCTCGTGTTACATAGGTCTCTCGTAGATGCACCTCGGAGCTTTGGACACCAACATAGGCATTCAAGTTGTTCAGTGATTGGTGAAACGTGTAAGAGACAGGTCATACACACATCAGAGTTGACTTCTCATATTGCCTCCGACATGCTTCTGTTGCTATACACTTCTCATACTACGTACCTACTAGTAGGTACCTACCTAGGTAGGTGGTAAATGTACCTTAGATACCTTTGAGGCTTTTGGATGCCAAACAAGGCCCGCCAATTCCATCACCGAAGCTGCTGCCCTGCAGCCCCCAATCAGACAGACTCGGCAGCGTTCAAAAGCAAGCCATAATCCATCTGATTGGCCTCGGACCACCAGCTCTGCCGTCTCTGCTTGCAAAGCTGCCCACTTACACGTTGCACAGGCACAGCATGTCGTCAATGCAGCAGAGCTCCAGCTCCAGCCCGCCATCAAAGTCTACTACTAGTAACTGAAACCCTCCCCCTCCTCCGCAGCCGCTACAGGCGCTAGCACATCTCCCCCCGCGGGAGCCCCTGCAGCGCTCTACTAGTAGTGGTCTAGGTAGTGAACGGGCAGCCTCCTCACTGGCTCAGCGCCATCCAACCGCCAGCAGCCCGCTATACCCGCTATAATAGCGCCCCCGGCCTCGGGCTGTCTTCTAGAAGCACGCCCCTCCACTCGGGCTCTCTCCAGCTGTCTCCTCCATGACGAGCCTTGTAGGTACCTATTCATGCTATCATCCAGTCCATCAAACGCTGTGCCTCCATCCACTCGAATCTTCCCCCTCACCACCTCGCCAATCCTTCCAGTGCATCCAGACAAGGCAGACTTAGGTTTCCCGCCTCGCTTCCTGCCTTGCCTGCTGCTCCGCCATGCCATCACATTGTCGTCCTGACTGACTGGACCAACTGACGCCATGCAGAGTCCAAGTCCAAGTATCTTAGGTACCGCTACATGGAAGTCCATCAACAACGTGTCAAGTACCTGTACAAACGCCTTCGACCTCAGCATCGGCTTCTGCTTGCCAGACCATGTTATCATCTGATGTTTCGGCAACAACTGGTATCAATATTACTTCGACACACTCCGTGACAGTGACAGAGACTCGCCCAGGCATCAGCCCCACCCAGCTGAATGCCGTCTGGGCTCCCGAGGCTCTTGCAAGGCAGCACCAACAAACATGACACGCCCTGGGCTTCTCGTGCCGCTTGCTTGGGGAAATCTGCAGCTCTGTTTGCTCACATTGATCTGGCGTCCTTGTTATCCTATCAACCACTTCCCAGCTTTCGTATGCCGCCGAGGTCCAGAATGCACCGGCTCTAGCACCAAACAAGCACAAAGAAACACACAAAACCTCCATGGATACCTACTTGACCTGATTCATTACCGATCATACACCATCTCTTCCCGCCTCGCTGTGCCTATTCGCAGCTGCGCCTCTTGGAACTTGAAGCAAAGCTTCACTTATACGTGCTGCCCTCTGTTTTTCCCTTGTGCCCCCCAAGAGGCAAACTTGGCCCTCAGCCGGGCTGCCCTTTGACCTGCGCCCTGCCTCTCCAATCACTTGCCAGCTGTGCCCTGACCGGCAGATATAGATAGAGCTTGAGAACCAGCTGGCAGGCCCTTCCTTTCACTCCTCCGCTTCATCTCCATCCTCGTGTGGAGCTTCCTTCTTCTTCTTCTCTTGGTCCATTTTCATTGTCCTCATCACGGCCCTTGCATAGGTAGCTCCCCAGCCATGGAGTTTGACAAGCTCTCCATCACCGATCGCAAGATCATCGTGGGCATCGACTTTGGCACCACCTACTCCGGTGTCGCTTGGGCAGAGACTCAGCGGCCCGATAGGCGGACAGCCATCACCACCTGGCCCATCAGCAAGACGACTCGCGAGGGAGAATCCTCGGACAAGGTCCCTACCAAGCTGCGCTATGCAAAGGACGAGGTCCAGTGGGGGTTCTCTATCCCCATTACCGCTCCCCAGGAGGAAGTCATTGAGTGGTTCAAGCTGTAAGCCGTCTTCGTTCCCTCCCAGCATTGAGAGTGATGTGCCCCCAGCTAAACACCATATACACAGCGACCTGGATCCTTCCTTGAAGAACATTGGCCAGGCCGTAGCCAACGATGGTGCCCGAGGAGGCAGAGATGCTGACAAGCTCGTCGCCGACTATCTGGGTGCTCTCTGCGAGCATCTCCTCTATACCCTGCGCGAAAAGCTCGGCGAAAGCGTCGTCAAGAGCACCCCTCTGGAGTTCGTCGTCACCGTGCCTGCAATCTGGAGCGACCTTGCCAAGGACAAGACCAAGAAGGCCTGTCAAAAGGCCGTCCAGTCCCTTCCCCTGGCGCCTGGTTCGTCCAGAACCCATATCCATCTCGTCTCCGAGCCCGAAGCTGCCGCCATCTACGCCCTGCACGGACTTGACCCCCATGGTCTCAAGATTGGCGAGACCGTTGTCGTCGTCGACGCCGGCGGTGGCACTGTCGATCTCATCTCCTACACCATTACCGGGCTGAAGCCCATTCTTCAGGTCCAAGAGGCTGCCCCTGGCTCTGGTGCCCTCTGTGGCTCGACCTTCCTCAACATGCGCTTTGCCAAGTTCCTCAAGTCCAAGCTGGGCAAGGAGGAAGGCTTTGACGAGGAGGTCCTCGCCGAGGCGATGGAGGTCTTTGAGAAGAAGGTCAAGCGCCAGTTTACCCTGGCAGCTCAACCCGACGAGACATATACCATCCCCGTCGGTGGCTTGGCCAACAACAGGGCCCTCGGCATCACCCGCGGCCGATATGCTCTTAAGGCCTCCGACCTGAAAACCATCTTTGAGCCCGTCGTCCTCGAGGTCATCAAGCTCGTCAAGGATCAGATCACTGTTAGCAACGTGCCCATCCGCGCCGTGCTCTTGGTCGGCGGCTTCGGTGCCTCCAACTACCTCAAGGAGCGTCTGAGGAACGCCGTGGACAAGTCTATCCAGATCATGCAGCCCCCGAATGCCTGGCAGGCCGTCGTGCAGGGCGCGGTCATGAAGGGGCTTGCCAACAGCGCGCCCGACACCCTCACCATGGTCAAGGTGCAGAATCGCAAGGCGAGGAAGCACTACGGCACCGAGTGGCGGACCAAGTACGACGAAAGGATCCATGGCCACATCTCTGACAAGAAGAGCTGGAGCGGCATGGAGGGCTATTATAAGGTAAACGCCATGGAGTGGTTCATCCGCAAGGTATGCAGTTCCCAATTCCCCCTTCTCCTTCTCCTTCTTCTCTGCGAATAAGCAAAGCTAACACAAACCGAAACACCGAAGGGTGACGCCGTTTCCGAGAACGAGCCATACATCACTTCTTTCGTCTGGACGGGCCTCGTCGCACACGGCCGTATCCGCAAGATGCGTATGACCATCTACTGCGACCAAACGTCCGAGGAGGCCCCCATCGATAGGAACGCCAACGTGCAAGTCCTGGCCCACGTCGAGGCCGACGTGAGCCACATCCCCGAGCATCTGCTCAACCGCCGCCAGGGCAAAGACGGGCAGATGTACTATGAGCTCAGTTGCAAGATTGAAGCCGTCTATCTATCTGCTTCGACCACGTACACGCTCTTATACAATAGTATGTGTCTACCCTTTTCCCGTTCCCGTCTGCATTGCCACCAAACCCCCCTCCCTTTTGGAGCGAGTGGCTGACTGTGAGATGTAGACCAGCGATATGACACTGTTACCTGCGAATATGTCTGAGCAGCCTAGATTGAGCTGGTTCATCTTCTGCATTCCAATTTACTATATCTATTTCATTTGCTCACACTTGCTGGCTTATCTGTTTTGGGAGTCGGGAGGTCAAACTCGGGATACTAGCGACACAGTCTGTATATAGAAATACCTTGCCTGCCTTGGGCAGTTTATGAGTTCACGGCCACGGTCACGGTCACGGTCTCGAGAAACAAAATAAACACACACACAATCTACAAAGTGCCGTAGCAGATCCCACATTACCTCAAGAAGAAAGATATCTAAAGAAACGAAAAGAGTGCATTAGTATATTTAGTACACGCGAGAAGTGTTCTACACTTTCCATCGCCATAAAAGAGAAAAAAAAGCATTTATATATATAAGCCCTCTTTCCCTCCCCGCCTCCCTCCTTTACCACCCCCCCCCCAAAAATTCTCAGCAGACGGATACCTCAACAACGAATATGCGTCTAAAAGAGGACAGAAACAAAACAAAACAAAACAAAATAAAGCAAGAGAGCACAAGAAGAGTTTTTTGTGTATCGACGGCGACATACAGACAGATATATCATCAAAGATGGAGAGACACAAAGATAAGAAAGAAAAAAAAACTTGTACAAATCAAGAGGCAAATGACTACTAGTAACACAGAACAAAAGGGACGTATCGAAGCATCGCCTTTATGAGAAAAACAAAGTCAGAGAGAGAGAGAGAGAGAGAGAGAGAGATGACAAGGACAAGGGAAAAAAAAGCGTGGCGGCTGACGCGCAGTTTTCTTTTGAGGGCCCCCCTCATGGTGTTTTATCCAGAAACACCCGGCCATCTTTGTGCAGATCAACAAGGGAAAAAGAAAAGGCGGTATAAAGAGAGTAAGAGGTGGCGAGGGAGAGAGGGAGGCTGGCAGATATACAAAGGACGGAGAAAGGGAGGGAGAGAGAGAGGTTTATGGAGATAGAGAGAGAGAGAGGGTGGAAATAGTACAAAGAGATGTAAGTATAGCCAGACCGGTCGGTAGTGAGGCAGATCCAGAAATGCCTTCGAGTTTCTTGATGTCTCCTTTTCTTTCGTGTAGACATGAAAGAAGACAAATAAGGAAATTGGGAAAAGAGAACGTGACCAACAATGAGAGAGATGTATCGACGTAATCCTGGATTCTTTTCGCCAGGTTGGGATTGGTAGATAGTTGCAAAGGAAACAACAAATGACGACAAGATCCTGCACACACCCCTCCTGTATATAGTTTTATCCCGTCGCCCTCGCCCGTTTCGTCTGTGCATCTTTTGGTGGTCGTGGTTTGTACATTTGTATGTCGGGGTTGTTGACAGTGCCTCCCCCCTCGTCAAGGGGACACTGAAATGTTGGTCTTAGTTAAGCGGTGCTGTTCTTGAGCAGTCGTGAGCTACTACTCGGCTTGTAGCTATAGCTCTACCGTCGTGTCGTCGATGTAAAAGGGTACGGTCGTGTGAGTGTGCGAATGATCAATCATCCAGAGGAGCAAGCAGTGCAAACTACTGCTCCTCGTCTAGGTTTTCCATCACCCCTCCAGTCTTGTGAGTCTTCATGCCTAGCTTCAGCAAGCTGAACCTCTTCCTCACGCTGTGCTTCTTCTTGGCCTCAGGCTCATCCAAGGACGGCCTGTCCTTGGTCAACATGTCCAGGCTTACACGGCCAACCGAGCCACCTCGCCTCTCCCTGCCGCCATCTTGGTGGCTATGATCCTTGGCCTGCACTTGGGCAAGCTTGAGGAGAGCAGCATCCTTGCTGAGGCCACGCATGTGCATCTTCACATCGCCTGAGTTGCTGTTGGCGTCATCAGCGGCCTCCTGGCCATCCAGCTCCTTCTTTCGGCCGCCCAAGAAACTCAACCGCGCGCCGCGTTGCCGAGGCGTAATCTGTCGAATCACCGTCGCTTCTTCAGCCTTCACCCCGCTCACCGGAACGGCAATGCTCGTCCACTGCGGGCCCTTATCGCCGCCTGGTGTTGAGCCTCTCCAGGTAGGGGACGGTGTTGAGATGGGCTGCAAGACTGGTTGCCGGGGCGCGAAGATGGCAATTTCAGGTGCAAAAGTTGCCTCAAAGTCTAGTACGCGTTAGCCGTCTGCGTTGGCACACACGATTCACACACGGAAAAAAATCGTCACTTACAGCCTTGAAGCTCCGAGTATGCTCGGGAAATAGCTTGGTTCTTATTTCGAGAAATGAGTGCCAAGCATCTCTTGAGCATCATGGCGTGGTCCACCAAAGTCATCTTGATTGCGGTCTCTTGAGGGTCGAGCTGAACCTCGTCATCTCCCTCCTCGTCAGAGTCCGTCTCATCCTCTTCCTCTTCGCTGCTTGTCGTTTCGGGGAGCAGTTTGCGATATTGCACAACGCTATTTTCTGAAGCTGGGCTGACAGAGACGGTGACGGCGTCAACAAGCTGCTGAGCAACCGAGTCATCGCCCTCAGCCAATCGACGTTCCAGCAGCGTCATCTCCTGAGTCTTTCTGGAAATGCGTTCCAGGGCAGTTTCATGGGCATTGAGCCTGACCTCGCGGGTTTCGATAATCTCGCTTCGACGAAGAAGGGTGGGAAAAGGCTCAGCAGTCGTGAAAACCAGTTTCTCCGCGTAATGCTCTTGCACTGGTCCTGAAGTATTTCTCTTGGTTGTCACGGAGAAGACCTGGGGATGGGATGACAGTAAAAAGTCTCGGACAATGTGAGGCACCCGAACTCTCTGGTAGACCTGATGAGAAAGATCCCGATGCGGCGTCAAAGCCGAGACAACCAAGAATTGGCCCTCCATCTCGTCAACGTCGCCGCCCGTTATGATCTGAGCCGATGGGTATTGCTCCTGTATGCGGTCTGTAAAGGCCGAGGCGCGCTCAGACGGAGAGCCTTCATAGACAAACTCCTTGTCGCGTATAGAAGTAGCGAATCCAAGGCCCTTGTAGGCCACCTTGTAGTATTTGGGCGTAACTTTCTCGCTCTTGGAAATGCTCTCATAAATCGTTGCGATCGCTCGCCCGGTCCTGGCCAGCTTGGCAAAGTCGTACACGTTAGTCTCGTACTGTACTTGGAGCTCCTTGTACGCTGTCAAGGCATTGCTCCACGATTCTCCATCCTCGAAATGCTTGATCATCTCGAAATAGATCTTCTCCTTGCGCTCGAATGGAGACTGCGCCGGGAATTCCGGTTCGGCCAATGCCGGAACATGCCCAATTGGATCCCATTCATAGAGATCCGCATGCAGACGAAGCGCCAGGCCAGCCTCGGTGTGGTTCCTTGACTCGGCCTGCAACTTGGCCAGCTGATGGACATAGCGGATGAAGATATCCTCCTTCTGCATGTCACGCAAGAACTCCATGAGCCGAAGTCGGTTTATGATGTTGGAGGCTTCGCCGTTACCATCACCACCACTGTGTACGGCTACCAGCAAATCTAGGAACTCGTCCAAAGTAGCGACAAGTTCACACACAGCCGCGTAGAGGGGCTCGTCAGCAATCTTGGAGAGAGGCTGGAATCGTTCAAGCAGCTCCGCGATGAACAGCTTCTGGAGAGTGCTCTCCGTCAGGGGGTTCGATTTGAAGTAGGTGTCCAGTGAGTCAATGAGCTCCGTCTGAATCACAGACAAGTCCTCGCTCAAAGTCCACTCACTGACAATCATGGTCTGCAAAACCTCCACCGCCATTCTGCGGAGGCCTTCGTGAACGCTCAAGCAAAGCTCTACAATAGGGCCAACCAGAGTTGGTACGTATTGCACCTGATAGCCACCAATATTCGTGAGGCCGTACTTTTCACGCTCCTCTGGCGTGGTTTCCCAGCCGATAGCCTCCCACATGCTTCTCAACAGATCCGCTCCGTGTTCTCGCACATCGCCAGCAATCTTCCAGACAGCCCTTCTCTTCTGTTCAGGGAACGTCTCCAGAGCAAGCGAGGGACTCCCCACAAGCTTCAGCAGGGTTGTGAAGAACATCTTCCAGAGCTCGGTGTTGAATGATTCTGCCTCATCAGGGTCCGGTAGACAGGATTCCAGGAGGATGCCGGCGAGATACTGCAGGATGCGCATCGTCGACTTGTGGTGGTAAATATGCACACTCAGCCATCCGTTTGGAAACGCCTCGCCACTCAAAATGCTCATTTGCACTCTGAGCAGATTCTCCAAGAGGGTCGTCAGGTCGTCCTCGGCGGCCAGCTCGAGCTGCATGCCCGACGGAGAGTTCGCCAGGGCGGAAAGCACCGCAGACAATTCCGCCAGGGATTCATCAAAGGTAACCTCGTCTGCCGTCGGCTTTGTAGGGAACGGATATGTTGATGGAAATAGGAGCGAGAGCTTGTTTCTTGGTTTCTGTGGCGAGGAGAGAATCGTGAGGTATGAGTCGAGAATTTTGGGGATATGGTCAGGGATCTCCGGGCCCAGATGGTCGATCTGGCAGGCGACGATGGAACAACACAGGCGAATCTGCTCTCGCCACTGATCATTGACCTCTTCAGTATGACCCCAGTGAGGAGAGATCCATCGCACAGTGTTGGCACTCAGGGCAGATTTCTGCTCAGGATGAGCGAATAGGTCTAGCTTAGAGTAGTTGATGATCAGACACAGCTTGTAGATGACGAGCTTGCCCTTGACGTCTTTGCACGAGTCCATGAAGTCAATGGCGATGTGCAAAATCTCCTCCGTCGTCAAGAGGCCCGTCAGCTCTGGCAGCCAGGTGTGAAAATGCTGCACCGCCAGCGTCTGGTTGCCGACAAGTGCCGGTGCCGACTTTCTCATCATCGCATCGAGTGCTTTGAAGATGCTTCGAAGGTTCCTGGTGAGCCCCTGAGCAGAGGACTGGATTCCTATCTCCGCCTCCTTCACCTTTTGCTGCCCTCGAGACTGCGTGATGAACTTGAGGATATGTCTCACAACCTTGAAGGTCGCACGCAGCTTGCGGGCTGTCTCGGGCTCTGCGTGACGTTTGAGCAGCCGGATGAAGGACTGTATCAGACAAGGGGTAGCAAACGGGTAGTTGAACTGAGTTTCCGCATAATGGTCCACAAGGGGGGCTAGGTTGAACCGTCGATCGTGTACGATTCCGAGCACTCTAACCAAGGCCGTGAACACCAGATCTTCGTATTCGTCGTTCCCGGAGTACTCCACAAGGATTCCAAAGAGCCCGTCCAGCACGTCGCTGAGGAGCTTCACGACTTCGATTTCTGAGACAAAAACAACTTGTTTCAGAATAGCGGGTATCTCGTCTTTGGGCAAATCTTTCCACTTGAGAAGTCCTAAGATAATCCTGTCCTGAGAAAACCTCGTGCTGCACAGGTAGGTATCTACCATCATCACGGCAAGCGGCCCAGTCACATCGACCGAACGGTCGTCTTTGCCTCGAGGCGCCCACGGGACGGCGAGATAGCCACCCTTTCCTGACGGACCGGCCTGCGCAGTCGAGGTGAATTCGTCTATCTTATAGAGCAGGAGCCCATGAGGTCCATCGCGAATGAAGGCTTGGCCCTCCCACAAGGGCATGTGCGCCATGGCAAATGGGGGGTTTGGCATATCCGACAAGTACATGACGACGTGAGCATTCATTACGTCGCTTGGCTGCAGCGACAGCCGGAGCGTCTGGTTCCAGGCTTCGCCCCTCTCGACGGCACAGGACTTGAACGTGGTAAGGGCCTCGGTATTGGAAGACGTAAATATGCATCTCTCGAAGCGTTCGCCGGAGGACTGGCGGACCTCCAGCGTGAGTTGCAAGTTCGCCCCGCTGACCGTACTGGGCAGATTGATTGCGCTGCCCGCATATCGGGATATCATGTGCTGCTTTGCCAAAGCGGCAATGTTGAGCGTGAGATATATGTCCGACCGTGGCTTGGTTGGTGCAGCAGCAAAGCCGATCCTACTCGTCTTGGATACGCCGGATAGGATGGTGGGCGTGGCCTTGATCAGGCCATCGGCATCTGGATGCTGGAATTTCCTGAGAGAGACCTGCAGCCGCTCGCCGCTCCTCGACTTCTCATACTGGCCGGACGTACTGGTGATCAGCTCTCGGATCAGCGGGTCGAATTCTTCGGCAGCATCCCTGTCGGTCTGGGAGTAACCGAGCGCTGGCGACCAGATGGTGACCACTTGCTCGACCTCTTCTGACTGCTTCATGATGGAGTTGAGCTTCAAGACGCCAACGCCAACGGTACGCTCGACAGTCTGCCCCGTCTCAGGAAGATCCGCGGTCGTGCTCCTGGAACCGGCACTGCTTGGCGGCTTGCTACTCCCATCTTGGCTGTCCAGGCGAGCAGTGGAGGTTCTTCCTTCCTGCTGCTCCGAGAGGGGGTCCATCTTGTTGACTGTGTTTCCTCGAGAGAAGGCGGTTCGTGCAGCCTTGCCGCCCCACATCATGCTCCTCCTAGAAGCCTTCCCTGAGCTTGCAGGAGGCGTCTTGACGTGTTCCCGGGTGAAGCTGCTGTCAGTGCCGGACCGAGACAGAGGCTGGGGGATGAAGATGTGCTGTGATGCCAACACCTTCACAACAAGATACAGCTCCGAGTCGGCGGCCGGGGCATCACCAATGTCATGCGCAGAAAGGTCTGTAAAGAGCGTTCTGGTGCTGGCGTTCTGCGCAAGACCGCTGATCGAACCGCCGGCGGGTATCTCGATGCTGAAGCACTCGGAGAGGTTGGTTCCCTTTGCGTATTGGGGCTTGCTGACCAGGTAGGCTACAATTGTCGTCTCCTCGGTGGAGCTTCCCGCGAAGCCCTTAACGTCTAGCAGGATGTGGTTCAAGCTCGTGAGTTCAGAGGCAGCATGGGGAGGTTCATCAAGTAGGCTCATAACCGACTGGAGCTTGGTGACATCGACAACAGAGTCATCGGCCGTCAGGACTCTACCGCGCGCCGAGGGGTCTCGCACAACCACTTCGCCACCACAAAGCTTGTTGACCGTGACGAGGTCCCAGACCGTCTTCTCTCGCAGTTGTTCATATTCGTGCGCGGTGAGGACATTGTAGAGGAATTGCTGGCGGTGGAGGTTCAGAGAAGTCACGAGCTGTGATAGCTTCTCGAGCTTTGCATACTGTCGAGAAAGGAGCAGTTCGTGTAGGTATTTGGAATGCCACTCTCGCAGGCACGACGCGATCTCGTCAACCAGTGGCTCGTCTACTGATGTTGGCGTTTCGTCGCCAATCTTGAGCATCGGTACTGGTGCTGGGGGTCGAGGCGCATTCGGGTCTCTGCGAACGGGAACTGAGAGGTTCTTGACCCCATCTCCTGTAAGGTCTCGCAGAGTCTTCTTCCACTGACTTGAGTCATGCTTCCTGTCCCGGCCTTGTCCCTGATCCGACTCTATGCCGTCGATGATACCACTCTTGGCAGAGTCGCTACCCGGGCGGTCATCAATGCCGCTGTCGCTCGCAAAATCCTCATCGTGTCTATCGTCGGCCTCGCCAAGCAGCTCTCGCACTTCCACGCAACTTCTCGGGAAGATGCCACTGAAAACGCGAGCTTCCAGCGTCTGCCCCTTGACGGAGGTTAGGCCAGCAAGCAGACTGGGAGGAGCAACAAGATAGCCGCGCAGCCAGTTGCCGTCTGGCGTCTCTTCAATTATGTAGAGCTCATCGCCGATTTCGAGGGGGAGATCGGCCGGGCTCGCGGCTGTGAAAGGGTAGGTCGCGACGGCGAAGGCGATCCGGGGGAGAGGCTGCCAGGGCATTGAGAAGTCGAGATGTCGGCCTCTGTCGAGAGTGCGGTTCGATTGGGCCCGGCAGCAACGGCTATTCTGTCGCCGTAGACAGCGGCTTGCTGATTGGCAAGGCTCGACGAAGCAATACGCTGGTGGACGGACGTTGCGAACGCATCAAGCTTCGACGTGGAAACGCGGTGGTGTTGATATACGGCGACGCCTAGCGTGTTGATATTCAGTTTCTGACGAGCTTCTTCTAGCAGCGGCGCGATCCGAGGACTCGAGAAGGAGATTTCGAAGCCGATGGACTTTTTTTCCTGCCTTTCTAGAAGACTTACGACTCGATGCGTGAAGTTCGTTTGCAAAGCGCCGGTTGGCTGGCGGCTGGCCGTCCGAGAACCCCTGAGCAAACACGACCAAATTATGCACGCTGGCGAAGAGATAGCGATCCGATAGCGCAATTAAAGCATCCGCCCGACGCTGATCAGAATGCAAAAGCTGTGAACAAAAGGTATCTCAAGTATCGCAATGCCAAGACGCTCCGTGCTCTGCAAGGCTCGCTCAAACAGACGCAAGTTGTGACACAAAATCTCAGACAAAAAAAAAATATATCACGGCAGATGGCTCAGCGAGGGGAATCGTGGGTGTTCACGGTTCAATCTCGCAACTCAGGCTCAACTCAGTCTGGTCCATCTCTCCCAGCAGCAGCAGCAGCAGCAGCAGCGCCGCACGCTGTACCTGGTCCCAACCGCCGGGCGCTTTAGTGGTGGTGGGTGCTGCAGCCCCGCTCCTGTGGCCGCTAGGAACAGCGGTGGACTCCCTGGACCGGGGGGGGGCTTGGGGGAACCTGGAAGCTTGTACGGGGCCATCTCCAGTGGAGAGAGCGCTGAGCCCTCTTGGCCCTCCTCTCCTGTAGGTACGGATGGGTGCCGACAGGGGTTCGCCGCCAGGGGTTGGGTCTCTGGTGTGCTATCCCCGACCTTGCAACATGCAACAGCGTGCATCCGATGTCAGCACTCAGCTTAACCGGGATGGACGCGCAGCACAAATCCTTCTGTGGACGAACTGCTTGTTGCCTCCTGTCCCAAAGAGGCGCAGCTCCAGGTACGAAAGGCTACTGGTACTAGGTAGGTAAGGTGACGGGACAGAGGACATGAACCTGTGGGCACATCCGCGTCTCGGCCATCACCACTCGACGTTTCATTGCCTGACGGAGCACGCGATGCAGGAACGTATCTCGCTTTCCATGTCGTTACGGAGAAGCAGTAGATATTTGATTGTTAACCTGGACAATCTCCAGAGGTTGCCAATTGTCCTAACAACGTCCAAGCCACCTACACGTCCTTTTGAAGTGAGAATGTCCGTAAACAGTCGATATTCGATGTTGATACTAGGTATCCAAGCCTCTCGTCACTTCCATGCCCACGGCTATGAGAGATCCGTCTCCATCGAGCCGCCCTCTCGGCACTCGAGCCCTCCCTTCTGCCCGGAGTACCCGTCATCCTTCTGGCGACTCCGTGCTCCCGTACTTGGTCGATCTCTTGATCTCTTCCGCACCCCTGACCCATGCTGGCAATCAAACTTGTCGCTTATCGATTATGTACAGTATAATGCAGAATTACGGAGCTCCCCGAGAGGTGTGCATTACATGTACGTGTAATTGATCGAACCAGGTGTGCTCAGACCGGCTGCCCGACGGTCGTTTCTTGTTTCATGGCGGCATGTGGGCATCCTGCTACCCGTGAGTCTAAAAGCACGTTGGTTTGGTGACTGATGGATAGTGAGCCACTGACATACCGAAGGCAGTAGATGTCTCTAGGCGTAGGGCCGTGATACTATCGTGAGATCCAACACTGGAGTGAGAGGGGGTGAGAGCAATATCGTAGTTGGGCGAGAATTGGTCAGTTTATGTAACGCCGCTGTCTCGGACTCGTAGCGCCACGAGGTTGGAACTACAGATCATTGAAAAGCCGACGTGCTTTCCGGCCACCACTCTGTAAATATCATGAGAGCCTCATGAACAAAAGGTAGGCAACCATGCTATGAGCAGCGTCGACATCTACAGGAAGAGGTAGTGGTATAAACGCTTTGCCGAAGAGAGAGACCGCAGACAGAATATAAACACACATAGAGCTGATACGAACACCATCTGTGTATGTCATTTGGTGACAGACGCCGCATTTGTGTGCGTATCGTTGGTTTTTTTGTGTGCTCGTGTTTGTCCCCCTGTTTTTCTACAACCAGCAAGAGAAGGTGCATGTGCGGGAGATCACCATATGATTCACCAGAATTGTGAGAGCTCATGTGGGACGACACTCGTATGGATCTCACGTCAACGGACAACAGTATTGCCCGCCCGATATGAAGCTATTGATCCTATTACAGCCATGGAAATACTGGCTATGGGATAGTTGACTAGGTATATTTGGTTATTCCCACGGCAACACCTGCATCGTATACGTGTGTTCATCTGCTTCTGTCAGGTCTGGATTAGGGGTCCAGGGTCTTGGAGCAGGTCAACTACATACAACATCAAAGGCTCGAGATCGCATCTTGACATTCAGTCCATGGTTCTGAAAGGCTTAATGCTTACGGCAGCAGTGACTCTAATATCTACTAGTGACCGGTACTTTGACATCAGAGCACTGACCTCGTGAACAGACTCCCACGGCAGTTGCAGATTATGCAGTGTAGCACTCCATACGGAGTTTCCCCACGCTCACCTTTGGCTCCCCGCATCAGTGCTGTATCAATCAATACCTGCAGGTGACTCAACCTTAACCGACAAGTGACCACTCAACTCGAGCAACCGGGCAGGATCGATTGTTCATCAATTTGAATTGACATCATACCGTGCAATAAACGCGGCAGCAAAGGTGGCATCAAATGGACGGAAGGAGTTGAGGTCATTGTCATGCGTATCAATTCACTTGGCGGGAAACCGCATCACTCTCACCCCTCACGCCGATTACCGCTCGCACCTGCACTTTTGACGGCGCATCTGTTTCACTTCCCGGACAATCAACCATCACCTCATTTTCCCGAGTATGACTCAAATCCAACAAAATAGCAACCACGTGCGACGCGGCAGGCAGCATGAAGCTTAAACGCCCTCTACATAGGCCCGCTACTACCTAAACTCTTGGCAGCTGAATTTCCTCCTCTCAAGGCATTTTCTCACTCTTACAAAGACGGAGTGAATTGGGGTGCGAAGCTTACACAGTAACAGTCAGCGCCTTGTGATATCGACCTCGACCACCTCTCTCATTCTCTACACCGCACAACACATCAACGCTGCTGCCGGATCATCACCAATCAAGCATCATGGGAACTCCCTTTGTCAGCTTTCTCGAGCCTAGCAAGCTCGACGGCTTCCAGCTCGGCGTCCCTCGAAGCAAGATACCCGCCACAATCCCTCGGACCTTTCTCGACGCAATGGAAGTCCGCGAGGAAGTCTTTGTCAAAGAACAGGGCGTTCCCCAGGAGAACGAGTTTGATATCGATGACCCGCGATCCTGCCACTGGGTCATCTACGTCAGCGTCAATAAGACGGAGGTACCTGAGATTCGAAATGAGCAAGGACACATTGTGCGGCCGCGCAAGAGCTCGACTCGAAGCACTCCCGTGGGAACAATCCGCATGGTTCCCTTTCCCCATGATCCTCACCCAAAGCCGGGAGGCGAGTACTGGAACGGCGTACTGAAGGGCGAAGAGAATGGCAACACTATCCCGTCATCTCGTCCCTTTGTCAAAGACCGTCCGACAACATTCCATGACGGAAAGGAGCCGTACATCAAGCTTGGACGACTGGCCGTCATCAAGAACTATCGAGGCTTCAGTTTCGCAGGGCAACTTGTGAGGAGTGCGCTGGAGTGGATCAAGAAGAATCCGTCCTTCTTCGACCCGAGCATCAGGGAGTTGGGTCTCGAGCAACTGGGATCACCGACGGAGACCGAGGCGCCGCAATGGAAGGGCCTTGTGTGCGTTCACGCCCAAGAGCAGGTTGCTAAAGCGTGGGCGAAGTGGGGATTCCAGATTGACGAGGGTATGGGAAAGTGGTATGAAGAAGGCATTCCTCACGTTGGCATGTTTCTTCGCCTCGACATTGGCGAGAAGGATATCCGAATTTGAGGGAGATGATGCGAGCAAGTAAAAGGGTGGCGAGAAGTAGACATCTCATATGAAGATCTGCCTACATACGTCGGATGCGATTAGATTAGAAACACATCTCAAGGTGGTAATGAAATCTCTCCACTTTACGATTAACGACGTAAATAACTTTTTCGATTTCATTTTTCTTTATCTGATTGCTACCTGTTGCACTCTCGATTTGGCCTCCCTGATAATCACAGATAAGAGAAAAAATAAGTGATAGGGTATGGTAAATTAGAGACACAATAGGCATGATTCATAACAGCCCTTTTTTTTGAGCCCAGCTTTTTATTCAGACTCTAGGAGCCATCTGAAATAAGTCCATGTCCGCGTTCCCAGACCCGAACGCAAAATGCAATTCTGAAATATGCCTGATCCACGCCCAAAAAGCCACACTCCATCCCTGCCAGGTAACCCACTCGCACAACCTTTATCGGTTGCTCTTGGCGACACGCTCCAGCTCGTCCTTCTTCTTGATAGCGTATGAGTTGCTGCTGCCCTTGGCGGCGTTGATCAGCTCCTCAGCCAAGCACTCGGCAATGGACTTGACGTTTCGGAAAGCGGCCTCGCGGGCACCGGTGGTGAGCAGGGCAATGGCCTGGTTGACTCTCCTCAGGGGGGAGACATCGACGGCCTGACGACGGACGGTACCGGCGGAACCAATTCGGGTAGAGTCTTCACGGGGACCGCAGTTGACAATGGCGTCAACGGCAACCTGGATGGGGTTCTGGTCGGTCATGAGGTGAATCTGTAGGGAATTGTCTTGTAAGTATAAACGTTCTCCAATGCGTCTTCCTTCTCTTCGCCCTTGGCTTTGTTCGTGTTCATCTCCCATCTTCCTTTCCCCCCAGGGTCGCGTGCAAGTACGTACGATCTCGAAGGCGTGAGCGACGATGCGGACAGCCATCAGCTTCTTGCCGTTGTTGCGGCCGTGCATCATGAGCGAGTTGGTCAACCGCTCAATGATGGGGCAGTTGGCCTTGCGGAATCGCTTGACGGCATATCGGCCAGCAGAGTGGGTGACGTAGACGGGGTTTCGCAGGGAAATGTAGTCGCTGTTTGAATCAATCCTCATCAGCATTTCTGTAGACCCCTTTCAACGTTGCGGCGAGATGCAGTGTATTTTTGTCTTGTCCAAAAATTCCTCCCATCTCGCCTCGATCGCGGGTTTTCGACGTACGTCAGGGAGATGTCGCGGACCTCGACATCGTAGTCCCACTTGTTGAACAGCTTGACGTTGCCGACCTCCTTGACAACATCCTTGGGGAGGGCGTCGGTAACGACAGAGTTTTCGATCTCGATTTCGCCGTCAGACATCTTGGGCTATTTGCAGTCGAGAATTCCGGTGCTGGGGGGCGGGACTGCGGTCAGTGGTGCGGATTGTCGAGATGTGATTTTTCAAGAGGTTGAAGGTGGGCTCGGGTCGGGCGTGGAAGGGGAAATTTTGGTGGTGTGTGCATTGGGCGAATCAGACGGCGCGAAAAGTTAGGTACGTACCCTGCACCCACGTTCGGTTAGGGCTCGGCTGCCCTGGTGCATTCGGAAGTGGGCAAACCGCGCAAGCGGCAAGGGCTACTCTAAGTTGTCGCCAAAAATTCCAATTCCTCCACCTTACTCCTCTGTCGACAAGCCAAGCACATCACAGACAAAATGGTATGATATTGAAGGCCCAACGCCGCCGTCGCCCGACCGTGATGAGCGTCGAGATGGACGTCGCGATGCAGTTGCTGATTGTTTGAAACCTCGCAGGCGCCCGCAGCTGGAGCAAAGAAGCAAAAGAAGAAGTGGTCCAAGGGCAAGGTCAAGGACAAGGCCCAGCACGCCGTCCTGCTCGACAAGAACATCTCCGACAAGCTCTACAAGGATGTTCAGTCCTACCGCCTCGTCACCGTTGCCGTCCTGGTCGACCGAATGAAGATCAACGGCTCCCTCGCCCGCCAGTGCATCCGCGACCTCGAGGAGAAGGGCATGATCAAGCCGGTCATCACTCATAGCAAGATGAAGATCTACAGTAGGGCTCACCAAATCGCTCCCTTTGTGCGCCTGATCCAAGACGAAGAGAAAAAGATGTACTAACGGCTTCGCGCAGCCCGTGCCATCGGCGAGTAAATTTACCACCATGTTTGAAAGTTAAAGCATTGAGATTTGGCGCCTGGTTGGTCTGAACGGAAGAAAATGGGCCATGAGAGCAGAGGATGATACACGAGGTACATACAGCCTCGGATGGGACGCTTTTTCATGCTCGGTGTAGCATTTTCATGGGATCGGAAACGCTTTAGCATATGGCTACGGAATGAAGAACTTCAAAAAATGACCAAACCCGACGCGCGAGCCCTTCCGCCCTCTGTGACGCACATTTTCTGCTGCAAAGTCTTTGTGTGTTCGGTCTACAAGGACGCATTGATGGTCATTGTTATGACATTGACCGGCCTATCCGACCACCGTCTGATGCTATCACATGCGCAACTGCGTCGTCGGCAATGCACCATGCAGCGTACATATCAAATTGAATGCTATGACTGCAGTATTATTTTATCAAGTATAAAAGTGATTGATGTTCTGTTACACTAGGTAAGGTTGTTGACTACCGGCTCTATCTCCTCGCCATCAATGTTCTCCGTCCCATCACTTGTAACTGCGGTTTGGATACTCCAGAGAGTAACTTACCATCAAGAGATACGTTCTGAGGCTCGTGGGCTGTTACGAGACTCAAAAATGGTGCCAATATCTGTGGATGTGATATTTCCACAAGTGGTGTTGGACGTCTATCCAATCATATTCCAGCAGATTGCGGCCCTGCTGGGCAATGGTCAGCCACAGTTTGAAGCCCTTCTACGCCACCCTTCTTGGTAGACGAAATCTGCCTTCCAGAACTCTGGATGTTCGTACGAAGTAATAGCTGCAGAGCGTCATACAATTGCATTGAACAAGATGTATTTCACAGATTGCGGTGTGTCGTCCATCTCAGCGAATTATAGAAGCCGAGGTTTACTATTCGTCGAAACAACCTTGTGGACTCGCATAAATTGCAGGCCTTGGTCGCCCAATCGATTCGTGAGAGCGAGCGCAGCGCTATCAAGGTCCACAACCTGGGGCAGAACAACGCGACGCAAGCAAGGCAAGGCAAGGCAAGGCAAGGCAGAGAAGTTGTCCGAATGGAATGCAACTGAATGTCCGCGGATCTTGTCTGGGGAGGTCTGGGGACAAAGCGACTGTTCACGCGCCAGACCTTAGAGGAGTGCCTCCATGAGCAGCAATCTCTATCCGGACTACCTAGGGAGGTGCGCAGCAGTGCTTCTTTTCCGCATCCCTCGCTTCCTTGATATCTGCTCTTGACAGGCGCCGCACCCTAACATTGCCCCTAGGACGGCATACCTACCTTACCTACCTAGTAGGTATCAGAACCGGTTAGAATCTTAGAATCCTTCCTTCGCCTGTGCTTCTGGCAGCATCGGGCCGTGAGGCAAATTTTGGCGAGCCGGCTTCTGAACGAAGGCCGCCGGTGTCCATGTCCGTTTTGACAGGCAAGGCTGGAGAATCTCAAGACCTCGGGCCTCCCTGGCAATTGTGGAGCCGGAGTACGCGGGATGGCTTCTCACGGCCGGTCAGATCGGCGGCAACGGTGTGGCGATGCGAGACGAGGTTGGCGATGGCAAGACTTTTGAGATGGTGGCACTCTTTGTTTCCTGAGTGGCAGAGGAGACGGAAGCCGGAGTAGCCGCTAAGCAAGCCTCGTTCTTATCTGCCAGACTTTTTCCTAGGGATCTCTGGAGGGTTCAAGGACCGGACTTGACCTCTCCCCCAGCGTACTAGAAGATTCCGATGCCATACTGTACCTGTGATGGCTGCAAGACCCAAGGCCATGCGGCTAAAATGACGAGCTATATTTGTCTTTAGGTACCTACAGTACAACACTCGCACAGATGGTCCACGGGTACTTTTTCATGCCAGCTGGACTTGCAGGGCACGCGGTACTGGCTCACGCGGCGGCAGTCCTGATAGGCCGCCATACACGTATGTACCTGCACCAGTCAGGGACGACGGCTGAAGCGGTGACGAGCCTGCGTGAGAAAAGGCGAGAAAAGCGTGCAAAGTGCGTGTCCTGCGTCCGTCTGTACGGAGTACTTTTGCCTCAGTGTGTCTCGGGGATGCCAGCAAGAGGCAGGTTTGGCAACGAGGTTCGCACTGGCGGGTGGCCACGGCGGGAGGCCCAGATCGGGGCGAACCGGGTGCAGGTTCTGCTTTGCACCCGGGGTGACATCAAGGCGCCGGTGTTGTGGGTTGTACAGGCACAGTGCCGCCCAACGCTGGACTTCCGAAAAAGCAAGAGGCTCGGGTCGCAGAAGACATTGAAACAAGGCACCCGAGGCTGGCCCCTTGGAGTGCCTGCAACGACTGCTGGCACGGCCCTCGACAGGCGCGCTGCCTTAGGCTGCCACCCACTGTGATGCTGTAGCGCTGCAACTGAACCTGGAACTTGAAGTACCCTCGCTGTTGCCGTGGCAGGTGGAAGGCGGTCCAAGCCCAAAGCCTGCAGCGCTAGTGCGGCCGGAAAGAGTCGCTCTGAAAAAGTGTCCCCTTCGAGACCCGCTGCAATTTTTTTCCCTCCCCCCCCAGAAAAGCCATTCGCCCGCTCGGTGCAGAATTTATTTCCCTCGAGTCCCCCGATTGTCCTCCTCTTCCTCCTTTCATCTCCATCTCCCCTCAGTTCTTTCTTTGTTTCTGGGAAAGCGTTGCACCTCAGTCAAAATGTCTTCTGAGAAGCCTCAAAAGGTCCTGGGCATGCCGGTAAGTTGACCCTGCCTGCCGTTTGCCTCGTCTATTTTGCCCGCCTCGTCTCCATTGCCAGGGATACGCCGTGTGAGATTCCGAATCGAACCCGAGAGATATTTTGCACGCATCATCAATTGAACCGCCGAGATGACATTGAGATGTTGTGCAATGATGTCTGGCTGGGCTTCACTCTCGGTTTGGAGGAATCTCCCGTCGTGTGTCTGGCTGGGAAAATTTTTTCCTCCATCACGTTCGCACATGTGAAACCTGACCGCTAACGATGACTTCTCGCAGCCCTTCGTGGCCGACTTCCTGAGTAAGTCTCCTCTCGATGCTGATTCGGTTCAAGCATGATGGCATCAATATGGATCCCGGCCGGCTTTGCATCTGAACATGGCGAACTGACAAGTACTCTACAGTGGGTGGTGTTTCCGCTGCCGTCTCCAAGACCGCCGCTGCCCCCATCGAGCGTGTCAAGCTCCTCATCCAGAACCAGGTTTGCCACCCTCTCTCCAGGCCCTTTGGTCAAGAGAAACTCCTGTTCTAACCGCCGCGATAGGATGAGATGATCAAGTCCGGTCGTCTCGACCGCCGCTACGCCGGTATCACCGACTGCTTCAAGCGTACCGCCGCCGATGAGGGTGTCCTGTCCCTGTGGCGTGGTAACACTGCCAACGTCATCCGATACTTCCCTACCCAGGCCCTGAACTTTGCTTTCCGTGACAAGTTCAAGAAGATGTTCGGCTTCAAGAAGGACCGTGATGGCTACGGCATGTGGATGCTCGGTAACCTGGCCTCTGGTGGTGTAAGTTTTTCTTGAAAGAACCCCTCAGTTTGCATGCTTGATGCTGATGCTCTTTGCCAGGCTGCTGGTGCCACTTCTATGCTTTTCGTCTACTCTCTGGATTACGCCCGTACCCGTCTGGCCAACGATGCCAAGAGCGCCAAGAAGGGTGGTGAGCGCCAGTTCAACGGTCTCGTTGACGTCTACCGCAAGACCCTCGCCTCTGACGGTATTGCCGGTCTGTACCGTGGTTTCATGCCCTCCGTCGCTGGTATCATCGTTTACCGTGGTCTCTACTTCGGCATGTACGACTCCATCAAGCCCGTTCTCCTGGTCGGTACTCTCCAGAACAACTTCCTTGCCTCTTTCGCTCTCGGATGGTGCGTCACCACTGGTGCCGGTATCGCTGCCTACCCTCTTGACACTATCCGACGACGAATGATGATGACCTCTGGTGAGGCTGTCAAGTACAAGAACTCCTTCGATGCCGCCCGCCAGATCATTGCCAAGAACGGTGTCAAGTCCCTGTTCAACGGTGCCGGTGCCAACATCCTCCGTGGTGTTGCCGGTGCTGGTGTCCTGTCCATCTACGACCAGCTCCAGATCCTCCTCTTCGGAAAGGCCTTCAGCGGTGGCTCTGGTTAAATTGCTTTTTCTACGTTCTGCATAGACATTCTCCCTGCGTGGTCACGCGGAGATGGGGTTTATCGGCCAGGTGGGTGTAAAGCGGCGTCCACTGGTTGATCAAAAAGGAGACCGGAATGGAGGGTATTGAGGGAAGTTGGGCCAGATATCCCGACCTGTGTAACAGTTGCTATTTGCGGGTTAGACTGGCATGGGCACGGCGTATTAGTCGTTTCGGCTCTTGTCGTGCTTTCTACCTTAGGTCGCTGTAATTATACACCAATGCAAGTTCCCTTGATTTAGAGATACACATGCGATGAATGCTCTGATGTGGTAATGTGTCATCGTAAAATACCCATCTGCGTCGTGGCTCGAGATGCAATTTTTCGGCTTCGTGCCTTGTCCTCAGCCTCGAGGCAGCAGTGTTGTGCGTTGCTGACTAAGGTAATGTATCGCGGTTGGGAAGGCAGCAAGCCGAGCTCCTGCAAGCTACAGTTTGAAACTCAGAGAGTCCAACATCGTGTCGCTTGTTCGCACTCTCTCAACCTGCTGCCGCTCGGAGGCGTTCCCTTGTCTGTCTGCGTACGCGAACGCTGCAGAAGCACCGAATCAAATCTCGCAGAGTGTCTGGTGCCAAATGCCGCCCAAACAATCATCCTCCACCGGAGCAGGTCGTGGCCGGCCGGCCAAGGCAAGCAAAGTTCAACCTGCCGCTCGCGCCGCCTCAGAGTCTAGTAATCCCTTCGAGTCGTCAGACGACCAGGCAGAGGAGCCGAAGAAGAAGAAGAGGCCTGTGGAAGAAGAGCCGGCGGAGCCCGAAAAGACCATCCCGAGAGCCCTCTTGACGCGGATCCTGCACGAGTTCTTCACAAAGGACGCTACGAGGATGTCGAGGGATGCTAACGCGGCGGTGGGCAAGTACGTCGATATCTTTGTCCGGGAGGCGATTGCGAGGACGGCTGTCGAGAAGAGGGGAGGGTTCCTAGAGGTGAGTGCCTTGGGGAGTACATCCTGCTTTTATACCTTGTCGAATCTGGGTACTCCCGCTCAAACGATGCTGACTCTTGTACTCAAGGTCGAGGACTTGGAAAAGGTCGCGCCTCAGCTGCTGCTAGATCTCTAGGGGTGCCGAGTCCAAATATGCATGGAGCAAGATTGGTTGCTTAGACAGCCAGAGATCCATCGTTTCCTACCTCAAGACCCAGTCCGATGAGGCAGGCATCTGATGCGCGCTCCGGACACATCCCGGATTCTGGATCGATCGACCATTGGCAGGCTCACGAGTCTGTCTAGATTCGACAATAGCCTCCTGACAGCGACACTCGAACTTACGGTCAAGGTTCCACCCGCTGTTTCATCTGGCAACAAAGGATAAAACAATGCCTCGAGGTTTTGGAGGCATCCGACTTGTCTAAGAGACCGCGAGAGAGAGAGAGACGATGTGCATGAAACGCAGTGTTTCCGAAGCTAAGTTCATTGCAGATTTTGTTTGCGGCGGCCGCGGTAGAAACATAGGGACGCTTTACGGGCCAGACATGGTTCAATTTCACCCTTGTTCGGAACGACCCATGTTCTGGCCAAAGTACTTTGACTACTCGGACGGTGTCTGCTCTCTACGATCAATGTTGAGCAGCGCATCGCGAGCGACCAGTTTCGTCATCGGTTCATCAATGGGCATTCTCCGCAATGCAGATATTTGCAAGCAGCAAACCCATGGCATTCATACCAATCTATTGAGTCTTGTCTTGTTCAATTTCCAATTCGGTGAAACTGTCATCCTGACAAGCAACCCCACGTGAATGTTTGCCAGAGGGCATCGTGACTCTGGTCCGGTGTTGTAGCGCTTGGCGGTCGGTTACCTAGAGCGTTTCACTAACGCGACAATAGCCCGGATTCTGCACACATCTGGCAGGGGTTTGTGGCGTTTACACCTGTGCCTGTCTCCAGTTGACAGCGCCATTGGACTCCAAAGCAGCCAGGCACATTCTTTAAAAAAAGAGTTTGTTTGGACGAATGGAAACAATCGGCCTATCGGGATCGAGTGCGGTCGCGACCATGCGGCTGCTGCGGTCGCCGGCGTCTGGCTGCGCTGAAACCGAGGATGTCTCGCGTGTGTCGGAGGCGCTGCAACTTGAAGCAGCTTCGACATCAGACCCCGGCGCGGCCCCTCAAAATTAGGTGTGGCGCGGCGGTGCTGCAACGAGTGCAATTCCGGCTTCACAGTCGCCCGGCGCCCATGACGGCTAGTCAGTGTGAGAGATTGCCTCTGTCAGGGCCGACAATGCCAGGGTCCGCGTTCCTCAGCGTGTCGACGACGAGGAGAACGCTGTCCGTGCAAGCCACAGGCCGGAGTGAGGCTAGCAGCAGCCTGCCATTGTCTGCTCCACGGAGGCTGACCCCTGCCGTCGAGAGCCATCCCCGGCATCCAGATTTGTTTCGCAGACCCGATTGAGCTGAGCCGGCCATTTGTCTGGACCGGGCGATTCGAGGCCAGCGCCCATGGCCAAACAGGTCTCATACACGCTATGGGCGGCGTTGAAGTGAAGCCATGCCCCGTTGTTTGAGGACTCATGATAGGCGCCTCCTAGACGACTGCCTTTCCCCGTAATGGGACCCCCCCTTGGGACAAGGTGCAAGGACGCTAATGCGGACGTCGAGAGTGGCATGAACAGAGAGATGAGAGATTCATAAAAGCCATCGTGTTTCCGTTGTTTCTTTCCTCTTTCCTTCAACCATTGTTCAACTATTCGTCCGTGGGGTTCCTTTTGTCTCCTTACTTTCTCTTCTCTTCTTTTCTCTATCCAGTTTACATTTACATTCCAAAGGCTAGTCCTTTGCTGGTTCCATCGCTTCCTTTACTTCACATTCTCTTACCTATTCAAGACTTAATCTTGCTTTCTTTTCCTCCTACCAATCCTCTCTTTTCCATCAGGTTTTATTTTGGGAAGTCTGGTACTCTCTCTTTAGGCCGGCCTATTCTTCAGAAAAAAAAACCACAAACAACAGAAAACCCTCTATTCAAGATGCAGTTCTCTACTCTCCTCCTTGCGGCCTTTGCTGCCGTCACTCAGGGTACGTACACTTGCTACAGTTACCTCTCAGATGCCGTGTTGGAACCGGTATTGACACATCCTCTAGCCGTTGATGTCCAGGTCGTCTCCGTTGGCCAGAACCCCATGGCTGGTATGGCCGGTCAGCCCGCTCTCAAGTACTACCCCGACAACATCAAGGCTGCTCCGGGGTCCATGGTCCAGTTCCAGTTCTGGGCCGGCAACCACACCGTCACCCAGTCCGACTTTGACCACCCTTGCACGCCCATCCACCAGGTCAACAGCTCCATCGCTGGCATCTGGTCCAGCTACATGCCCGTTGCTGCCGGCGCCTCCAAGAAGGAGATTCCCGTCTTCACCGTCATGATCAACGATACCAAGCCTATCTGGATCTACTGCAGCCAGGGCAAGCACTGCTCCGCCGGCATGAGCATGGTCATCAATGAGAAGTGAGTCCTTTCGGCAGAACGCCGCTTGTAGTCGAGCAAAGTGACTGACATTAGACCTGTAGCACCTCTGCCAACGCCACCCGTTCTCTTGCCAACTACCGAACTGCTGCTGCTACTGCTCAGGGTGGTGCTCCTGCCGCTGCTCCTCCTGCCGCTTCTCCTAGCTCCGGCTCCGGCTCCGGCTCTGGTTCTGGCTCATACCCTGCCCCCAGCCCCAGCTCCGGCTCCGGTTCTGGTTCTGGTTCTGGTTCTGGCTCTGACTCTGGCTCAGGCAGCGCTGCTCCCGCTGCTCCCTCGGCCGCTCCCTCGGCCGAGCCCACCAACGTTCTCACTCCTCCTCCCTCAGTCACCGACGGCGCGCCCTCTGGCACTGGCGTTCTCCCCGGCGGTGCCACAGACACGGGCATCCCCCAGAGCGGCGCCTCATCCGTTGGCGTTTCCACCAGCCTGCTGCTGGCTCTTGGTGCTGCCTTTGCTCTGCTATAAGCGGGACTGGCTTGACGACAATGATGGCGGGGGACGGTTTGTATAAAAAAGCGAGACGACGATCTGTAATACCATTGACGGGGGCTTATTCATATCTGCATCTTCCTTGCAAGCAAGGGGTTTTCTATTTTCAATTATATTTTTTCTGAAGTGGCATGGAAAGTTAATCTGATCCACAAAGATTTTCACGAAAGGAGAAAAGGACAGCAAGAGTCCTGGGTTAGAGAGCACATGCTAATAAGGGACCATGTGTGTAAATGTTTCTGGATAACCTTATTTTCAATAGAATGGGGTTGTTTTTTCACTTGTGCTGTTCTATTTGGTGATTTTTATGTTTCGATGACATTTGCAGGTTCTCGAGTCTTGATTTGTTGTGCCGTTCTTGTAGCTCGATTCTCTATGAGCATAGGGTAGGGAGCATTGAGAGGGATCGAATGACTCGAGATGGCGCACACTTCAAGTCTCTGTACAAACTGAGCTGAACGATGGAATAATTATCTGATTTCCTTCCTTCCCATATGTGCCTGTTCTCAAGAAACGAAAAATGATTGCCTTGGCCATAATAGTCTATACATATGCCTGCTTCTTGATTTACATCCAATCCGCTAAACATTTGTCAAGCAATCACTTTTCCCCTCCATGCCTCGGCTTCCTCTTGGTCCTCCCCTGCTGCGCCGCGGCGCAAAGCTCCCTCCTAGGCTCCCTCTCCAACCAGCCTTCATCCCTCTTGACGAAGCCCACCCGATGATACTTCTTGCTGTTGCCAAAGAAGTTGACCCAGTGCTTCAACGCTTCGTGCACCCTCTGCCGCGCGACGGCCAGCTCCCTGGCCTTGAGCTCCTCCAACTCGGCGGCGGTCCACTGGGCGTCCGTCTCGGGGTCGTCGAGTGGCAGGAACATGTCCTCGACGCCGCGCATGTCCGGGGTGCGGTCCTCGGCGAAGCAGCCCGTCACGAAGGCGCGCGCGGCGTCGCAGCCGGCAAAGTAGTTGTAGGAGCCGCCGGGCCCGTAGATGTGGCGGCCGAGGGAGACGTCGAAGATGGTGCCGTTGATGGCGATGTAGACGGGCTTGGAGGGGTCTTTGCCGTCGTAGGCGGAGAGCTCCTCGGGGGTGAGGTAAAGAGGGCCGTTCTGTGAGGGGGAATTCCCCATGTCAGCAAAGGAAAAAAAACATACCAGAACTTTGTATATTGTCTTTCTATTTGATTAGTATGTTACGGGGACAGACTGAGACGCACCATTTTGGCCTTCCACCAGTCCACCCTCATGTAGTTGGGCTTGTTCTTCTGGCCCCAGAAGAAGCTCTCGCCATTGCTGATCCAGTAGCTGAGCGCGCACGACGCCAGGAACAAGAAAGTAATGACTCGCAGGGCGTCGATCCAGTAGGTGTATTTTTCTTCTTCGTCGACGAGCTGCTGGGGGCTCTTCTTCTTCCTTGCCGGCTCGATGGGATCTTCAGCAGCGTGCGGCTTGCGCTGCCGCAGTTCCGAGTCTGCCATGGCGCTGCGTTTTCTGTTTCAGTCGAACTGTGGCAGCCCTTTTCTCTATTGGGAGGGAGTGTGTGTGTGTGTGTGTGTATGTGTGATTCCCTTGAGCAGAGTGGAACTGGTGAGATGATGGAGAGAATCGTGGCTTCAATGCTGCATGTCCCATAACACAAGTCGTATCAAGTCGTATTCTACCTCCGTACATATAAGCGGAACTCTTTTGGCGGGATCGGGACAGCAAGAGCTTCCCGTTGGCGAGTTGCTGACGCTGAGGCGAGGTGATTGGTCTGTTGCGCACACTCCAGGGGTTCGTAGCGATGGATTTCAGAGACATCAGGGTCGTTCATTCATACAAGCGACGCAGCAGAACAATGCGCATGGCTAAAGCGCGGTTAATTACAAACTATGCACACGCCAGGCGTTGGCTTTGCAGCTGCAAGTGAGAGCTTTTCCTGCTGAGTTGGGCATCGCCAGGTGGGGCGTCGCTACAGCAACAAAAATCCACTTGGCAGCTTCTTGGTGGTGGAAATTGGTAAACAGCATTAGCACCTAATAGGCACTAAAGCAGGTCATTTGTGTTTGTAGGCATTATTAACAAACCCACAAATGCACGACGCTGCCCGGGACGGAGTAAGGCTTCATTCTTGCAAAACCCACCATCATCGTCGTCATCATCATCACCAACATTCCTCCCGAATCAGCCCTCGAGGCAATCGATCATCGCAGCAAGAACGAGACACCGCCGGAACGAATCGCGACCCGACAAGACCACGGTAGAGATAAGAGACCGCGCCAGACACAAGCAGCAGCTCAAGCCACCAGCAAATGGAAGAGCTGTCGAGTCTGCCCGACTCCCCCGCGGCCACTGGCGGACCCCTCCAGATGGCATCGCCCGACCGCGTCAACCAGCGCCGCGAAAACACCCTCTTCACCACCCTGCGAACCCCCGGAGCCTCGGTAGACGGCCTCGCCTCGCCCGTCCACGACAAGATCAGCCAGTTCAACAGCATGAGTATGCAGTCGCGGCAGCTGGAGCGCAAGACGGCCGACGCGGCGCTCAAGCGCGCCATGCTGGGCCGCGAGGAGGCCGAGGCCGAGATGCGGCGCCTCAAGGACGAGGCCAGGGACTTGAGGCAGGAGATTGAGGAGGGCAAGGAGCGCGAGAGGAGGGTGGGCGAGCGGTTGGAAACTGTCATGGTAAGCACCAAGCAAACGACGTGAATTGATGATGGACTTGCTGCGATGAGGGCACGATCGATTGTCCTGTCAGTGGGTGTTGGCTAATGTGAACTCTCTCGGCCAACGCAGGAAAACTATGGCCGCGCAAAGGAGACACACGCACACACGCAGGCTCTGTGGGAGAAGGAAATCAGGCGCGCCAGAAAGGAAAACTTCAAGGCGCAATCTACCATTGTCAAACTCCAGGAAGACCTCAAAAACACGAGGGCAGCAACGAAGCTAGTCGAAGAGTCGCTGCAGCATGAAAAGGACCGGAGCAGCGCTCGAGAGGAGCAGAACCGCGAGGCTGAGAACACCATTGCCAAACTCCAGGACGACCTCAGAATGGTCAAGGCGGCGACCAAAGTCGTCAAGGACTCTCTACGAGACGAAAAGGACCGCAGCAATGCTCGAGAACAGCAACGACTCAAGGCCGAATCCACCATTACCAAGCTTCAAGCGGATCTCAAATCGTCTCAGGCGATGAACAAGCTGGTCGAACAGTCACTAGAGCAGGAGAGAGAAAAGGGTCGTGCTCGAGATGCGGAACTGTTTGAAGTGAAATACCAGGCCAACAGCCTCCAGGACCAGCTCGAGCAAGCATTCGAGCGCCTCAAGCTGGTCGAGCAGGAGCGCGATGCCTACAAGGTCGCCGCCAAGAACGAAGAGGTTGCCCGTCTCGCCGCAGAGGGTCGCATTCCCCTGCCTGCCGAGCAATCAGACGACGAGTTTGCGTCTCCGCCCAGGAAGCGCAGGCTGGCATCGACGATCCGGTGCAGGGATCCTCGCGTCTCGCTTTCGACAATGGAGGTCGTCTCGTCGGCCGCCAGCGAGCTAGAGATTGAGCAGCTCACCGAGCAGCTGCAGTGGGAGAGGCAGAGAGCCGACCGAGCTCAGGAGATGATTGAGTTTATGCAGGCTGAGTGCCAGATGCACTGCTGCCCCTGTTCCAAGTCAAAGCGTCGGACTAGCATGCTGGCCCAGCAGCTCCCTCGAGCGACCCCCGAACGCAAGAAGGCTTCTGCAGAGGCGTCCATCCCGGAAGAGAAGCGCGAAGCTTCCGCTGAGCCGCTTCCGTCGCCCGTGCAGCAGCAGGAGCTGAAGCCGGGCAAGGTGAGGAAGGGCGCCAGGCGGAGCACCGTCTTCTACCCCCAGGAGGGCGTCTTCCGCACGGTATCGGAGCAGGAGGCCATCGAGCTGGAAGCCCAGCGCAAGGCCGAGATTGTCATTGAGGCCCACGAGGAGCCGGAACCGGAGATGCCTTCTTCTCCGGCAGACCGCAAAGAGGCACATCAACGTACGTTTGCGAAAACACCATCCGTCGAGCCTTCAGTCTATGATTTTCCCCCGGGGAAATCATCGCTCATGTCGCTCATCAATGCCCCGCGAATAGACCCTCAAGCTGACTCTCTGCCAAACTTGCGTAGCATCCCGCCGTTCCCTGACAACACCAAAGTCGCTCAGGAGGGAGTAATGCGACACCAGGCGGCGGCAGGAGAGCGCGAGGGAGCCCTGGAGCTGGCGCCAAAGTCGGCATCAGCACCAGCACCGCAGACTGAACGCTTTGCTTTGCCCCGGAAACGCAAGTCTGCCGAGGCACGAGCTTCTGCCAAGTCTGTCTACACAGTAACCAAAACAACCACGGTCCCAGTCCGAGACGAGCGATCCACCAGCTCGTCGTTCAACCAGCGGATGCGAACCGCGTCCAACAGCAGCGCTGCGAGCTTCGACACGACCGATCCGGCCATGACGCCCACCATGAGCCGCGAAGAAGCACTGGCGCAGATTCGCGAGAGGAGAGGCCGTGCTAGGAGTGCGACCAGGGGAGCGGCTACACCACTGAGCCGGCCAACATCTGGCCTGGGGAGACGAGATATCAGCGGCCCGGTGGGCAGAGTTGGGAGCCGATCCAGATCCAGAAACTCTTGAGGCGCTGCTTCTTTCTTACCCCCCCTTTTTTTTTCTCTCTTTCTCCTCTTTCGACTTGAATTTACACGATGGAGGTTTACATAAAGGGTTGGTTTAAGCGGCAACGTTTTGGATGGTTTGGGATATATATATGGTTGCGATGAGGAGAAAGCCGTCACCACTTCTCTCTCATCTATTTGCCTTTTCTTTCCTTCTCCGCCCTCATCTACCCCTCCTCTCCCTTTTTACAGCTCTCCTTTTGCAGTCTTTCTTTCTTTTCTTTTTCTTCCCTTCATGTTGTTTTATATCCTCAACTGTCTCATTCTTTGCATAGGTGATCTAAAACGGGGAAAAGGGGTACGAGGGAAAGGGTGGGCAAAAGCCACAATTGGGAAAGCGCCGGCGAAGGAGGCGTTTTTTTGAATTCTCTTTTCTTTCTGTGGCGGTTGTCGTTGATGCTGCTGTTCTTGGGCGTTGGAGGTCTTGTCTTGTCGTCTCTCTATTGGCTTTGTTCGTTGTTGTTGTTGTCGTCGTCGTTGTCGTTGGTACTTTATGTGCTGTCTATAGGCTCTTTCGAGTTGAGAAATGAAGGCTTTTTTTCCACTTACATGCTGTCACTGCCATGAGATTCAATGGTCCCCGGGATCGAATCCTCTACTAGGATAATACACCCAGAGTAGAGCCACATTTTATACCAGTTGCTCTACGTCTATGATCAAGTATATGCCATCAAATATCCACTCTGTATATTTCGAGGCAAAGGTTAAAAACAATGATCTTGAATGATCTGGTATCTCGTCCTCTCTCCCCCATCGAATCATCGAAAAACTCCCCCCTCTGCGCTTCGACTCATCAAATCATGTATATACAAACACATCCATCGTGCCTCCTTTTATTCTCATATCCAATCGAGACACATAATCACTCCCCCAGAAACTTCCTCATCTTATTCCTGCCCCTCTCCGAACTCACGGCATCAATCTTGACCGCCACAAAAGCGCACTCAACCGCACTCTTCCCGCCCTTGCTCTCCTGGATACGCAGCCGAAAGAGCCCCGTCCTGACGGCCCACTGCTGGCCGTCGGTGGGCAGGCCAATGTCGACGCTCTCGCCTGTCCGGTGGCGCTTCCTGGGGTTCGCAGGGGCCTCGGCGTCGGGAGTAAAAGCGGGAGTGGCGTCATCGTCTCTGTAGCTGCTCAAGTCCCCCTCGTAGTCCTCGCCATCAAGGGTGATTGCAGACTCGGCTTCGAAGACGACTCGAACGAGATCTTCGCTGAGCGGGGTGTTACCCGGCGTGGCTGGTTGCGAACTGGCGCCGCCTGATGCCATGAGGAGACCGAGCGGCTGCGTAGTCGGAGGCAGGTTGAGCTTTGTCGCAACCACCTCGAGCAGTCTCGCTACCCTCGCCTTCGTACCTTCAAAGAACTCTGCTCTGGCTCCCCCAGCTGAGAAGTTGAGCTTTGTCGTGATTCCTCCAATCTCCAATATCAACTCTGCGGGCTTGCTGTCCACGTATGGGCGTGCATATCGGACATGCCTGACAGGGCGTCGGAATGCTCCGTCAAAGTCCTCGGGGGCCGAGATGCTGACGCCGCTCTTCTGCACATTCTCCAACCGCAGCACAATCTCGTCGACTTGGCGCAAGGGGTTGTAGCTGATGGAGTGGGGAACAAGCTGCTGTTCAATGCCTTTGAAGTGGAAATATCGAGCGTCTCGAAGGAGCTCCTGGCGATGAGTCTCGTCCCGGACGCTGACGGGATAGCCACGCAGCAAGCGCAGCAGCTCGGCAAAGGTATCGGCGTTGCGATTAGGCACCGAGGGTGGAAGTATCGAGGGTGGACGTATCAGCCCTTCGCGATCGAGGCCGGGGAATAGGTCGTTTGGCTGGGAGAAGAAGAGGGCGAAGCCTAGGGAGAAGTAGTTTGGGGAATTGGCGGGATCGTTGAGAACGTCGCGCGGGATCTGGAATTCGCGGTGGCCAATGGAGATGAAAATGCTCTCCTCGTTGAGCTGAGAGATGAGCTTGGGGACTGTGTGTCAAGACCATGGTTAGTAACCTGGATGTTCCGTGAGGGCAATTGAGAGCCATTGGGCTCCTGAGAGAGACGCACGGTTGTAGAATTGGGCGTCCGCAAATAAGCGCACAAAGTGTGTTCCATCCCGCGGCTTCACATGGTAGCCCTGTAGATGTAGCGCAATATCTCGAAACGTCTTCGGATCGCGATCGATATATAGGGTCCGAATTGACGATGATGGATCCTCGCCTTTGCTCTCGGCCGCTTTGATCTGGCAGAGGAAATATTGCGAAAAGTACGACGGCGCTGCCAACAATCAGCCTGACTGTTAGCAAACCACACGAGCACCAGGACAGAGAAAAATCGAGTGTCAAGCTCGTGACCAGATCGTCAAAGGCAAGTCACAGCACACGCGACGCACCATCAGATGAGATTGAAGCCCCAGACAGCTTAAACAGCTCGCCCCCAATCTGTATGGGAAAGACGCGCTCTCGCGGCAGAATCTGCGGTATCTTGTGGACTTCGGCATTTGCTTGCGCATGCAGGGGCAGCCCCGACGTGCTCGCGGCCTCGCTTGGGCTCGCGGACAGCATGGCCCCTTCTCTCGGAGAGGCGGACATGGGAAGAAGAGATTGTCCACCTCCTTACTTTGCCTCTTTTATGTATACCGACGGGCGTTTTTGTGTGTGCGTGTGTGTCTTGTGCTCTTTCTGTCTCCGGGCTGGGCCTCCACCGACTTATGCTGTCGCAGTTGCGGAAATCGGCAGTAGAACGGCAAGGGACGTGGAATGGAGCTGTCGATTCTGTTCTTCTTTTGGCAACAAAGAATAAAGGCCTGTAGCTCGAGAGATGCAAGACGGTGACGGTAAGCGGCGATATTCCCAGAGTCGGCGAGTCGTCAAGCGGCGAGAATCAACAGACCGTCCGCGCAGATGGAATGCGATCACGAATTGGATTTCGGCGCCACCAGGTTAAACATCCCTGGGTATTGAACTGACCGATAAGCCAAACATAATCATGACATGGCATAGTAGTAAGTAAGCCCCAATTCGCTGCAGCAATGGCTGGCAGTGAGATTTTGCGTCCAGGGAAGAACATTTGGAATAGTCGAGGTGCAGTAATATGAATAGGTATGTGCTAGCTGATATCATATATGGGGTGAAGCTGACAAAACTGCTGGGATGCCGATAGTTGCATACCTTACCTTACCTTAGGTACCTGAAGAAAGTTCCTGCCACATAGTATTACCAAGTGGGAGTTGCGAAAGAAACTTGCCCTGAAATTCAAGTTCTTTGTTCCTTCTGATTACTCTCAAGAGTACCTACTGGAAATAACTATTGATGGTTCAATGGAAGGCATCGCCCACTCCGTGATTGCTCATACCCGCGCGCGTTCCCTGACGTAACAACAGCTTTAGGCCCGAAATGGATAGGCAGGTAGGTAGTCTTCAGGGACCCTTTTGGCACATGTCAGTCAGTGGCACCAGAGCTCTCTTCCCCCAGATTTTCGCTTATTACGCCACACAGTCTCCAGCCGAAGCTCGATGAAGGTCAAATCTTCCGAGGACCATGCAAATATGTGGCAAGATGCTATTACCTTACTCGTGGAATGACGGTCAAGACAATCCTCGGATAGCATCTTTCAATGGATCCTCATGCCAGCATTGCTACACATGATGCTCGTAAGCAGATTGCTTTCCCTCTGTTGGTATCCTTTCCCAGCTACAGACATGCCATCAACGAGATGCCCTCATATAACATACATAATCTCCTCAGATGGCAAATTCCACGCCGCTCACTTGCTCATCAATTCCACCCCTCCTCGTATCACGCCCACGACCGCCCCCGTCTGCACCATCTCGCTGCCTCCTCCAGCAACGCGGTGCTCAATCTCCGCCAGCCCCTCCAGCCAGGTGATCATGGCCTCCGCGCTCACCTCGAGCTTCGTCAGCTGCTCCATCAGCGCCGTGATGATGTCCGCCAGCGCCAAGCCTTGCGTCGTCTTCAGCGCGTTGATGGTGTTGAGACAGCTCGTCACGTCCGGCGTGCTCAGGAGCGTCTCCATAATCTCCTTGATGGCATCTGGCTGCGGCGCCGCGATGCAGTTGTAAATCGTCTCAGTCGTAATCGTCTCGCGCTGAATCTCGCTTTCCGGCGGCTTGGGCTCGTTCTTGAGCCTCAGTGGCGTGCCTGAAAATTCCACATTAGCCTGAAGCACACATAGTAGATACCTCCGTGGGGGGCTCTAAGGACTCACTTGACGCATGACAAGCCTGGAGCACGTTCAATGCCCGTCGCATGTCGCCCTTGCTCAGCTTTACCAACGCATCCACAGCCTCGCCCTGGATCTTGACACCCTCCTCCTCCACCACCTTCTCCACCAGCACTCTGATATCACCTTCCTTCAACGGACTAAAACGGAACCTCGTACAACGAGACAGCAGCGCGGGGCTGAGCTTGTGGGCGTAGTTGGCAATGATGCAGAACCGCGTGTTCGCCGTGTACTTCTCCATGATTCTTCGCAGCGCCATCTGCGCGGTATTCGTCATGGCATCCGCCTCGTCCAGAATAATGAGCTTGAATCCCGCAATCGAATTGCCCTTGGCCGCGCCACCGCCCATTGTAAAGATCTGTTTTGTGCTGGCAAACGTCTTGATCTGCTCCCGCACCACGTCGATGCCTCTGTCGTCCGAGGCGTTCAGTTCCAGCACCATCTGCCGCATGTTGGCGGTGCCGTAGATGCGCCGCGCCAGGGCCAATATCGTAGATGTCTTGCCCGTGCCGGGAGGTCCGTAGAGAAGCAGGTGGGGGAGGCGGTTCGACTCGACAAACTTGTTGATGGTGGCTAGGATGTCCTGGTGGCCGGACACATCGTCGAGCGTTACTGGTCGGTACTTTTCAACCCTGAAACGGCCACTGTCAGTAGGCTGCCTTGGTCAAGACTACAGGTGAAGCTTCGTCCGTACCATGGCAGTGTGTCTTCAGCTTCGACTGGCAAATTGGCAGCACTCCGCTTGCCCTTTGTCGCCTCGGCCGAGAATGTGATATCGGCGGATGGACCAGGACCGTCCACGTCCATTTCATCCTCGTAATCGGACATTGTAGGAGCGGTTCACAATTTTTTAGGGCGTAAACTGAGACCTCTTTCAGATTATTGAGCTGTGTGTTTGGTTCACTCGTGGCCTGCCCTGGGGTGCAGATATGCGATCCGTCGTCGTCTAACGTGTGCTTGAACTTGAGCGGGTGCAGCTGCACGCGTCGAGACGTGTCTGCCCATTAAAACCCCTGCAGCTGCGCCACGTCTCAAGCCACCTTTTTTGCTCCAAGCCACATCAGCTCTTAAGCCTTCTTCAAAACTACAACTATATGACCACATGATGATTTACCCAGTGGTGAAGGTTTATCGCTTGCTCGCGAGTGCATCTAACCTCTTATCATTCATTAATATTAACCGCCAATTAAGCCGGATAGCCCTGGTGTCGTGGTACTATGCCAAGTCTGACAATGACCCCTCGCTCCCTACTATCCCCCACAGTCCCGTGTCCAACATATAGAGAGGACAAGGAGAACAGAGAGAACAAGAATTGTCAAACGAGAAAGAAGATAATTAGATTACATGTTCTCAGTTCATCGCGCCTTAGCCGTGGGGTTTATAATAATGCGACCTGTCGCCGTGCAAGAAGGAAAGTATAAAGACCTCAAGAGATTTCTGAATTATCGAAATAGAAGGGAGGAGGCTCAAGAAGGATGCCCCGGTGGAGGATGAGATGAGAAGAAGAGAAAGAGAAAAAACGCCTTCTGTCCCCAGATTCACTAATAGACTCCATCAAACATTGTTGCGCCTGTCATCGATAGTTTAAGCGGTCGCTGCGTCCCATTGTATCACAGTTCGGACGACGCCGAGACCGGTGACACTGAAGAGCATCGGGACGCCTGCAACGGCAAGCCACGAGATTCCTGTCCCCTGTTAGCCTCATGTTCCAACGCTTCGAAAGGTTGCACTGCTGAACAACCTACCTCCATAAACCACGAGTTTCGTGACGACCTCGACGTCATATCTCACACGCGGCTTCACCAGCCGGGAAAAGACCTCCTTCTCGTCCCGCGCATCCTCCATGGTGATGTATATGTCAGGGTTCCCATTCTGTGCCCCTGAAACAGCCGAAGCGTTGGAGTTGGCATCGCTGTACACCAGCTTCTGGGCCCCTGAAGCCTGAGCCCCTTTGCCCGACTTGTCTTCGTCTGTCCCGTTGAGATCCAGATTGCTCGACTTGCTCTTGAGGCTCGCGTTGCTTCCGATGCTGTCCCTGCGCTGCCGCTCCCGGTACGCCAGCGTTTCGTAGGCATCTGCCACGCTCTGTGGGCCTATCGAGACCGACCGTCCTCGGGTCGTGGGATGACGAATACTTTCGACCATGCGAGGGAAGTCCGAGGCCGTCGGGAAGAGGGTGTCCAGCCGTGACCCAGGAGGCACAGACTTGTACTCGCTAGCGGGCGTGAAAAATCTTCGAGGCAGGTCGAGGCCAGTCGACTCGATGAGGCGGAATACGTGAGGCAACACCTTGAGAAGCGTAGGCTTCATGGTCTCGCGCCAGACAAAGATGGCGATGATTCCCACCACCATTCTCGCCACTATGACGCACCATGCCCACGGCAAAGCGCCCATGCTAGATTCGGCTTGAGCCAGGAAAGTCCTCCCGACAGTCCAGGTCCCGGCTTCTAGGCCGATGACTACGCCGGCAAAGGCGACGCTATCGTCGAAGCATGGACAATCATCCGCGGGCTCGGGGTGAATTCGCACGAAGATGACGACAACCAGGCCGGTGATGAATGGGACCAGCCACGAACCATTCTGCATGGCGGTATCCAGCGGCGGCCCATAATAGTACTCCAGGATGGTGATGCCTGCACCCATAATGGATCCAACGATGACGTCCAGGAACCCATGCATGCCGCAGTACAGCCTTCCAAAGACAATGGACACGGCATAAAAGTAGGCCAAAACCTCGAGCAGCAGCTTCGTCGTGTCGGAAAAGGTGTTGTCGGGGCTGCGCAGGTGCAGGACGGCATAGACGGCAACGGAGACGGCATTGGCGCTATGGGTCGAAGGGAAGCCATACTCGAGCGCAGCGGATCCCGACATGGTGATGCGGTTCAGCGGCGGAGAGAGCGGTCGCGGGAGAGAGTAAAAATCTTTGACGAAGCCCGTCCAGAAGACGCCCAAGGCCAAGATATGAACCAACCTGCGGCCTCGACGTTAGCATTCCCAAGCTCGAGCTCACACAATGCAAACAGGCCAACAGAGGCATGCAGATCCGCTGCCGCCGCAGTCTCAGCGGGCAGGTTCCTCATCTGCAGCAGACGTACCCCTTGGCAAAGGCCGGATAGCCGCCCCAGAACAGCATGGGGAGAAAGATCATGAAGAAGGTGTGCGTGCCCAGATTGGCCGTGATGGCGAAGTAGCTGTCGAGCGCCGGGGTGCGCAGCTTAGCCTGAAGAGCAGCCAGATACGGCGTCTCCCAGCGGATGAGAGGGAGCGCCTGGTGCCGCAATGTGTATCGCCATTTCGGCAGCGCTTTCTTGTCTGCAGAAGGCCTCGTGTCAGCGCATGCATGTATCCAGTCGCATCCGAGTGCGTGTGGCCAGCGTGACATCCAGCCACTCTTCCAGTGAGTGTTGGTGAAACTGGATCTCTTCGCCCTGTTGTCTCCAGCGCTCAATCCTCTCGCAGCCGTCGCACAGAACCGGTTCTGCTCCGTAGATGTCGCCGTGATCCTCCAGCATCATCCTCCTTCAAGGCTCAACGCATTGCAGAGCTAACCAAACAGGACCTACAGTGATCGAGGCTCCTCAGCCCCGCGTCGGGGACGGCTTCCTTGTGATGCGGCGGGGCATCGCGTCGCGTGCCGCTCATGGTGGGAATCCCAGGCAGTCGATGGCAGCGCTGTCGGGGACGGTCTCGCGGTGTCGGGCGCCGGGATTGAGACAAGACATGGATTGACCGGCCGAGCGCGGGAGGCGGGAGAAGGAGAGGCGGAAGACGGGGCCTGGAGTCGTCGGGGTTCGAGCTTTAATACCTAGTGAGATGCGATGCGACGAGAGGAGAGCCCTTGGCGCAGAAAAAAAAAATGGCAGCCCAGGTTCCCAGCGCAGCAGGCCTGGGGGGGTGTGAGAAAGAGACAAAGAAAAAAAGCCACCAAGAGCCCTGTAAGCCGCGTGCTCAGCAGCCACCTCACTTGATGAGGTTGAGAATTGGGACAAGAGAAGAGAAGCGAAGAAGAAGAGGAATGGCGCGGTCAAAGCTCTCCTATGGTCAGAAATTGAGGGATGAATGGATGAGATTGGGTATGTATGAATTAGCTTGAGCTGCCGGAACGACACTGCCAAACTGCTCCAACAAGTCTTCTTTAGCAGCAAAGGGCGCTGGCTAACAATTGACCTGTGAGAAGCTCCATTGATGCTTTATGTCAGCCCACATGTGCTGTAGATCCCTCTAGCGCTACCTACTGTAAGGTCCAATGTTTGAAGCTTACATGTACCTACAGTTAGCACTCCGCACCGAGGCACGATCAAGCACAAGGATCAACGCCCAATTGCATTCAGTTACCGCTCATAAGACAGCCAAGCACCGGCATTCACATGGGTAACAAGCTGAATCAGCAAGTGAACGATCAGAAAGACGATCAAAAATCGATCCTCAACCTCAATTCAGCTCAAGGCAAGGAATTGGTTCTCCTCTTGCTCTTCCTCTACCTTTGTAGCGCATGCCTTCAAGCCTCCAGCTCTAGCACACCTCGACACACGCAAACGCCCCCCCACCAGAATCCCCAATCCCAGCATCCACCCAAAACATCACCACAAAACTTCCTCATACCGTTATAATCACAGCAAAAACACAACACAACCCACCACCTCCTCAGCCAAATATGGCGCTGCCCCTCGCAGGCAAGCACTGCGCCGTCGTCGGAGCCACAGGCATCATCGGCTTCTCCATAGCAAAGGCATTCGCCCAGCAAGGCGCCGTCCTCACCCTCCTCGCCCGCTCCGCCGCCGAAGCGCGTCCCCGGCTCGAGCCCCAGCTGCGTCCGTACAGCCTACCCGGGACCACCACCACCACCACAGATGCCGGCGATGTCGGCGTTCCGGCAGCGCATCGGTTCATCCCGCTGGATGTTGCGAATCGGGAGAGCATCAAGGCCGTCTTTGGTGCACGGGGGTCATCCTCAAAGGTAGGTGGTTTATTCTTTTCATCTCATAGGTTTGTTCAAGCAACGAGAACAATTTCGGTGGAGTATAAGAAAAAGATCTAAATGACGGGCTGGCTTATATATGACACCACAAATTGTTATGCAAGTATATCACAGTCTGAATAATTAACTGGAACGACTTCAACGTGCAGCCTCAGTCTGGCACAGCCGTAGGACCCATCGATGTCCTCGTCAACTGTGCCGGCATCACCCAAACATCCCTCTTAATGCGAACATCCGATGAACACCTCTCCGACATCGTCGACACGAACCTCCTCGCCACCATCCTAGTGTGCAAACACGCAAAGATGAGGCCAAATGGTAAGACTCCTCGCGGACTTGGTCCTGGAACTGTACTCTTCGGCCTATCTGACACCTCTGCCAGGCTGCATCATCAACGTATCAAGTCTCATGGGAACAAAAGGTGGCCTCGGGGCCACTGCTTACGCTGCATCCAAGGCGGGCGTCATTGGTAAGAAGGCATCGTCATCATCATGCGTCATTTCTGTATTTTTCCTTTTTGTCAATCGTAACATACAATGTTTTACATACAATCCCATATGGTAGGAGGCTCATGTCGTCTTAGGCTTCACCCGCGCCCTGTGCCGTGAAATGGCGTCTCGATCTATCCGTGTAAATGCTCTGCTGCCCGGTTGGGTCAATAGCTCCATGTGGACCGGTATGTTATATCCTCCTCTCCTCATATCTTTTGCGTGAATACAATAGCCGCCCCTATTGTGTCCAAAGCTAATGTACGGCCAATAAATTAGATCTCAAGCCAGAAATCAAGCAGGCCTTCCTGAAAGACACGCCGCTCAATAGAGTAGCAGAGCCCGCCGAGGTTGCCGATGCCGCATTGTTTCTGGCGTCCAACGGGTTTGCCAACAACTGTGTCCTCAACCTCGATGGCGGGTTGAGTGCTGCGTGATCGTCTTGCAGCAAGATGTTCTTCTCGACGCTTCAACGCAATGACAACCATTCTTAATCATCGATGACGATGGCTCCACCGGCGTCTTCCACGACCACCACATCGTCGTCCGAGCTGGCAACCTTGGCCCTCTTGAGAGGGGGACTCTCATCATCGGGAGGCGGTCTTTTGGCGCCCTTAGGCTCCTCTACCACCACTTCCTCGTCTAGGGTATGCTTTCCGTTTGGTTGGCCGTGACTCTCGCCGTCGGCCTCGACTGCAGAAGGCTTCTGAGGCTTATGGGGAATTTCGGGGCGGCCGGCATGTACTGTGCGGAACGATTCTTTTTGGTCATCCAGGATGCTGCGATCAATGAGTTAGCCTCTGCCCCAAGAATCATGTCTCATCTACAAGGCATACCCATCCTGAATATCAATTGTAACATCGACAAGTTCGTCATCCCAATCGGAGATGGTGAGGAAAGTGCCTCCTTTGATGCCTAAGACATTGTTAGCTTCGCTGCTTCAGGGTTGAAGGAGAGGGAGTGAGGGGATCAAAGTGCCATACCGAGCTCTGTAAGCTTCTTGCCCAGATTGTCCCTGTCGTCGGGATCATAAACACTGCGGAGCTCGTCGCCGACCTTGTAGCTTACGGCAAATTCCTTGTCTCCATAACCGAACTGATTCTTGACAAGGCCCTCGACAATGTCTCTAAGTGTTGCCCGGTTCAAGTCAACAATGACGCTGGTGTAGTAAACACCACAGACGGGACAATCGCGGTTCGGTTCCCGATTCCTGTCTGGAGCCAGCAGTCGTGCGTTGGCAAACGGCGTCAAGAATACCTCTTTCGCCTGTCCGTATTCGCCTTTGAGCACCTTGAAGGACTGCAGAACGCAGAGGCCTGCGACGATGGCATTTGTAGTGGCGATGGCCGGGATGATGTTGCCGGCCATCTGCTTGATGTCGAATCGAGACTTGAGGTCGATGCCAAAGATTGTTGACCGGATGTTTGCACTGGATGCTACGAAATCCAAAGTATCGTCGTCGTCCTTGTCAAAAGTAATTGTTGGTTCAGGGGCAGAAGCATCTTTTGTCGCCCGCATTTGAAGCAGCCGCTTGCTAAGTCGGTCGAGGCTGTCGTTGAAGACAACAAAGTTTTCTTCGAGTGACCAGATCTTCTGACCGTCCGCCAGTATGGCATCCTTTGAGTCGAAAAGCTGGCTAGCCCGTGCCATTACTTCGTCGTACTTGAGCGCCTCAGGAGCGCGCCGCGACTTCCACACGTCTGGCGCGGATCGCAGGCGCTCAATATCAGCGTTGAAGACCTTGTCAAACAGCAACTTTGGGAATTTCGGTGTCCCGATTGATTCTCGGATCTGCTTAAGTGCCTCTGACTCTTTCTTCAGCTCCTCGATTTCATGAGCTAAGATGGTATCCTGCAATTAGTATGCTTCCTTTTCCTTGCGCCAGATGAACTAGGCGGCGACTTACCGTTATCCGCATCCGCTGAGTGATCAAAGTCATCCTCACTGACGCCAAATATTTCACTGCGTAGAAAAGATGGTTAACCAAAGAACGACAGCGCCGCATCGAGCGCAGAGGGAGTCTACTTACTTGAGTAGATAGCTTTTGCCCCATACTATGCAATGGATCGGCTGGCTTGGTGTGCTTCGGATGGTGCAGATGGGAAACGACTTGGGTGTGTCCTTGGGAGTGCAGTCGTAGCAAGCAGTGAGGCCCTTCTTGATGACCTGGACTTGCCCGTTGAAGCCAGTCGTCCCGCTCTCAATTAGGGGAACGTCCGCCGCCAAGCACATCTTGTTGACATGTCGTCTAGCGTCGAGGTTGTCGAGGGCATTGAAGACGATCTTGAAGTCGCGAAACCAGGGTACGCTGAACTCGAGGTCTTTAATGTTGGCATGATGTGCGACAATCTTGACGTTCGGGTTGAATCGTTGTGCCGCCTCTTTGGCAACCTGCCGCGATTGTTAGCCTTGCGAAAGCCGTCACGACGTTTAGCGCGACCTCGGCATCCACGCACCAGCGACTTTGACTTTTTGATGTGTTCGTGTCGGAAGAGGAATTGTCGGTTGAGGTTGGACAGATCGATCGTGTCGAGGTCGACGATGTGAATCTCGCCGAAGCCGGTGAGGACCAGGTTTTTGAGCAGCTCGCACCCGATGCCGCCAGCGCCCACCATGAGCACTCGCGCCTGTAACCGAGGTCAGCGTACGGATTCCGAAGCAAGAGGTGAGGTGAAGCAATCGTGGATTAGACGCCAAAAAGGTGAGAAACGGAAGCAATCTAGGGTTAACGGGAAAGCGATTGCGAGGATGGGTTCGGATCGCGGGACAGCACAGTCTGCGGTCTCCAAACCCAGCCTCACCATCCAAAACGTACATGCTTGACCAAGGAATTCAGCGATGCGCCGAGCGACTGGTGATTGTATCGCTCGCGTGTGGCAAGTCCGCTTCGCTGAGGAGGAGGGGGATGCGACGCGACAACCCGCTGCGGCTGCTGAGGCTCTTGGACGACGGCCGAAGCCGTTGACGTGCTCGGGACTGCATCCGCGGCCGCTTCTCTGGGAGCCTCCATCGCCATTCAGCGCAAGTGACGGGCGATGCAGCAGTGAATCCTGAACCGTGAAGGCGGCAGAATAGCTCAAGGGTCGAGTTCGGTGATGGGGATCCGAAGGCGGTCGTCTGCAGGTGAGGGAGTCGGCGTCGGATCAGTTGCGCCAGGCCCGTCGCTCTGCAGCTGCTGGTCTGGCGATGGTCGGCGCAGGTGCAGCTCCCGGTGTTGAAGTACGAAGGTACAACAGCTACTACCTAAGGTAGGTAGTAACTGGAACTGCGCAGGACGAGGCCGTCGAAAAAGTCAAGTTGCGACCAATTGAATGAGGTCAGAGGGGCCGGGGAATATGCCCGAGAGGGTCCGTGCGCTGAGGATACGCTGATTGGCTGAGCTGGGGAGAGTCACTAGAGACGAGGCTGTGTGCCTGGTTTGATTCACTTGAGTCTCTGATGTCCATGTTGGCGATGCAACCCAAGAATGCTATGTAGAAGGTATGTAGGGCCTGGTGGAACAAAAGGGGTGTCGTAGCACTGTAGATACTCGGTAGCCAAACGTCAAGGAGCTTGAGAGCGTGGAATGGAGTTGTGGTTATGCCTGAAGCCCCTCTGAGGCCGAGCTTCTAGTAAGGTACCCATACTGAGACCCATTGCTACAGTAATAGCGAGAGATCCTCTGTAGAAAGCCCCGATTGGGCTGTACCTAGACACCAAAAGTCTTGCGGTCAGCGGAGTGCTATTCACAACATCTACCTACATGTACTCTGCCCACTCGCAACCGAAGCCCAGTTTGCATTTACAGTGAACAGGACACTGACTATATCTCACTTAACACCTCTCATTGATTTTATAATTTGGCTCAGATTCTTGTTTTCGGTCTCCCAAAAATGTCAGACGACGAGGCTGATCCCGAGCTCCTCGCTCTCCTCCGCCAGCATCTGCAGGGCGTCTCCATCAAGGATGAAGAGCCCGACACAGGCGTCCTCGCCGACGCCGAATACGTCTACAACCACGGCATCGACGTGGCCATCGACATGCGCTCGACCAAGCGCGCCGCAGAGACAATCTACGCCCAGATGCAGGAGAAGAGCTACTCCACCTCGACCTGGTCGTCGCACGAGCTGCACCCCAAGACCAAGGACGAGGCCACGGCGGCCTTCATCTTCACCATGGACCTGCTCAACTTTTCGTTCTGGTCCGAGTTGCCAGACGACGAGAGGTTTACCATTGAGTACAAGGGGAAGCGGTGGACGGGGTACTGGAGCCTTGTCGCGGCTTTGCAGAGGGCTCTCGAAGAAGGTCAGTGAGACACCCCTTAAGCTGCGTAGGTGTGAATCATTCTCACAGTGTTGCAAGGAATACCCATTACGGATCCTCACTTCTGGCAGAACGAGGACGAATGCAACCTAGAGTCACTCAAACATGTCTTTCGATCCTGTACCGAGGAAGAGATGCCTCTTCTTCAAGAGCGACTCGACTGTCTTCGAGAAAGCGGCAACGTGCTCTATAGTGTAAGTCAGAATCATCTCATCCACAGAAATCACAGCGCTTGAACTAATTCAACATCAAAGAAATACGACTGCTCTGTCGTCAATCTCATCTCCGCAGCCAACGGCTCCGCAGCCCAACTCGTCAACCTGCTCGCTAGAGACTTCGACTGCTTTAGAGACGAGCACCCCTTTGAGGGCAGACGCAACCCCATCCGCATTATGAAGCGCGCCCAGATCTTCGTCGCCGATGTGTGGGCGTGCTTCGAGGGCAAGTCATACGGCGAGTTCCGCGACATTGACAAGATCACCATGTTTGCCGACTATCGCGTGCCTCAAATTCTCTCCACGCTGGGCGCATTGTACATTGGTCCGCAGATCCACGCGGCAATTCGGGATAAGAAGATTATCGAGAGCGGGAGCCGGTGGGAGATTCAACTCAGAGGTAAGTCCATGTCGCCAAACAGTCTGCGAGGCCTCTTGTTGACATCCTGCAGCATGCAGTATCTGGTGTGTCGAGTTGATACGGAAGGAGATCCAGAATGCCCATCCTGATACACACGTCAATGCCATCTTGATCGACTTCTTCCTCTATGACACAATGAAGGAGATGGAGGCAGCGGGAGCAGAAACCATTCCTCATCACCGAACACGAAGCATATGGTATTGATTTGACGACCATGCCTTGGAACGGGGCATTGACCGATATCACCACTCATAGAGGAACCGAGCACGGCACCTTCGAGTATAGCATATGCCCACAAAATCTTTGGCCATCTGCAAAGATAGCACATCATTGAATTAACATACCCGCCATAGCTCCACAGAGAAATCATATAGACATAGAGGAAAGGAAAGAGTCTGCATCTCTCGCACGCAACGCCATAACCCTGCTGAATCCTTGTCTCATGGTAACGCAGCCGTGGCATTCATTATCCGATCAATGTGCGCCGTTTCGAAATCCTCTGCGCCCTTATTCTCCTCCTTCATCAGGACGGCAAGGACCTCAATCGGAGGCTTCAAGCCAAGACGCTCAGCTCGGTGCCATCGCTTCATGCGAGTAATCCCTATGCAAGGCTTCAGGGAGACAATGTCAACGTCGGGCAAACATAACCGAAGAGGGCAAAGGGGCTTGCAAGACAGACTTACCCCATACTGCGAGCTCACATCAAAGTACCTCAGCACCTTCTCGGCCAAATCAAGACCCTCCTGGTGCACCCGGGGCGCCTTGCGCTGCTTCTCAATCGCTCTCCAGTACGACTTGATCTGCGCATCCGTGATCTTCTCCGCTTTCAGCTCTGCCTCCGACTTCTCTGAGACCTGTTCAACGACGGGCTCTACTTCTTCTTCCGGCTCTTCAATGACGTCGGTCTCCTCCGCGACAGTCTCAACGGCTTCCCTCTCCTGCTCTCGCTTGTTTACATCATCCTTGGACGCTGGCCTTTCCGGGATGGTCGTTCTGGCAATCGCGGAGTCGGACGCTGCCTTCTTGAGGTCCTTTGGCACGGCCTTTGTGACCTTGCCGGTGAAGCTGATTGTTGATTGTCCCTTGACAGGGCCGGGACGACCCCGGGCGCTGGCGGCTGCTGATCGTCTGGTGGTAGGCATTGCTCGATGATGGAAGCCTGTGATGGCTATCAATTACCAATAAAACGTGGTAGCTGTTGACTGTTGTGTTAATTTTGCGTGAAATATCTACAAGGCGTGTGAATTGTAGACGTGTATCGCCAAGGTGCGCTGTAAATGAAATGCAGGAATGATGAGTTGGAGGTGGAGATCGGAGCTTGTTCTGCCTGCTTTGGTGCGGATGCGGATGCGAATGACGAGGTGATGGGATGCTCAGCTGGCGCTAGGCTTTGGCGGGGCAACGCGAGACTGGAGCGACGTCACGTGGCTGTCATCTTCAGGTACCTTCCGTTATTGACCTCATCGATTTGCAGCTCATTGAGCGTTGAATCACGTGCTCGCGATGGATGGAAGGAAGCATCATGAAGCTCAAATTTCAACTGTGTATCGTATCCCTTCTATAGCTTTCTGAACTGTCTGAAAACGAACCTCTCAGCTGCCTGTAGCCTCCCTGTAGAATGAAATGCTCCTGTTTGCGCCGGCTGTGCAAAACATCTCGCTGCGTCCAGTCTTGGGCAGCCACCGAACGGCCCAGAGCGCCTTGTCCGTCTCGCTGTGCGTCGCGACACAAACGCCGCGCTCAATCGACCACACCTTCACCTTGCCATCCATCGAGCCGCTCAGCAGATATTCTCCCGTGTCGCTCCAGTCCAGTGAAGTGATCCATGACGAGTGGCCAGTCAGGTTGCCGACGTGCTCGCCGTGCTTTGTATCGTATATGGCGATGATGCCAGCATCGCCCGCTGCGGCCACCCTGCTGCCGGCAGGCGATATTGCCACGGCCCGGACAGGCTTAGCAAGGCCTGCAAAGTCACATCAGCGTTTACATCCGGAGGAAAGCCTGTGTTTCAATGATGGGAAAATGTAGCCTACCGGACAAGGAATACAGTATCCTTCCCGTGTCGTTATTGAACACGTAGACTGAGCCGTTCTGGTGTCCGCTGGCCGTGAACTTTCCGTCTCTGCTGAGATCCACGCACATGCCAAAGCTGCCCGAGCCGGCGCTCCCCGTCTCGTACTCGCGAATCTTGGCTTTGCTCTGGTCCGCGACATCCCACACATTGATCCTCCCGTCGTTTGTGGTGCTCGCCAGGTAGCCTCCGTCCTCGCTGAGAGCAATCGCCCACACTTCACCAGGCTTGACTGTGGGACCCGTGACTTCACCGCCGCTGTTCCAGTCACCAGTCTCCTTGTTCAGCTCCCAGATCTTGACTTCGCCTCCGAAGCCAGCGCTGGCGGCGTACAGGCCGTTGCGTGATGTGCAGACATGGTGGCAGCCTAGCTTGTGGGCATTAGGGATGGACTGCCGCAGGGGAAACGAGGGATCAGTGGTGTCGTGGACGTGAAGCGTCGAAGAGCCGCTGGCCGAGATGAGTGTCCTTGGCGTTGCTGCCAGTGAGAATATGTCTGTGATGTGGGCTGGAATCTCGCATTAGCTGCTCAGCTCTCGGTGAGAGAGAAACGATGACGACAAACCGTCATCCACCGTGTGGGTGGTCAGGTATTGTTTGGACTAGAAATGTCAGATAGTTGAGCCTTTCATAAGATGAATTTTCGGCTTGATAAAGGTCTTACCATTGCTGCCTGCCAGCAAGCTGCTGTTGCTCAATGGTGGTTGTTTTTGGCTGGGCTGTGGTTTGCAGCTTGATGGTGGTGGGGTTAGATGATGCGCTACAACTCCGGCGTCATATGCGGGATGCAAAACATCGACGCAAGCGGGTTCCTCTCATTTGACACATGCCGACAATCAATTGGCGAAAAGCTACCTACCTACGCAGGTGATGTTAAACAATTAGGCTCGACTTTGGAACATCAACAAAAATGTATCCAATCTTCTCGAACATCATGCGGAGAAATCACTTGGCTTAACACGAAACGGATCAAGTTGTATGCATGTTCATAAATTTTTGCTTTTGATCATCTCGTTGGTTGGGATATCGCTTCTTCACCACCCCACGTTCTATCCTGATGCTCATAATAGTAGTACATAGTGAAACAGAGTCTCGGCTGAGGCGAGTGCTACCAGTATGCTTGTCTGGCCAGGCCGAATTGTGAGATCCAGGCCGTGATGTAGATGTCGGTTTTTAATCACGCCTCCATCAATTAGAAGGGCTTGTTTGCAGGATAATCTTGGCGCCATATTTGCTTCATTTCTGTATTGCAGCGTCCTGTTAGCCTTTGTATAATCATCAATGTGGTGTCTTTGCGTAGCCATACCTTCCAGGCAGTTCTGGCATAGCCTATGCGTCCTCTTAACCTCTCCACAACCGGGACATTTGCACAAATGGTTGACATCCTTGAGCGCCTTTCCAGCCATCTGCCTTGATCGCTTCTTGGAATGTGAGACCTTGTTCTTGGGCACCGCCCGCAGCACAGATTCCCAGATGTCGCCCAGCAGTCCAGGAAGGTTGATTGTGACGCCGGGGATGGCGATTGATAGCGACGGCAGAAACTTGAGGGTATATTGTGTAGTGTAGAAGTTCGCCCAGCGAGAGACGGAGAAGGCGAGAGGTGAGGATAGTCGGGGGAGGAAAGCGGTGGCCATGGCTGCCATTGTGATTTGCTCGTTCGTGGGTGTTGTATGTCGTCTATGGGTGATGCGACTGGCGCAAAGAAACTCGATTGTGCGCACGGAGAACCCCAGAGTTGTTTCCCAGCACAGATGACGTCGTACAGCGAGTTGCCAGTTCAACTGCAATGTCTCGGACTCGGTTCGTTGTCTCGTCTCGTCAGCGGTTCGGTGCGGGATTCGATCTGTCGTGGCTCGTCGGCAATGCGCCTCTCGAGAAAATCGAAATCATCAAAATCTTAACACCCATATTCGAAGTACCCCGGTACCGCCAAGCGAAGTACCGCCTTACCGCAATTGCGGCTTCGCACAGCACCACTTTTCCGCAGCGACACGGACCAATGGCAGCCCGGCGGAGCCTCCGCACACACCCAGCCAATCAGCAGCTCCAGACAGCACTGCTACCCCTGGCACCTTCCATCCCCCCCTTTCTCGTGTCCCCGGTCTGCTCCTGCCCCTACGCCGAAATTATTGCAGTTATTATTACCTGGCCAAGCAGGAACCACGCAGGTCAGAGTCAGGAGCCACCCGCCAGCCCGTCCAAAAAGTTCCCCTTCTCCAGGATCGCTGCCAGCGCCTTCAATTCCACAAACCTCCAGTTTCCACGCCCACCAGCTTCAGGTTCCCGCTTTGTCACTGCCGGCTTCGCGTCTGCTGTTTCTCACGCGTCTGCTGCTGAAAGCTCCCGCTCTTTTTACCTTTCTTTTCTTGGAACAAGGCTCCTTACAGCATCCGTCATCCCTTCATTCGTTTGACCCAGTCTAGTCTCTGATCGCGCAGGCAAAATGGCGACTCCCTCCACCATCACGCCCGCCAGCCACGTCGGCTTCGACAGCATCACCTCGCAGATTGAGCGCAAGCTGCTGAAGCGCGGATTCCAGTTCAACGTTATTTGCGTTGGTAAGTGACGCACGCGGCTGCGACCGACCCCATAACAGTTGGGGCCAGGTGGATGGAAACTAACTGCGACACGCAGGCCAGACCGGCTTGGGCAAGTCGACGCTCATCAACACCATCTTCGCCTCGCACCTCATCGACTCAAAGGGCCGCCTGCAGCCCGACGAGCCCATTCGTTCCACCACCGAGATTCAGGGTGTCTCGCACCTCATTGAGGAGAACGGTGTCCGTCTGAGGCTCAACATTGTTGATACCCCTGGCTACGGCGACCTCGTCAACAACGACCGCTGTTGGGATCCCATCGTCAAGTACATCAAGGACCAGCACTCCGCGTACCTGCGAAAGGAGCTTACCGCTCAGCGAGAGCGTTACATTCCCGACACGCGCATCCACTGCTGTCTGTTCTTCATTCAGCCTTCCGGCCACTCTCTCAAGCCCATCGATATCGTCGTCTTGAAGAAGCTGTCCGATGTCGTCAACGTTGTGCCCGTCATTGCCAAGGCGGATACCCTGACTGTTGAGGAGCGGATGGAGTTCAAGGAGCGTATCAAGGCCGAGTTTGCCTTCCACAACCTCAAGATGTTCCCGTACGATAATGAGGAGTTTGACGACGAGGAGCGAGCTTTGAACCAGCAGATCAAGGTATGCACTGACACCAACACCTTTTTTTGGACGATATCACGGCTAACACTTACGCTGCAGAGCTTGGTTCCTTTTGCGGTTGTTGGCTCTGAGAAGAACATCATTGTCAATGGCAAGCAGGTCCGCGGTCGCCAGAACCGCTGGGGCGTCATCAACGTCGAGGACGAGAACCACTGCGAGTTTGTCTACCTGCGGAACTTCCTGCTCCGAACCCATCTCCAGGACCTTATCGAGACCACCTCCCAGATCCACTACGAGACATTCCGTGCCAAGCAGCTGCTTGCACTGAAGGAGAGCAGCGCACACGGTGGCGGTGCTGCCAGCAGACCGATCAGCCCTGCTGCCGACCGAGAGATGAGCCGGGGCTCTCAGCGAATGGGCATGAACGGCTACTAAATTTTCCTCACTGTGTTTGATAATTCGATTGGGGGAGCGATGGCGTCTCCGAGCGGTACGGTGGCCAGCCAATCTCGTGATGTTCTTGTGGGTGGTGTCGTGCGCGCAGTTTTAAGGATTTACATGTTCTCATCTGGGGCATATGGATTTACGGTGCCGCATTGCAGTGCGATCCAACGATGGCGTTGTTCGTATTCACCAAACTCACGAGAGGTGAAGAGTTGAGAGGCGACTTGCATCCGAAGCCGACTGGGCGCGTACACTGGTCGCGCAACGGTTATAAGTGCGGTATGCGCCATAGCCGCTGTCAGCCGCTCAGTGGCCCGACGGGGATCGCCGGCGGCCTTTTTGTGCGCATTTTATTTGTCTTTTTTTCTCGAGTAGTATCATCGGAGCCTTCCTTGACCATTTTCTTACGTTTTAATCAGATCCCCACACCTGTACTTTCCATATACCTACAGTTAGTTGATTCGCGTCGAGGAAGGGGGCGCGTCACAGTGGATGGAGGCAGAGAGAGAGAGAGAGAGTATGATATGTTGATTAATCTTGCATTTATCTGCTGCTTTGATGTTGAAGCCTGCTTGTTGTTTTGCGTGAGCGTCTGGTGACTATTGCCTCTTTTGGCTGTATGGGATTTTGAGTAGCCCAGAAAACATTGTATCCAAATAGACGCGCGATGCTCGTTTCTATGTATAAAGAAGAATGGGACTTTTGGATGGGTATTTGCTGTCATGAAAGGTTGCAAAGTTGTCTAGCAGTCTACTCCAGAGGCTTGTAGACAAACTCCTCAAACTTCTTGTATGCCGACTCGAGGTCGTCGTTGACGATGATGATGTCGTGAACGCCGGGTGTCTTTGAGAAGTCGAGCTCCTTCTGGGCCTGGGCGAGTCTCTCCTGGATGCTCTGCTCCGTCTCGGTGCCGCGGCCGCGGAGGCGCTGCTCGAGGGTTTCGATGGATGGCGGGGCGATGAAGATGTAGCGGGCAGAGATGCCGGACTGCTTGATTTGCTTGACGCCCTATTTTCCACATGCTCTGTCAGTTTCTTCTGCTGCTGCGCTTATGCTTTGTAACTTGGATGGAGGGGAGATCTGCGATATCGGGCAGAGAGGTTCTCGAGGGCTGGTCATGGGGTCATGCCGGGTGCAAGAGACGTGTGTTTTTTGTTGTTGTGTGCATAAGTGCCGTACCTCCATCTCAATGTCGAGCACGACGACCTTGCCCTTTTTCGTCTGCTCCTCAATGGTCATCTTGCTGGTGCCGTATCTGTTGCGGCCGTACTTTGCGTTCTCGACGAAGCCGTCCTTGGCGATGAGGTCCTCAAAGGCCTCCATGGAGACGAAGTGGTAGTGGACGCCGTCGACCTCGCCGGGGCGCGGGGCGCGGGTGGTGTGGGAGACGGAGAGGGCGAAGGTGTCTGGATGGCGGTCGAAGAGCATGCCGTAGAGGGTGCCCTTGCCGACGCCCGAGGGCCCGGAGACGACGATGGGGCGGCGGTCGGGAGGGGCTTTTTTGGTGTTGTTGCTGATGTCAGTTTCTTGTGTGTTTTCATCATCCCTCCGTTTTTAGTTTGTCATTGGGGAGGTAAGGGAGGAGGGGGGGGGATGTGTTGTCATGGTTGGCGGAGTCTTACGAGTTGCCATTGTGCTTAGAAAGAAGGGATGCTTGGGTCTAGAGAGCTTGCAGATGGGGCGGCAGTTTGATAAGGATATCGCTGGCAGGCGGGGAGGCATATGAAGATAAAAAAAGGCCGCCAGATGGGGTGGTCGCGAAAAGAGCAGATCGTGGAGGGGCACGAAGTCATCAACGGTGAAGCAGAAGATCGCGGGATGAATCTCGGAACCACAACACCCAAAAGAAGAAAAAAAGACTGGACCACAGCCTGACCAATGGTAGCACACAAGGCTAGGCGGCAGAAAACAGAATGGTTCATGAATGAGACGAAACATGTAGTAGTAAGCAGGCGGTGAGTTAGCGTGGGTGGGAGTGCCGGGCCAATCAAGCGGCGGGCTACCTACCCCGAAGAGAGAGAGACGACAATGGGTGGGGGCTTGCTGCTTTTGGAAAGCCGTTGTGCTAACCCCTAACGGTGCTAAAGCTTCAGGGATATTGGGACGGGCCAGGGGGGGGAGCATCTGGATGAGATGAGAATTGCCCTTTTTTTTTCCCTTCTGCTTATTTCATTTTAATTTCTCGTGCTGCGCTTGGGAAGCGACATTCTGGGGAGGTGTGAAGGCGGCTAGCCGTTGAGAAGAGAGAATAAGAAGAAGAGCGAGATTTCCTTGGAATAGGTCATACCACGTCAAAGAGTCGCTTTGACAGAGGTGGGCGAGTCGCCTGCCATGTCCCTTGCAGTTCTCTGGCCGTGCGCATGAGATTGAATGGTACTGGTGCCCCTTGGTGAGAAGTCGTCGGATACACGGCTTCCCGTTGATATTTTGCTTATGCGAGCGAGGCTGCAATGCGATCATTGAGGAGGTTGTGAGATGGGGCAGATGCGAAAAAGCCTCTTGCTCTACCTACCTACTGTGCTCATCGCAACCCCAGATACGAGCAATTCTACCAACTACCTACCCAGGACAAACATACATGCAGCTCCGTTGGCCAAGCACGCCAGGTCTGGGCATCATTTTATTGTGCATGCTGCTTGTAATAGCTACTGTCGCAAGCAACAATACCGGGGTTACTTCGTTGTTAATCGCAGAAACGTGGTAGCGTGGGCACGAGAGGGGGTGGTAGCTGTCGAAGTAGTCTGTACATGAAACTGGCTGGACTGCGGCGGCATTAACAACCACTTATACGAGCAATTCCCCGACTCAAGTACTCCTGTGTCTAACTGCCCGAGTCTACCTGCTCGAACGGGGAACCAGTAAGCCGGGGTTTCGTTGGTGTTTGTATGCTTAGCCCAACTCGTTCGGTGTGAGCGAACCGGCTTGGGGGGGAAGCGGATCCGGACACGAGGAAGAGAGGAGAGAGAAGCTTTTCATTAGATTCTCGTATGCTTCTTTTGCCCAGAGACGGCGCAGCGGGAGGTCAAGGGTCACGAGTCTAGCGAGGACGGAGCATTTTTACCCCTTGTGCGCACGAGTATGAATGGCTTGGAGGAGAGACCGGGCACTGAGGGTACGAGTAATGATGCGGCATGGCGGACCTGGGCGGCCAAGAGGCGATAAAACGGTGACGGGCCTCGGCAGAGGTGCAGTAATATCGCATACGGGTGGTAGTGGCTTGGTAGAGTCGAGTAATCGTAATGGTGAAGCACCGGCGATGGTCTCGAGATATTGGCCAAGCTTTTACCTAGTAGGATGGTATCGCACTTGCCGGCTTACAAGTTTCTCAAGTCAGTTGCCGACTCTTCCATGCAGAAACACCAAAAGAGCATCAACCGCTGCCTCCTCACGACCATAAGGTACCTATAAGGCCTCGCGATCTGCAGCACCAATCTCAGACCCTTCTAAGCCTTTGCAGCGGGGCCCCGCCCGTTCCTGGCCTACCGCCGCTAGCGCTGCGACATGGTGCCGTCAAAGGCGCCCAGCAAGCAGCTGCCAGGCTTGCAGGCGCCCATCCAGCGGTCTCGAGGCCCCCTCCAGGCACCTCGTCCAGGCCACTAGCAGCTGGAGCCCCCCCGCGACCCCTGGACCCAGCGCTGGAGCACCGCCCAGGTCCCCTCCTGGGCCATGCAAAGGGTCCTGCTCGTATTGCCATTGGCCGCAACCTGGAAACCCTTTTCTTGCTCGCCCTGGCCCAGGTTGGATGTTCCCTGGAATACCGCGCCAGGGCTGCATTTTGCTGTTGCGTCTACTTGTACTTGTACTGGCCCGCGCCCGCCACCCACAGCAATTCCAGAGTCCCCTTCCTTCCACAGCATCACGCAAGAGACACGCTTCCCGCTCTTTTCCAACCTCTCCGTTTTTGACCTTGAAGAGATCTTCGGGTCGTGGGAAGAGCTTCGATTTTTGTCGCTGCTTCCAGTTCACTCTTTTGTCCTGCAGAAACCTCGAGTTGCCGTTGCTTCTTTCCTCCCGCGTGTCTCTTCGCAATCACTCATTCGTTGCTTGCTCTTGTGGCCATTCACTCTTTTGGAAGTGCCTGATAGACGACTGTTTGTCTGGAACGTACACCTTTAATCTTTCACCCTGCAGAATTACCTAGGAATCATCATCACCATCGACCGTCCTAATCATGCTTGTGAGTTGACACCTTTCCCCACGGGTGGCTCACCGAAGAAACCCATGGAGCGCTTCATACGATGACAGCTCCTCGATTCCCAGCTCCTTTGAATGCTTCTAGCCACTACCTACCTTTGCATTTCACTCGAGACGTTTACTGACTGACTTGACTCCATGCAGATGCAAACTGCTCTCGTGGCCCTGGCCGCCACCGCCGTGGGTGCCGTCAAGCCCCTCTCCATCAAGGGAACCGACTTTGTCGACGCCAACGGCAACAAGTTCCAGCTCGTCGGCGTTGCCTACCAGCCCGGCGGCAGTGCAGGATACAACCCTAAGAAGGGCAAGGATCCTCTCAGCGACCCCGACACCTGCATGCGTGACGCTGCCCTCCTGCAGGTCATGGGCGTCAACGCTATCCGCGTGTACAACCTGGACCCTAACCTGAACCACGACCAATGCGCCAGTATCTTCAACGCCGTATGTTTCCGTGCTCCTTCAAGCCCCCGTGTCAGCATAAAACGTACCACGTCCACTAACCTCCACCCAGGCTGGCATGTACATGATCCTGGATGTCAACTCTCCCCTGGTCGGCGAAGCTATCACCTCGTTCGAGCCCTGGACGAGCTACTACGAGGCCTACTCCAACCGCACCTTTGCCATTGCCGAGGCCTTCAGCAACTACCCCAACACCCTCATGTACTTCTCCGGCAACGAGGTCATCAACGATGTGCCCACGGCCCAGTTCGTGCCTCCCTATCTGCGCGCCGTCACGCGCGACCTGAAGAACTACATCAAGAAGAACATCAAGCGCCAGATCCCCGTCGGCTACTCGGCCGCCGATGTCCGCGAGGTCCTCTGGGACACCTGGAACTACATGCAGTGCTCCGAGTCCGGCGACGACGGCGACATGAGCCGCGCCGACGTCTTCGCCATCAACTCGTACAGCTGGTGCGGCCCCGACGCCACGTACGAGAGCTCCTCCTATGACGTCCTGACGGACAACTTCAAGAACACGTCCATCCCCGTCTTCTTCAGCGAGTACGGCTGCAACACGCCCATGCCGCGCTACTGGAACGAGACCCAGGCCATCTACGGCTCCGACATGACCCCCGTCTTCTCCGGCGGCGTCGTGTACGAGTACACCGAGGAGGAGAACCACTACGGCCTGGTCAACATCACCGGCGACACGCTGCAGATCACCGGCGACTACAACCGCCTCAAGGCCCAGCTGGCCAAGATTGACTGGGAGAAGGTCCAGTCGCAAAAGGCCAGCGGCAAGGCCCCCGCCGCGCCCAAGTGCTCCTCCAAGCTGATCCAGGTCAAGGGCTTTGACAGCAACTTTACCCTTCCCGTGCCTCCCCCTGGCGTCCAGGGCCTCATCGACAACGGCATCAAGAACAAGCCCAGCGGCTCGCTCGTCAAGATCTCTGACTGGAGCGTCAAGCTCAACGTCAACGACGCCGACGGCAACAAGATTACGAACCTCAAGGTCGTCCCCCTGAGCGATGACGAGACCAACTGGAGCGGCAAGAACTCGGCCGAGACGGGCTCCGGCGACAAGGACTCCTCCACTAGCAGTGCGTCTAAGAGCGACAGCAAGGATAAGGACAGCGCCGCTGCCTGGATGCGCCCTGCTTCGATTGTGCTGGCCCTGCCTCTGGTGGCCATGCTCTTCATTTAAAGGAGGGAGGGTCCAAGTTGGGAAGATGGAGATGAGGAAAGCGTGTGTTGGTGCCTGAGGTGATTGTTTGGGAAATCTTTTTAGTACGTACCTTGCTTGTACTGTTCAAGAAGGAAGATGATGGGGGTGATTCTCGAGAAACGTTAATGAAGTTGCTTCCCAATTTCTCCTTCTTCTTAATGTAGATATACTACCTAGTACATGGCTTTCTCATTCTGCGTTGGTCCTTTAGATATCCCGTTTAGCTCAGCCATGATGATGATTGATTGATTGATTCATTGGAATTCTGTTGACTCTGCTCTCGACAATTGTACATGTTCTCGCTAACTGTCGTGTCCAAAGATTCGGAAAGCGGAAAAAGAAGAAAAAGCAAAGATTCAAAAGCTACGCTGCGGGATTGATAACTGCAAACATGCGCAGTACTGCTGAACATTCTCATGTATGTACTCCCAAACTCCCAATGCCGGGACTTGTGCTGCATACCTATAGAGGTAGCTTCGTGTGTAGCGGCAAGCGCGCGTACCTAGGTAGGTTGGTAAGGAAAGGGAGGCCCGCCCCTCCCGAGCAAAGATCATAGGTCAATATCCTCGTTTTCTTCTGTGCCATTCTGCCATAGTACTGTATAATAGCTCCCTCGTGAGCCTCCCGACACGTTGCATCCTGGACTAAAGTAGGTAGGTACCTAGATACTGCTCCACGCCAACCAAAGTCTCTCTAACATCAGCAGAGCAGCGCCATATCAGTTCCTGCGGCCCTTGTCCTGGGAATCACCACCTCCCTTCGGCGGCTCCTCGTCCTTGGTCTTGTAGCTGGAGGTGCACGAAGGGTTGGTCTCGCAGGGGAGGCAGTAGTCGTGGGTGCCAAAGTCGGCGGCCTTGCAGCAGCCGATGCAGCAGTTATCGACGGGAGTCGACGGTTCGAGGAGTTGAGCCATGCTTTTTTTCTTTCCCTTGGTTCTTTTTCTGTTTTATTTTGTACTTACTCCGCGAATTGTGTGCAAGACTGAAAAGTGATGATTTTGTTGGCCGTGGTTGGCTTGGCTTGGCTTGATTGTTGTCACCTACCCCTTAGGGAATATCTGGTCTGTGACAATGGGTTACTAAAAGACACAGGCAAGATATCAATGGTGGAGAGGCCTTCTAGAAGGGGGAATTGCAAAGATAGGATAAGAGTAACTGGCCTGTCCCAACGACAGCGCACCTGAAGCCCAAAAGGGCATGCAGCAACGACGGAGCAATGGATGAAATCCACACACACCTTGAGATGCACCAGCAGTGGAGATTCTGCACCCACGTGTGCCAGCTCAGTCCCCGACGGGGGGGAAACAAGAATGGGACTGCGGTTTGTGCTGTGAAAAAACACACACACACACACACACAATCGGCTTGCGCCTTGCGCGCTCTCTCTCTCTCCTAGAGCAACTGATTCTTCTCTCGGGAAGGGCGCCTCCTTTGGGCTTTGTTCTGACGTAGGCAAGTTTGGACGGGAAGCACGTTGTTGCACAGCGGGCGTGGCGGCTTATATAAGTTGCCGGCAAGAATGACGTGCGTTTCTTGACAGGTTCGGCTCGGTTCGCAGAGACGAGGGTGGGGGTGGGGTTTAGACTTTGTGCCGACGTAGATCGATGTTTCTTCCTAGGTAAGGTAGGTAGGAAGAGTGATTGACGTGACAGGAGAGCAGCGAGTAATTGGGAAAAAGGAGAAGATGTTGTTGATCGTATAGAAGGGCAGAGCTGGTAAGGTAATATATAAAGGGGGCTTGGGCGGGACAGCGCGAGATTTCCCCTCCCCTGGGGCCTTTGATAGCTTAGCTGGGTATTGCACAGTTTCCGGGGTCTCGTTGATCGAAAAAGGGCCTTGCTGAAGGTGGTGTGGGCGCTGCTGCTGCTGCTGCTGCTTGTAATCAAGTGCGGGTTTGGGTTGGCGCTTGCTGTGGTCCCTGAGGTGCCTATATGGGGCACGTCAACGCAGGAAGTCTGACAAAGAAGGCAAAGAAAGGGACGAGAAGCGGGACTCTGGGGGGTGGGGGGAAGCAAAAGAGAGAGGAAGAGCAAGAGAAGAGCGAGAGCTTTCGAAGACTGTGATGGGAGGAAGCCGAGAAGCTGGTATCGAGCTACCTACTGTAGGCATTAGTGTAGCTGTCACCAATGACTCCCGACCGCCGTTTTATACACGGGCGCTACTAGTACGGTAGGCACAGACACCTTATGATCCGAGACTGACGCCATTCGTGGGCACTATGAAAACCACCAAGGAAGTCCCTGTCAGTTACGAGAAGCCATATTGGTTGCGATTGGACATGGGGATACAGAAGAGAGAGTGAGAGGTGGGGGGGGGGGGGGGGGGAAGCTCGGCCATCAAGCAGCAAAGCAGGGAGAAACAGCCCGCGATGGACTCACGCAAATTGAAAGAAAAAGAAAAAAGAAATAAAGAGAAATAGTCAGAGAAAGGACAGCCGCACCTGCCACACCTCCGGATCCGGCAACACAGGCATGGACACGGCAGGACCAAGCGGGATGGGATGGGATGGGCAGGCACGAGGCCAGACAACGAGGGATGGTCCGAGGAGGGGGCGGTACTGGATAAGATAACGACCGGGCAAGGAACTCGCGAGAGTGCTGCAGCAGCAGCAGCAACCCTGTCACGAACTTTTCCAGGTTTGTCTCTCTCTCTTTCCCTCTTTACCCCCGTCTCTCTCTCTCTCTCCGTGGACTCTTACCAAAAGCTGGCAGAGAGAGCTGTTCTGGAAAGAGCGAGCCGCAGGGTCGCTGCGTTGACTGATTGATCACATCGGCAGCCGCGTCACGCGCTCAGCTGAGGGTGCAACTCGGACAGGGAAAGCCATTCGTCAAGAGGCAACAAAGCCCGACAGGGAAGCAAAGCAGGAGGCAGCACAGAGTTCCATTGCATGAGGTGGTAGCCCGGCACGTCAGGAGGCACTGGGGCGGAATGGATAGTACCTGTATCACTGACGGAGCGGCGACAAGAGGGCCTAGACGCCGTGAGTTGAATTCGATCGGTTGTGCAAGGTATCACTCAAGTATGGATGGGGGGGATCGAGAGCCCAGCCCAGTCCAGTCCAGTCCAGCCCCTTCCAGCACTGAAAACCAAACCGCTGCTGCAAAGCACAAAAGGCAACCGATGAGGACAGGCCATGGGCAGGAGTACATAGGTAGGTAAGTAGTAGTTGCCATAGCGGACTTGTGTAGCCTACCTACCTACCTTACAAACTCCCATTACCTAAGGTAGGTACCTAGTATCCATCTTGCCCGGTTTCACCTCACGCGCTGTCCTGACCTTACCTACCTACTACTACCTTAGGTACTAGATTGTCCTTCGTTGTTCTCGGCCTAGTTCCTCTGGAGGGGGCGTAAACCAGCGCCTCCGAAAGCAGGTCGTTTTGTCCTTCTCGTCCGTCTCTTTTCCCCCACCCCATCTCTAATCAAATCAGATTGTTGCATTGAATCCAGACATTCCGGGGAGGGTGGTAGTGAGCTGAACTTACATCACATCACCATCACCGGAGGGATTCGAGCAACACACACGCGTGGCGGACCTACCACAGAACAATTTGGACAATTGCGGTCCAAAATGGTAACCGGGACTGAGGAGGAGCAGAGGAGCAGGAGGATCATGGGGAAGAGGGGTAGTAGGTGATGGCTTGCACGGCTCTGTTCTGAGCTTCCTTCGCAGACGAGAGAGGCAAGGCAAAGGCTGTATGTACTGCTGATGCCATGATCGAATCCACTACTAGGTTCCCAGGTGCTTATTTAATATTGTTCAAGTTACTGTACATGTTCCTGTGCTCTCTGAGGGACTCCCCTGAGGTCCGGAGCTCTTGCAAGTGACAGCACGCACGTATTGGGAGAACAAAGTCAACCGGGAGGATTCGGTCCCGATAGAGGACGAGTAAATGAGAATATCAGGATCCCCCAGGTTCCTGTTCGTCTCCGCACTGCAGGATGATCCGCAGATGTGCTACTACTACTGTACTACAAGCGTACCTCTGTGATGCCAGTGAGAGCACAAACTACAGAGTACCTACGGAGTATAGAGTCTTGTGGTCCTCCCACCTTGCCCTCGTTACACACTCATCATAGTCCCTCTATCGATTATCTAGGACCTCCTCTCTGGAGTGGCACGTCTGTCATCTGGCTCGATTCTCGTATTGACCTACATTAGTGCCTGCTGCCTTCTCTTGGCTTGACGTCACCTGCTCGAATGCCACGGTTTGACAGGAATACGGGCGTCGTCTTCTAGATCGAATCGGCTAAATTACACAAGGTAAGGTATCAAGCATGTAGGCACAGAAGGTGTTGGTCAAATTGAGTTTGTATTATCATGTCTGTGTCGTTCAATGTCGTCTCCTCACGTACCTGAGGTACTGCGGACATCGACGCTCCCTTTGCCTAAGGTAGCCGTTGCTTTCTTCCACTTTTCCCTTCGTCTGCAAAGGCCTTCTCTTGGCCAGCAAAAAACAATTAATCTTTACCCCACCATCCGTTCTAGATTGCAAAATACAAAAAGACGCAACAATAACACTTTGAGCTGATGGGTAGCTATATCATTGTCCGTAGCACGATCCTGAATAAACCCCGTGAATTTTTTTCCCCTAACCCCATTTAAGCCTTGAACTCCTCGATATTGCTGCTCTCCCACTTGCCGGGGATGAGAGCCAGAGGGACGATACCCGAGACGTGCATCTCGGGACCGAAGATCTTGGCGTTGAGGCCGAGCTCCTGGGTGGCGGCCCGCATGTTCTTCAGACCCTCCTGGTAGTTGGGGCCGGCACGGCGCACCCAGATCTGCACGTTGTGCTCGATCAGCTGGGGAGCAAAGTCACGGAGGGCGCGGATGACGCCCTTGAAGGTGCTGGCAACGTTGGTGAAGTTGGCAATGCCACCACCAATGAAGAGGACCTTGCCCTGCTCGGCCATGGGGGCACGCAGCATCAGGTCCAGGACCGTGCGGGCGTAGTGGTAGGTCTGGGACTCGGTGGGA